CGGATCTTCAAGGGTCGATGTATATAACAAGATTACAACAGTCGCATATAGTCCATATGATCACTGTGGTACTTCCACACTGTCAACTGACAATAGTTTGCATGAATGTCGTATTGACTATTTTCGATAGCACGTTAACTTACCATAACACTGTAGATGTTGGATTATACTCATGCAATCGGTTCGTCTCAACCCCACATGTCATCTCGGTCGGAACTTGTGGGAGTCCATATTGGTACAAGTAACATTCACGTGGTTAACCTGTGAGGGCGGCAGTCGTATGCTGTTTCTGATGTTTCGAAATGATTTTCTTATGTATATCAAATTGTAACACTCATTTCTGTTGTTTTGGTTTTGTTGTTGTTTTGTTTTGTTTGTTTGTTTGTTTGTTGTTGAACGTAATACTCAGCAATATCCCAGCTGTATGACGGCGGTCTGTAAATAAACGAGTCTGGACCAGACAGTCCAGTGATTGGCATCATGAGCATGGATCGCAAATGGAATATGATGACATGCATCAACCTAGTCAGTGTGTCTGACCATCCGATCCCGTTAGTCTCTTAAATTAGCCTCTTACGACAAGCATAGTCAGTCGCCTTTATCGGTAAGCATGGGTTGCTGAAGATCTATTCTAACCCGGATCTTCACCGGGTTTTTTATAGTATATTCTAACATATAAACCAACATAAAAAATAGCCATTATGAAATACAAATGTTGCGGCAATGTCTGGCAACGTCACTACTCCAGTCTTGACAGAGGTATTAAACAGCTAGCGGAATTAGCCGAGTTGACCCGATTGTGTATTCACGGTATGACACGTGTCTTCTCTACGTGCCCCACTATACCGCGACACATATTCCAGGTGTCAAGGATGTAAAACAATCAGAACCACTTAACGGGTGTCTATGTCAACGGGGGTGATGTCGTTTTGACCGATGTTTTCTTATGAGGGAACAATTCAGAGATACGGGGGGCGTCTTTAAAGTAAAATAGCGGCGCTTTGGGCGAATGGCAATACTTGAAGTCGTATTAAAAGTTTATCATAAATGGATAGTCCTCAAGCAATTTCATCAGCAAACTTTACAAGAGTTAGTAGGCCCATCTGAAGTTGTATTCCAGGAGTTGGAACCGGGCCTCTCTAGATCTGTTGCGGTTTCTCCTCTACTTTGGGGCTCGCTTGCCGCCTGTCACATACTGCAATTGTAGTGTTACGTTTAACAGTATTCCAGTTATATCGCGGCGTGTCAGCTTAATGTGGGAGGAAAGTCCGAAGTGATGCAGGTCTCAGACGTTTACCACTTCGGTGAAACCCACGCGGACATGAATATTTCATACAAATCTAAGAATACACCCAGTTAATTTGATTCCAGGACCACAGGAGACGAGAAGACCGTCTTGGACATTTTTAACCGGTGTTACATTCAGATATAGCAGCGTTATGACTGAAGGTACATACTTGGGACTGATATGTTCAGATGCAAATGAGTAGTAGTAGTAGTAGTAGTAGTAGTAGTAGTAGTAGTAGTAGTAGTAGTAGTAGTTGGGTTTAACGCTGCTTTTAGCAGTATTCCAGTTATATCACGGCGTCTCAGCTTAATGTGGGAGGAAAGCCCGAAGTGATGCCCGATCCACAATCATAGGTTTCTGGCGTGCCCAAGGGACGCAACTCTGAACAGCAAATCGCGCGCCTTAGACGACTGGGCCACCCGTGCCCCCTCTATCTTCAGTGGTGTAACGACGTCGTTCGAAACCTGGTGTGTCAATGGGCCAGTAATTTAAAAGTAATTTGCAATTGTTCACGGGATATTTATGTTTGCAGTGTGCATATTACGTGTTCAACCTGCAAGGAATATATGTATTTTCAAATATAAAATTTCTAACAGCGAGGTGTCGGGTTCCCGCAGTGGGAATATTATCACCGCGGTGGAAATAGTTTTCTGTATTTTCATTTTAGTTTTTGACGTTTTCCCTTTTGTTTTTAAACATTTTCGCTTTTGTTTTTGACATTTTCATTTTAGTTTTTGACCTTTTCGTTTTTGTTTTGGACATTTCCATTTTAGTTTTTGACATTTTCGCTTCACATTTCAGCGATTCAATAGCTACTTGAAAATACATTTTCCATGTTTTCGGTCGTTTTTATACATGATTTATCATATATTTGTATGACAAATTTTGTTAATTTGCAAAAGGGTACGATAAAAGTAAGTGAAATATCAAAATCCCTTATGGGCCGTCGTATAATCCGGATCAAAGTTCACCAACCATGCCGGGCCTTCTGATTGACCTGCGCCGTTTCGACTTTTGGCGGCCATTGAGAGTGTAAGATTAAGGAAAGATGCGAGTGGTGACGAACGGTGAGTTCCGATTGAAAACATCTCAGTTATTCGGGTCAGAGATGTGGCGGTATCCTGATCTCTACACAGATAGACGGTCTCTGTTAGTATCTACCATGTCTAGAACTTTTATCAAAAGTAAACTAGTTTCCTGGGTCAAAACCAGAATCATTCGTAAATAGAATATTTTCTGCCCTACCTCCGATGCGCACGTAAAATCACCATTGCTTGTGATTCCACACATTATTTTGTAAGCTATTTGGCAAGGTAATAAAAAGTACTGTCGGAAATGCTAGAAAAATGCTTTTTGCCCGTTAAAAAATAATAACATTTTTCACAGACTGTTGTTATTGTAATATCGAGTAACTACCGATCGACCTACCTGTGGTTGGAAGTATTTCAGTCACAAGGAATGCTATCGACAAGTTTACAGGAGACAAATTCGAACGAAAACAGTAAGTTCACATTTATTGAGTCCAACGATGGCAGTCTGAAACGGAATATAAAAATATGCGCACGTTATAATGATAATAATGTAGTCTTCATAAAACATCTAATCCACACAAAAGATATCATTTGGAGAAAATTCTACATGTGCATCTTCTAAAATGACAAAATGACGCTGCGTTTGTTTTGTCAACACTGCTCCCATGATGCATGTTACATTACACTTGCATTGCCATAACCATGGTACACGACATGGAGTCTGTACAAGGAAATGAATACAAGTACTTTACACTTTAGAGAGATAGAGGGAAACCATATATTTATTTCTTCAATGTTTCTCTGAATAATCTGGTGTACTCAGCAAGTGACGTCTGTGTTAAACCAAGCTCTAGCCCGAAAGGAAGATCTAAAGGAAGACGTGGCTCTCTACCAAACATTAAAAAGAATGGTGACTGTCCAGTTGACTCGTGCCTTGTGCAATTATAGGCATGCACAAGAGGCCCAATATTTGATTTCCAATCACTTTTTTGGTTCTTAACATGTCGCATAAAGTGCGATTGAACCTCTCACACATGTCATTGCCCATGGGATGATACGGTAGACAGAACACATGGATGTAACACTTTTAGAGTGCATCCATGTGTTCTGAAATATACGTTAGTTCGTGAGATAGATAGATAGATAGATAGATAGATAGATAGATAGATAGATAGATAAATAGGCTTCTTTATCTTAATAACTTTACAGTTACTAAGAAAGCAATTTGTGTCTGTTTTCAAAAATGCAATCTATTTATAGAAACGAATTATGCAAGGTCAAGGGGAACTTTTGGGCTGAATTATCCGCCCACGGATTGAAACTCAACTGTAGACTGCTAAAGTCAGAATGACCCAGTATGGAACTCATGTCTGTTTTTGACCAATCAAATTACGAGAAATTACGTCTCTTTACGTCCTTATTCCTTTGATGGATCTACTTACACAACGTAAAATCACTGAAATAAAGAGGAAGGCAAACCATCTCAGGAGGTAATTTGGTATAAAAATGAGCATTTATACCAATCAATCAATTACGTCGAATTGATTCACTTATTGCCTTCCAAAATCACAAGATAAACAATTACGTCCTGCTACGTCGAAGCTACGTCCTTGCTGCCTGCCAAGAGGACATAATAACAACAAGCAACATCGACTGGGAATTACTTTGGACAATTCAAAGATGAAGATTACAAATGTCAGGAGGCCATTGGAATTCATCTGATACATGAGACGTTTAATAATCCTAATTGGCCACCAGTATGGTTTGACCGTAGCCCTGGATGTCACATTTATGAGAAACATGTTCGTGAATAATGATGCTAAATGCTGCGCATGAATACATCAGCGAAGATTACATAGTTCCCGATGTATGAATTAACAGCAAATTTAATACACGTCTTTACATACCATCAAATACAATTCTGGGTTCCTCTGTACGTAATTAGGTTAAATAAACTTTATAAAGCAAAATGCTAAGCTTTAGCCAAATTCAGTAACTTCATTGTGACCTGAGCTTGCTGTCACAAAGTTAAAATGGCGGGCGTAGCTCAGCCCTGATCACAAATTCACACAAATATGGATAAACATCGAGCTGCCAAGGGGATTGTGATCTGTTTGTTGAAGAACGGAGATATGATTAATCTGTATCTGATGGTTAATTTGCGTAACTGTATGTTTAGAATGATGAATTCATCAAAAGTTACGGTGATGGAAAACTCTTGAAAAAATAAGCAAGATCGTTTTGACAGGCACGTTGTTGATATCAAAACATTGAATTACGTGAAAACGAGGTTGGCAAAAATATACTGGTATATACCTGCAAAACTTCTTACAGTTTACGGGATAATTATGATATAATTTGTGCACTGTCATATAACCATCAAAAATACAACAGGGAAATATTTAGGAAATGTTTCTTTTTTTCAGAAGCTGTCTTAACTTACACATTTAACAATAAAGATACAATAATGTTTATATATTCACATCTCAATCACAATATTTAGGCTCCAGGAAAAAGGGACGTGTTCAGGATCTAAACTCATTTTGAACACAGTTTATCATGCAGGTCATCGTTACTGGGAAGATAATGTCCACATCTCCGTTAATGTCACGTCTTACCGACGCTGACAGGCTTGGACTGGTCACAATAAATGTGGTAGCATAAATACTCTGAAGAGTTTGTGTGTCGTCTGTTTGTAAATACGCAGTCGCCATGGCTGGTTCTCTGCGGAAGTCCGTAATATGTTTTACATTTTCTCACCTGACAGGTTTGCTTCCTCTTCGCCATAGAATATGCATGCTTCCTCTGCCTCATGGATTAGGTATGCTTCCTCTGCGTCATGTTACCAATCCATCTCGTTGTGCATCTACGAAATCGGGGATAGCGTCACACATCTATCGGCAATCTGGCAACGAGGACGTTGGGCGGATCACGTCGCCTGCAGCAGCTGCGCAGCATGTCGATAAGGACAATTTGTCGATGATGTTTGGGGACCCGTGTGTGTTGTTCAAACACAAAACAACATGGGAGTTGTTTCGTGCCCTGGTTGTTCTGAAAATGTGCTCCTGGAACCGTCTTGTGGATAACTCGGTGACGGTAGGTTGGCGTAGGGTTGCATCTTTATAATTGTTTAACACGAAGACCTGGTGTCATCACTGATATTCAGTGATCCATTCATATAGTTATTATCGCTCTTTTGCCCTTTTGGCCAGATGAAACTGCTTCAGCAGATAATGGTGGCTGTTTACTCTCTGGCGTTAACGTTTTGTATTTACATCAATACTTTACTGTGGTGGCATAATAATAATTAGACATGTTTTCTGTGGTTAAATATGCATGTCTGGTTCCTCCTTTCAGAGAAAAAAACATGTTTTGAAACGTTCACTGAAAACATTTTCTGTTCTGTTTGAAACAAATATTCTCTTTTACGACAAAGGGCGGTGGGGTAGGCTAGTGGTTAAAGCATTCACTCGTCACACCGAAACCCAACATGAGTACATTGAGTGAAGCCCATTTCTGGTGTACCCCGCCGTGATATTGCTGGAGTGTTGCTAAGGGCGGAGTAAAACCATACTCACTCACTTCAATATGAGTTTTGTTCTAAGTAAAATAAACGGACACGCTATACATTACTCTCACTCGGAGTAATCAGATGGAAAGACAATCATCCAGTTGATCTAGGTGAGTGACTGAGTGAGTGAGTGAGTGAGTGAGTGAGGGAGATCGATCTAGCGCCGCTCTGAGCAGTGCCCCAGTCATATCAAATCGTTTAAACCAGTTTGATGCAGTCACCCTGTTGTTGCAGTTGACTATGAGCCAGTAATTCACTGGCCATTCAGAACGTACATTTTAACATGTAAAACTCACGCAACTATATGTCATTATGCAAAATTATAGAGTAATTGTATATCCACCATAACATGGTCGATGAATCACTCGAATCTGTTGATCCTCGATGTAGAATCAACTCCGTCATCCGGGCCTTGCCTATTCTACTTCCGGAATCAGTAGATTGTCATATTTCTCAATTACGTATGCTTGAAGTGAGGGGCAATGATGGTTTCAGGCGTTTACAATTCCACGCGCATGTCGACACACCGAGATTCATCCTGAGAGAATCGGACATTCGAACACCCAAGGTCATTGATAGCGTTCACGGCTAAGGGACGTAACTCTGTACAGTTATGGACGACTGGGCCACCAGTCACGTGCTTAAGGACAAGTGCACTCTGTTTCCAGTTTTGTCGGCTTCAGAGATCTTGGACTGCCATGCCACGCATCCAGTTTAATCCAGTTTCAGCCACTGTGAACTGGATTCAGAGCACGCAGAACAGAGTTAATGAGTGGACACGCACGTAATGTTTCATTCCGTCAGTACAATCATTACCTTACGTGAATAGGCATTAACTCACTGTTTATGAGTCGGTCCTCGTCACGACGTATTTTCTTTAAACAACTTGTGGATAATAGTTCTCATAAGTCCTTGTGAGGGCTGGCACTAGGGGATTCTGCTATTGAATGCCTTTTAACATGATATATGAAAGAGGCGTTACGACGTCTGTGGCATTATTCCAGCAATATGGGCTTCAAATAGTACACGAACGTTCGCATCCTGGTCTCCAGTGTAACATATCTCCATTCTGTTATGATAAATATCTGTGGTCTCGTTCCACAAATCGATCTTAGGACTAAGACGGTTGTAGCTCCCATACTCTAACATAGACTTACGATAGCCGTAACGCTTAGAACTTTTGTTGGAACAGGGACATAGCGAGTAGTGCAGGCAGTAGAGCGGTAACGTTACAGACGAGTTATGACGTCTCTAGGCGCGATGTGACGTGTGCAGGGTGCGTTGCAAAGCGCGAATCGTTTGCAAGCGATGTACAGCGATTCGCCTTACAACAGTGCGCTAACTTTCAGCCGCTTGCAAGCGGAATAAACGCTGGCTGAGTTCGCTTCGTTCTCAAACCAAAATGGCGGCTGACTTTGGAAGCGGAACAAGAAATTCTTGACTGGGTCAACGAGAAAATGAGCAAAGGTAGCTAACACCCCATCATCCTCAGTCTGCTCCACATCTTCAAAGTAGTCATAAATTTCATCAGCTCGTCATAGAGCCTCTTCTGTTACGTTCTTCATTACGTCAAGTCAACCAAGCGGTAGTTGCGCCGCCATTTTGGAAGAGTGCGCAAGCGCTTCGAACTACTGCAGACCCCGGGATGAGCGATTAATTTGATTTCTTTAAGCGATTCGTGGCTTGCAACGCGCCCTAGTAGAGCGGTAACGTGTGCAGATGTGTTATGACGTCTCCGGGTGAGATGTGACGTGTGCAGTAGTGCGGTAACGTGTGCAGACGAGTTATGACGTCTCTAGGCGCGATGTGACGTGTGCAGTAGAGCGGTAATATACGCACACGAGCTATGACGTCATCAGGCGCGATGTGACTTGTGCAGGCGTGCGGTTACGTGTGCAGACGAGTTATGGCGTATCTAGGTTCGATGTGACTTGCGCAGGCGTGCGGTAACGTGTGCAGACGACCTAAGGCGTCTCTAGTTCTGATTTGTCGTGTGCAGTAGTGCGGTAACTTGTGCAGACGAGTTATGACGTCTCCAGGCGCGATGTGACGTGTGCAGTAGTGCGGTAACGTGTGCAGACGAGTTATGACGTCTCCGGGTGAGATGTGACGTGTACAGTAGTGCGGTAACACGTGCAGACGAGTTATGACGTCTCAAGTGGCGATGTGACGTGTGCAGGCGAGCGGTAACGTGAGTAAATGCGTGTCGTATAGACGAGTGATGACTTGTTCAATTGCGCGATGAATTGTGCGGGCGAACGGTGACGAAAGAGACAAGTTGTGACGAAGCATGTCTGTCGGTTGAGGGTTAAAGACAGACCGGGTAAATGCACTTTATTTCCACGTCAGCTGATGAGCCTGGGACAGCGCCTCCTGGGGACGAGGTTGTTCTCCGCACTCATGAGACCAGTCTTCTACGGCCAGTTTGTGGCGGGAACGAGCAGATCGGAAATCCTGGAATGTGTATCCAGGCAACAGAAAGCTGGAATTGGACCCCTTTTGTCTGTGCCTATTGAAGAGGACGTGAACGACTGGTAACTTATACATGGGTCGCCTAGTGACAAGAATGGTAGTAACCATGGTGACATGCTCATAATGTAAACGTGTTTCTACCTTTAACATGGCCACGAGAAACTAACCACAGTGACATACTACCCGTTGACTCTGTAAAGGGAGGTAACCATGAAATGCCACAATGAAGTACAGTAAACTAAGATTATAACGAAATCAAAAGGACTAATTTTAGTTCGTTATAACCGTAGTTCGTTATAAGCATATATACAGCAAACAGACGGGGCCCAAAAATAGTTAGTTACATACTTTAGTTCGTTATAAGCGTGTTCGTTTTAAACGCAGTTCATGGTATATTCCCAGGTTTGGTTCTGAATCTTGTTTGGTAATAAACACGTTTATATCCTACACACAAACGCGTTATATCATTGGTCAAAGAATGTGCTTAAGTTTGTGTTCAGAATGTCAACACATGGAGTACCCTGTACCAGACGGGATGATCGGACACATGTAGCAAGTCTCCTGCGTCTTCCATCAAAACTAAACAGTCCCAACTCACAAAAAACACACACTAATATGACAAGCACATACATTTCTTTATCAATAATTGCAAATGCATATATATTGACTGTTTCAGCAAGATCGATCAACAATGTTATGACGACAATCTGCAAGTCATTCTCAACTGCATCAACATGGCGGCGGAAGTGAAAGCGAAAATCCCCATGATGCATATACGCATGACAAGCGTCCTTCCGGCAAATCTCTGCGTATGTGTTTCACCGGTTCCTCAAAGGCTCAAAGGTCAAAGTAGACCCTCCCTATTTTTTGGAAGATTTAAGCGTTCTGTGTTCAATAGGCCTGAAGATGTAGGCTGAAGGCTTTCTGAGTAACGTTATGATGAAATGTCTGGTGTTGTTACCCATTAGAGGGGAGCGTTTCAAAGGGAAGATAATATAACGTGGCGTCGTTTTTCTGTCTTCACCAGTGGTTTGTTGAGTACAGTTGGGAGACTGGCCAATCCCCAAAGTCATCAATACATTTGAACAGCGACCTCCTCTTTGAGTTCACATTATTAATTGTTTATATCCTTCGTCCAAAGGTTCAAAATGGGGGGGGCACGGGTGGACCAGTCGTCTAAGGCCCCGCGATTCGCTGTGCAGAGTTGCGTCCCTTGGGCATGCCAGAAACCTATGATTGTGGGTTCGAATCCCAGTTCGCCCCGATTATGTTTCTAGGTTTGTCAGCACCATACCCGTGCTCGTGGGTTTCACTGAAGTGGTAAACGTCTGAAACCTGCATCACTTCGGGCTTTTCTCCCACATTAAGCTGACACGTCGCGATATAACTGTAATACTGTTAAAAGCGGCGTTAAACCCAACTCACTCACTCACTCACTCAAATGGACCCAAACGAACTAGTTTGAATCAGATATTTGTGTTGTTAATACTCAATTTACGGAATACTTGTTATCTTTAGTATCGGAAAGATTTCATTTTTATTCATTTGAACCTTGAGTGAGTGTGAGTGAGTGAGTATGGTTTTACGCTGCTTTTAGCAATATTCCAGCAATATCACGGCGGGGGACACCAGAAGTGGGCTTCACACATTGTACCTATGTCGGAAATCCATTTGAAAGTTTAAATATCTAGAGGATTTCTCTGTGTGGCACACGTTGCATGCGACTAAAATGTTTATCAGTAATTGTCCTGTAATTTCTTATCATTTGCTTTGAAAGAGGGAACGGGGGCATATACATTATGGGCTGTCGTCTTCAAACGAAGGATGTCCGTTTGGCTGCTAAAACAGTAGCTTGCTTCAAATTATAAATTAGGAAAAATACAATTACAAAAAAGTAACTTTATATGTGTATTGGTTACAGGTAAGTCTCAGCAAAGTGTTTCCAGAACCGTCCACAAACCCAGAACTTGTGAAGGCAGTTGCCGTTGCTATGGAAACGGGTGAAACGGTAAGCGATTTTGAAACCAGTAAACCACAAATTCTGTTTAATATCTTTTGTTAACAGTTATAAAGGAGACAAAAAATAAACTTTAACAATAACTATTTCTGTTTCTCTATGTGTTTACAGCTGGCCACTCTGCATCTGTCTGAGGCAGAACTGAGTCAGTTCTCGAAAAGTCTCGCGAGACTTAAAGCCATTGGACAGGTAAAACGCGCATTGCTGAACAAAAGTGTCAGAGAACAGTTTTATTTAACATAAGATTACACACTAGCAGTTGTTTTAAAAATAGTAGTAGTAGTAGTAGTAGTAGTAGTAGTAGTAGTAGTATAGTAGTAGTAGTAGTAGTAGTGGTGGTGGTGGTGGTGGTGGTAGTGGTGGTGGTGGTGGTGGTAGTAGTAGTAGTAGTAGTAGTAGTAGTAGCAATGTTGCTCAGAATATCAATCACTGGTTTAGCTGGTCCAGACTCGATTATTTACAGACCGCCATATATATGTAATATTGAACGTGGCTGCGAACAATAAAATAAAAACTATAAATTTTATATCATGCACTATAACTATCTAGTAACCATAGCAACTTGCCTACAGCTGGCCGTGAAGAAGGATGTGATTGTGATGGTGGACGCTGAGTATACGTATGTCAACCACGCCCTCAACCTCGCCACCCTCGCCATGATGCTCAACTACAACGTCAACACAACCCTCATCTTCTACACCTACCAGAACTACCTCAAGGTGGGCGGGGCGAGGGGTAGCATGGTGGTGAAAGGGTTAGCCCGTCACGCTGATTCACCACAAGGGTTAATTGTGTGAAGCCCGTTTCTGGTGTTCGCCGCCGTGGTATTGCTGGAGTATTGGTAAACGCGGCGTAAAACAATACTCACTCACGCGGGATAAGATTGTATGTTTCCATCTTTACTTTGATTATTGTTTTGACGCATTCCTAACAGTATGGAAGCTGAAGTCACAGCATCCCCTCATCCGTTTCTCTGTTGTCAGTACTGGGGGCATTCGCGACCAACTCGTGTTATTCCGGGACAAGCCGAATAGCGACTCGTGTCCCTCTCGTGTCGATTTTTGCGACCGGGTTCCGTCTTAGCGAAAACGGGCATACCTAAAACAATTGTCAACTCGTTGCGTAATGGTTCAGATACATTTCCCCATATATTATATATATTTCAGATGCAATTTAAAGCACATCGAGACGTGCGGAATTATACAGTATGATTGAACACATTTAACTGTGTCTTGGGTATATTTTTAGATGCAAGACATATGTAAAATCAAAAATTATTTCTGAGGGATTATTTGACAAAGAACTCGAAATCATACGCGCATTCTGATTGGTTTGTCGTATTTTCGCACATAACATTCATCGATAGGGGCACGAGTCTTCTTGCATGTTACGGAAAGGGGCGAGTGGAGACGAATGCACTGGGGGCTAAGGATCGTCCCGTTAGGAAAGCCTGCTAAGGTGTAGTATTTTACAGAGCCATTCTGGTGGGCACGGATGGCCAAGTCGTCTTCGGTGCCGCAATTTGCCCTGCAGAGTTGTGTCCCTTGGGCACGCGAGAACCCTACAATTGTGGGTTCGAATAACGGTCGGCCCCGATTATGTTTCTAGGTTTGTCAGCACCGTACCCGTGCTCGTGGGTTTCACCAAAGTGGTAAGGTCTGAGACCTGCATCACTAAGGGCTTTCCTCCGTAATATAACTGGTATACTGTTAAAAGCGCGTAAACCCAACTTACTCACTTCGATGCAATTCTGCTCGTCACTATATGGCTGAAATATTGCCGATGTGACGTTAAATTTTAACTCACTCACTCAATGCAATTCTGCATCTCCGATTGGCTACTAATAAAAAATAAAAAATATATTTGTAAAATATATGAACGAATCCCTTCCTTAGTCACGTACACTATGTTTCATCTATTGTAAACTTTCAATAAGGATCCTTATCCAATTTCATTTTCGATGAATTAAAATATATGTATTTGGAGATTATTCGGTAGAAAGATTCTGTGCTAAGTTAGAGATTGGGGCGATGAAGGCAGTGACGTCACTTCAGCAAGGAAGCCAAGTGGGCCCAGAGTGTTTTTTATAGTGGTCTATCTGTTCTATCAACTCTTCCTTTTGCGTCGTCCTAGTCTACATCACAACGTCTACGGCGGGACCTCGACCTCGTCGACAAATACGGGGTGTGTTTTGGCGCCAAGATCGTGCGGGGAGCGTACATGGAGAAGGAGCGGATGTTGGCAAGAACTCAGGGCTACCCTGACCCAATCAACGACACCTTTGACGACACCAGCAACATGTACCACGACTCAATGGAGCTGTTGTTGTCGAGGATCAGCAAAGATTCCAAGAAGACTCGCATCATCATCGCTACACATAACATACAGACTGTAAAACTGGCCAAGGAAAGGTACAAATTTAGATAGAATTAGTTACATATGTTACTAGCGTCCGTATTGAATTTTACGGAATTTTACGAAGGTCGAGGTGTAAACACGAACGTTCAGTCCGAAAAACTCCGTACACCCTACGAGTGACTCATGTTGCAAGTTTATCATTACGCATTGCGTGCGTGCGTGCGTGCGTGCATGCGTGCGTGCGTGCGTGTGTGTTACCATCTGACTGTGTCGTAAATCCAAGTTCGAACGGGGTGAATTGTGACGTGAAAAATGTCATATCAAACATTCCCCTGAAGTATGCTTGATTCCGATTGGTCAAAATACGATTTAAATCAGTATCTGATTCCATTCTATACCTCAAAACTAACATGCCTTTTTGCACAAAAAACATGCGTATTAAAACATCGACCTGTCGATAGGCTTCGCGTCGATGCACATAACAATGTCTACCGACTACCCTCTGGAATATTGTATACGTTCGACATCAAAACAATAGCTTATCAAGTATGATCAAATCTATTTCAGAACACACATAATTTAGTAAAACACATACTAAACACCGTGTCAGAACCACACAATCTCCGGCCATCTAATGAGGTGTCTCTCAGACTCTCTTGTACAAACCCGTGAACATCCGGGTTAGAATAAGTCTTCAGCAACCCATGCTTACCGTTAATGGTACAGAAGTAGAACTTCAAAATAACTAAAACATTGTGATTTAATACGTTATTTGAATAGTAATTCAGCGAATGTTGTTGCTTTCCAGTGCAAATATGCAACATGTTGAGATGAAACTTTGTATATATAAATGGCGGGTTATTCCATTTATTCTTTTTGAAAAAAATGTTTTAATTTTGTAACCATTACTTTTAACTTATCAAGAATATAAATTAGTCATCTTGAACCTGAATAATATTTTGGAATGTTTGATACTTCCTGCCACCCCTGTTTGGCTCGTGTCGTCACGGTAGGATGGCGATACAGGTAATGTGTTTTCAGCTTTGATGTAGTCAAACTGTACATTAGATACCTCTAATGCTCGGTTCCAAATGAAAATAAGAGGTATCAAATCTACATTTAGACTACCTCGATTTTCAAAACTCCTAAATCTCCTATCTCCTAAATATGACGTGGTGAAATCTAAACAGGCCGGCCATTCATACACACGGGACAGAATAGATAGTTGCTGATTAAGGAGATAAACACGATGTGTTTTAAACGTAGAGCAAGGTTACGTGTAGATTTTTTTTAAAAATTTATTTCGCATTTGGTGCCACGATTTTAACCGCGCTAAATTGGAACCGGACGTGCAGCATTGTAACGCTTCGGCGTCAGCGACGTTGTTGTGTGAAGCAGCATTGAGTTCAGTGTTCGAGTGGTTTTCGATCTGAAGTATTAATGAAACACTGATAGGTTAGCGCTGTGCATGTATATGCTCAAACCTTGTTGTCGCACATCATAATACTTTACTCGCATAGGTCAGTCATTCAATGTGTATTAACCCTTCGTAAGCTAACATAAAGATGGCACCCTAAGAAAATGAGGCAAGCATTGCAAGGTTTAGTTCTATAGGCTGATAGACGGTCTGTTATTTCCCGCCGCTGTTACTTTGACGTCTGGACAGGTGCGCGTGGTTTGACCTCGCGTGTTGTGATGTTGATGACGTCACCTCAAGCAGCTGGTCCTTGTCGTGGTCGTATGATGGACACACGTAGGGCATCCCACCATCCCAGGCAGGCACGTTTGGATTGGGCTGAAGATCACGTCAATTGGAAAGACTAGGACTGGGCCCTAGTACGTTTCCGCTGTTGAATCGAGTGCGGCGGAGATAAGGAGAAAGATGGCCGCTCTGGAAGGGGCTCAATCATGATTTGGGTAGGGATCAGTAGAGCTGGAAGGACCGATCTTTATGTCCTACAGCGGGCACGATGACAGGTGTGTGCTACAGGGATGACATTCTGAATATGGATGTGTTCGTGACACCGTATGCTGGTGCCATCGGTCCGGACTTCATCCTCATGGATGATAACGCACGACCGGCCAGGGTTGTTGCTGCCTACTTAGACCATTGTCCGCATGGAGGGTCCAACCAGCACCAGACCAGAACACATGTGAAACAAGCTGCAGGTCGCCTTCTCGCGACGCCCCGTCCTTCCGGCAACTCTACAAGAACTCAGCAATGTTCTTACTGATGAGTGGTACAATCTTCCCTTGGCAACCATCCAGACACTTATTGGGAGTATGAGACGACGGTGCCGAGGTGTGATTCATCACGGGGATGACATACGCGAACCTCAGAGGTCCTTTTTTGGATCATGAATTTTCAGCTACACCTGCAAATTCAGAAGTATATTTAATGAGTCAAAAAAAGAAATTGTCTTGCAACAATGACTTCTTTTTTTTATCAACAGTCCGGGACTTAATTATTGTTTCAAGAATTTTCTTGGACAATTTTTAGATTTTTATGAAATCCCAGGGCCCACAATAGAAAACGGTCGGCCCTAAATAAGGCAGCCAAGTGCGAGACGTATTCGTTATTCAAAGGCTGTAAATCAATCAAATTGGGTAATGTAGCTAAATACCTGTTCCGTGTTCCAGTCAGAACTAATTCAATACGTATGTATATAAAATATATATTACTTGGAAGTAGCCGATACTGAATGTGGTTCCAGACGAAGACACAGCTCTGAAAGGCAGTGAAAATACATTGAAAACGGCGTGTCTGCTTCATGCTGAAGGAAGACCCGAGGCGATGCTTACCTGTTCAGTGAAACCCGCGATGACAAACTACAGATAATACTTTGGAATGAAACCCAAATACTCTGAAACACATTAAATACTGTTCGTCTGACAGGTGTACCATCGTCCAAAAGCTGTTTAGTTATTTAATAAAACAAGCCAGCACCGGGTTCGTTTTTCAATTTTTGTCAAATACAAAATATGTCTACCAATATGATTTTGATCATATTTTGAATTCAACTGTTGTTTTAGACTCGTGATGTGTACAATGTTTCAGGTTGAAGCACTACAATATTGATCTCGGAACTAAAAGTGTCTTCTTCGGACAGATTTTCGGCATGGGGGATCACATCTCATGTCGCCTCGGTAAGTTTGTTTGTTTGTTGTTTAACGCCGCACTCAGCAATATTCCAGCTATATGACGGCGGTCTTTCAATAATCAAGTCTGCACCAGACAATCCAGTGATTGATATCGTGAGCATCGATCCACGCAATTGAGATACAATGACATGCATCGACCAAGTCAGCGAGCCTGACCACTCGATCCCGTTAGTCGCCTCTTACGACAAGCATAGTCACCTTTTACGGCAAGCATGGTTGCTGAAGACTTATTCTAACCCGGATGTTCACGGATTTGTACAAGAGAGTCTGAGAGACGCCTCATTAGATGACCGAAGATTGTGTGGTTCTGACACGGTGTTTAGTATGTGTTTTACTAAATTATGTGTGTTCTGAAATAGATTTGATCACGCTTGATAAGCTATTGTTTTGATGTCGAACGTACACAATATTCTAGAGGGTAATCGGTAGACATTGTTATGTGCATCTACCCCGGATCTTCACGAGTCCGCCTCGATAAGAGTTTCGCCGTGAATATTTCTACAATGCATACATTCTCCCTGACTGACTCCAACATCGATTGCAGGTTATGACGGGTACCCAGTCTACAAGTCCATCCCGTACGGCACCGTGACCGACACCCTCCCCTACCTGTCCCGCCGGGCCCAGGAAAACAGGGCTATCCTACAGGGGTTCAGGCAGGAGAAGGACCTCCTCAAGGCGGCGTTTAAAGGGAGGTTGTGGGGCAATAGCCGGGTGTAGGGCAGAAACTGTCACAACGAACCCAACAAATGCGGCAATTGTGATAATAACTTTCTTATTACCTTGACCTATGCCTTGAGAGCTTGACCTATGCCTTGATAGCTTGACCTCTGCCCTCATACCTTGGCCTATGCCTTGATACCTTGACCTATGTCCTCATACCTTGGCCTATTTCCTGATACCTTGACCTATGCCCTGATACCTTGACCTACACCCTGATACCTTGACCTATGCCTTGATACCTTGACCTATGCCTTGATACCTTGACCAATTGCTTGATACCTTGACCTATGCCTTGATACCTTGACCGATGCCTTGATACCTTGACATATGCCTTGATACCTTGGCCTATGCCCTCATGCCTTGACCTATGCCTTGATACCTTGACCTATGCCTTGATACCTTGACCTATGCCTTGATACCTTGACCTATGCCTTGATACCTTGACCTTTGCCTTGATACCTTGACCGATGCCTTGATACCTTGACCTATGCCTTGATACCTTGACCTATGCCTTGATACCTTGACCTATGCCCTCATACCTCACCCTATGCCTTGATACCTTGACCTATGCCTTGATACCTTGACCTATCCCTTGATACCTTGGCCTATGCCCTCATACCTTGACCTATGCCTTGATACCTTGACCTATGCCTTGATACCTTGACCTATGCCTTGATACCTTGACCTTTGCCTTGATACCTTGACCTATGCCTTGATACCTTGACCTATGCCTTGATACCTTGACCTATGCCCTCATACCTTACCCAATGCCTTGATACCTTGACCTATGTCCTCATACCTTGACCTATGCCTTGATACCTTGACCTATGCCCTCATACCATGGCCTATGCCCTGATACCTTGACCTACACCTGATACCTTGACCTATGCCTTGATACCTTGACCTATGCCTTGATACCTTGACCTATTGCTTGATACCTTGACATATGCCTTGATACCTTGACCTATGCCTTGATACCTTGACCTATCCCTTGATACCTTGACCTATGCCCTCATACCTTGACCTATGCCTTGATACCTTGACCTATGCCTTGATACCCTGACCTAAGCCCTCATACCTTGACCTATGCCTTGATACCTTGACCTATGCCCTCATACCTTGACCTATGTCCTCATACCTTACCCTATGCCTTGATACCTTGACCTATGCCCTCATACCTTGACCTATGCCCTCATACCTTGACCTAAGCCCTCATACCTTGACCTTTGCCTTGATACCTTGACCTATGCCCTCATACCTTGACCTATGCCCTCATACCTTACCCTATGCCTTGATACCTTGACCTATGCCCTCATACCTTGACCTATGCCCTCATACCTTGACCTATGCCCTCATACCTTGACCTATGCCCTCATACCTTGACCTATGTCCTCATACCTTACCCTATGCCTTGATACCTTGACCTATGCCCTCATACCTTGACCTATGCCCTCATACCTTGACCTAAGCCCTCATACCTTGACCTTTGCCTTGATACCTTGACCTATGCCCTCATACCTTGACCTATGCCCTCATACCTTACCCTATGCCTTGATACCTTGACCTATGCCCTCATACCTTGACCTATGCCCTCATACCTTGACCTATGCCCTCATACCTTGACCTATGCCCTCATACCTTACCCTATGCCTTGATACCTTGACCTATGCCCTCATACCTTGACCTATGCCCTCATACCTTGACCTATGCCCTCATACCTTGACCTATGCCCTCATACCTTACCCTATGCCCTCATACCTTGACCTATGTCTTGATACCTTGACCTACGCCCTCATACCTTGACCTATGTCTTGATACCTTGACCTACGCCCTCATACCTTGACCTATGTCTTGATACCTTGACCTACGCCCTCATACCTTGACCTATGTCTTGATACCTTGACCTACGCCCTCATACCTTGACCTATGTCTTGATACCTTGACCTACGCCCTCATACCTTGACCTACGCCCTCATACCTTGACCTACGCCCTCATACCTTGACCTACGCCTTCATATCTTGACCTATGCCCTCATACCTTGACCTATGCCTTGATAGCTTGACCTCGGCCCTCATACCTTGGCTCCTGCCAAGATACCTCAGCTTCACCCATCATGCCGTTTCAGACTAAACAACGATTCAGCATGTGTATATGTTCACCTGAAAGGTCATAGCTTGGTCATTAATATTCAAAAATATAATTAGGTATCTTACTTACCACATAATGGATTTCCGATTTATGAAATGAACGCTCTGTAGTTCAAAATCGGAACCGACGCGCACCTGTCATTGACTGAGTGAATGTGTGCCTCATTGCCATGTTCGTATAGGGTGGGGTGGTGGTTGGTGAAAGATTATCAATGTGTCATGGCCATTACTTCCTTATGTTGATCAGTTGTTGGCGACAAGTTATGTATGGTTAAAACAGGGCATTGTTCCGTGTTCCAATCAGAACTAACTCAATATGTATGTATGCATGTATATAAAATAAATATTACTTGGAAGTAGTCGATACTGAATGTGGTTCCAACCGAAGACACAGCTCTGAAAGGCAGTGAAAATATATTCAAACACGGCGTGTCTGCTTCATGCTGAAAAAAGACCCAAGGCGATGCTTACCTGTTCATTGAAACCAACGATTTGGTGATGACAATCTACAGATAATACTTGGGAGTCAAACCAAAGGCCAGCGGTTCCTGGTACGGCTAGGGAACACAACTCTATACAAAGGGAATAGCGGCATTTTCCTGCACTGTGCTATCTAACATGATCTGACGTTATAGCTTTGTTTGCTTGTTTGTTGCTTAACGCCGCACTCAGCAATATTCAAGCTATATGACCGCAGTCTGTAAATAATAATCTTGACCAAACTATCCAGTGATTGATTTCATGGGCATCGATCCACGCAATTGGGATACGATGACATGCATCAACCAAGTCAGCGAGCCTGACCATCTGATCCCGTTAGTCGCCTCTTACGCCAAACATAGTTGCTTATTACAGCAAGCATGGTTGCTGAAGACCTATTCTAACCCGGATCTTCACGGGTCCACCCAATTAGGAACGATGACATGCATCAACCAAGTCAGCGAATCTGACCACCCGATCCGTTATTGCAGCAGATCATTTCTTAAAGATGTTTCTTTTTCTCCTTAGAGTGAGTGAGCGAGTATGTTTTTTACGCCACCTTTAGCAATATGGGCCCAGAAATGGGCTTCATGCATTGTACCAATATGAGGAATCGAACCCGGGTCTTCGGCTTGAGGAGCGAACGTTCTAACCACTTGGCTGCCCCGTCGCCCCTTCTCCTTTGAAACTGAACAATATAAATCTGAATATCTAGAAAACTGTTAGTGTACAGGTTTGAAACGAAAGTTTATAGAGGAATCATGAATAGATGTCGAAGCGGATTTTTTCTATCAATCAAGAATAAATTCGTGCTGCAGCAGACTTTGTGATCAGTGGGTGAGTGAGTATGGTTTTACGCCGCTTTTAGCAATATTCCAGCAATATCACGGCGGGGGACACCAGAAATGGGCTTCACACATTGTACCCATGTCGGGAATCGAACCCGGGTCTTTGGCGTGACGAGCGAACGCTTTAACCACTAGGCTACCCGACCTCCCCGAGACTTACTTTAGAATAGATGACATCTGGTATCGTGAAGTCGGCATTTTCCGACAAGAATCTCGTAAATCTTCGGTATACCTGTATATAAAACACAAGTGTCATCTAAAGCATCGAACCCGCGATCATAGGTTTTCAGCAAGACTTGGGGGCACAACTGTTTATTGTTTTTTCTTTCTTTTTTTGGTTTATTCGCTGTTTAACGCCGCAGCAATATGCCAGCTACATGACGGCGGTCTGTAAATAATCGTTTCTGGACCAGACTATCCAGTGATTGACATCATCAGCATCAATCCACGCAATTGGGATACGATGACATGCATCAACCAAGTCAGCGAGACTGACCACCCGATCTCGTTAGTCGCCAAGCATAGTTGCCTCTTACGGCAAGGATGGGTTGCTGAAGACTAATTCTACCCCGGATTTTCACGGGTAGAGTGAGGGAACCAGTGAGATGGGCGTTACACTATAGCACCCTCCTACTGTTATCACTACAGGCTTTAAACCATGTACAATGTACGTCGCTACGGGTGGCCCAGTCGTCTAAGGGGCCGCGATTCCCTGTGCAGAGTTGCGTCCTTTTGGCACGCCAGAAACCTATGATTGTGGGTTCGAATTCCGGTTCGCCCCGATTATGTTTCTAGGTTTGTCAGCACCATATCCGTGCTCGTGGGTTTCACCGAAGTGGTAAACGTCCGAGACCTGCATCACTCCGGGCTTTCCTCCCACATTAAGCTGACACGTCGTGTTATAACTGGAATACTGTTTAAAGCGGCGTTAAACCCGACACACTCACTCATTCACACAACCCATGTACCTGTGTGTAGAATCGAACCAGGGTCGTGGCGTGACAAGCACAGTCGCCTGTTACGACAAGCATGGGTTGCTGAAGACCTATTTTACCCCGGATCTTCACGGGTCACAAGCATGGGTTCCTGAAGACCTATTCTACCCCGGATCTTCACGGGGTACAGAAGGTTTGTCCGTCAGCTGATATGCCCTAGGTTACCAGTGCCACTAAGATTAAATATCGTCACTTGTTGTGAACCATTTAAATAGCACTCATCTATCATAATCTCATGAGTGGGGTTAGAATTGGTTGATAGCGTGCCATCGTGCCGTCGTGCCCCCGGGGCGGGGACGTTGCTCGTGGCTTCACTCATTGGTCCAGACTCGATTATGTACAGGCCGCCGACAACTAACAGGAATATTGCATCGCTTACCAAACAAACGTTATTCTATTGTCTGTGTATATCATTCATAAATATCTCCGTGGGGATTCTGGGTAAGACCAGATCCCCTACAACCCCTGCTGGCCGTAGGAGGTGACTAAATGGATTAGGTTGTTAATCCTCTGGATGCCGAGGGTTTTTTTCTGACGCACATTTTCCTAAGATCGGAAAAGTGAGGGTTGTAGAGGAGGGACATATATGTTCCTGTGGCATTCAGGGGGTTAAGCTCCGGGACTTTGTTGATTGCTGTTATCGCCATGATATCAATCACTGGATTGTCTGGTCTAGACTTGTTTACAGGCACCGTCACACGGCTGGAGTACTGCGGAGTGCGGCGTTGAACAAACAAACAGACAGACAGACAGACAGACACTTATGGGGAAGTCGGCCGGCAGCTCGAACGACAGGTCCATAATTCTCATTTTACGGCCGCTTCCCTTCGAGGTGTATGTGAGACCCATATAATATATTCAATGAACAAAAAATTAAACCAGTCTTCAATTGGTTTGGGAATTGCATTTACTACATACTTAGGTTTTATAAAAAAAATCTCTAGGCAGTAATCCTTCTGCTCTTCATTGCAATAAAATCCACAACTGATACCAACAAAATACGAAGCTACACACACCCCCTTGTACACACCCAGGAAAAAAGCTTAATAATAATGATGTAATGAATGGAAATCCATTTGGCAATGCCTTTTCTCGCCTTTGACGCAACGCATGAAGTGACGCATAAAACTACGCATCATTAAGACTGTTGTTGGCCCAGGGCCAAGTTTTCTTGTTGACGTGGCTGGTCTGAAGCAACAGTCACTCACTCACTCACTCATATCGGTCATCGTCAATAGGTTAAACGACCGCCTCCGTGGTCTAGTGGTAGAGCGTCCACCCGGAGAGTGGAAGGTCCGGGGTTCGATCCCCGGCCGCGTCATACCAAAAGACGTTAATAGATAGTACTTGTTGTTGCCCTGTCTGGCGCTCGGCATTAAAAGGCTAAAACAAGGACTGGTCGGCTCGGAGTCAGTATACTGTGTCTGAGTGGGATATCCATGTTAAACTGAGGCATGGTATCTCAGTGTGCTAGTACTATAAATCAGCATCAGGCAGGACCAGTACAAGTAGCCACACACACACACACACGCGCGCGCGCGTGCATACACGTCGCTATTTAAGTGCAATAATCTTGGAATTTCACCTCACCTCAATAGGTTAAACCTGCTGCTGCGGCGTTAAGCTATATTCGTTCTCTCACTCAGTAATATGACACTTATACCGCGAGTATCTCTAATCTAGCTGAAGCCCTTTCAGGCTCATCCGTACAAACACGGGAGGCGGTACTGCATCTCCCACAACACAATCTCATTACAATCAGATCACAATTCTCGTTACCGCTAAACACACCATTAAAGGTCACGCCAGAACGACCTTTCGCGATCTTTGACCGACCAATGAAATGAGTAACAAGTCGACATTAACCAATCAGAAAGCAGCTTTCTCGAGCTATACGGCAGTAGTTTTCCAGACTACGCTTTCAAAGATATTTTGACAATTTTAACACTGAACTAAAGAATATTGTGGAATGTCTTAAAGAGGGCCTTATTGTATGGTAGTACTTCCCACGGGCAATGCAAAGTCTCTTCATTTCCAAATGTTTATCCTGTTGATAAGATGATGATATTGGCGGATTCAATCGCACAGCCAGTGTTCGAAATACCTGCCTGCCCGACCGTCCGAGACGGGTTGATTTCAACTCGGGCTGCCAGATTTTCAAATCCCCATGCCCGGCGGTCGGGTTATATTTCATATGTGAAAATATTCAAAATATTTCCCGATGATAAGCATTAATTCACATGTAAAGATGAATGATAAAATGTAACCAAAAAGAAACCCCGTTAGCTTATCCTGAGAAACATATGATTATAGTGGGCAGGCAGGTTTTGGTCAGGGCTGGCAAGTATTTCAGCTAGCCAGTCCTGTGGTCTGGCTGAAATTTTTGGGAGTTTCATACCCTGGCACAGCCCGTAACTGTTGTTCGGAATACACAGTGTAAACCTTTCCCGAGGTTGTTTGATAAACATATTCCGACTGTCACTTTCCTGATCTGGTAAGCGGCGCTCTTATTGGTTGGATAAAACGTCGTTCTGACGTGACCCTAATGGGATGTCCTCAGATCTTTGTTTAGCGGCAGGGATATCGAAGACCTGATTTTTTATTAGATTACCCACCACAAAGTCGGTTGAAGGGCAAGTGTGGCTGACTGGTCCGAGTTTTGTTTTGTTTGTTTTGTTGTTTTACGCCGCAATAATATTCAAGCTATATGAAGGTGGTCTATAAAATAATCGAGCCTGGATCAGACAATCCAGTGATTGATTTCAGGAGCATCGAGTCACGCAATCGGGATACGATGACATGCGTCAAACAAAAGGCGAGCCTGACCACCCGATCCCGTTAGTCGCATTTTACAAGCATAGTCGCGTCTTACGACAAGCATGGGTTGCTGAAGACCTATTCTACCCCGCATCTTCACGGGAGGACTGATCCCCGTGATCCTGGCACAGTCAGGCTGGTAAGGCTCATCAGCTCAGGGCCCTTGCCCCCTCTACACGCAGCCCACACAGCGAATGGGACTTCTCCCAGGAAGCAATGCCTTGTCAAACCCACCCAGTTTTTCGGAGAATGTGAAGATTCCCCGATCCTGCAGCCTTCAGCATTACCCAGATTGTCAGAAGGGCTGTATTCCTGGCAACACTCCCGGGTACTCTCCCAAAGTCAGTCAACAGATTGGGAGGTACCAAACCTAAGGCACCAAGAACAATGGGGAGTCGGACAACTTGATACTTGGGATAAGGTCCGCATATTTGCCTTTTTTATCCTGAATCTTGTCAATCACATTAGTGTCAAAAGGGACGGGAAATTCAAAGATATAATGATTTTATTGGATTTATCAAAAACGACAAGATCAGGTTTGTTGGCCTGGATCGGTCTGAGACTGTATACGGGCCTATTCCAAAGAAATTTGCATTGATCATTTTCCATGACGCCCTCGACATTTTCTGGGTCCAACCATGGATGGACCTCTGTGTCAAAACCACAAGCATTGGGAAGAGTCACTCAATCATGTCGCTTAAGATACTGTGTTTGTGCCAAAGCTGGGCATCCACTGACAATGCGTATCATTAAATCATAGCATAATCTACATTTCATATTTACATTTTATTGCAAAATCACACATTTTACGGTTTCGAGGGGGAAGTGACTGGTCCAAAGCAGGAAACTGAAAGCCTTCTGTTTCACTTTTAAGGCCAGCCGATTTCATCTGACATCAGTATTATTATTAGTAGTAGTAGTAGTAGTAGTAGTAGTAGTAGTAGTAGTAGTAGTAGTAGTAGTAGTATGATTATGATTGTTATTATTATTGTTATTATGATAATGAAACAGCCTATTTATACTGCTACAACAGCAATCACTCTCTAACTCAGTAACTCCCTTATGAACGATACTACCGTCCCTGCGAATAGATGTAACCCGCCAAGCGGCGTAAAACAGCATCCATTCACTCACTCACTCACTCACACCAGTTAACGTACATGATCTAACAGAAACCACAGGTATACCCGTTCATCTTCCGAACACTCACGGAAGAAACCGGAAATGCCCGAAGTGCCGACACGTACAGGTTTCACGGCCTGAAACCGAAAGGAGTTGCACACGGTATCTTTTCCGCCTACACACATACATCATCCCGAACAAGGTTATCAGCCGGAAGGTCGGGGTAACCTCAATGAATGTTATCAGCTAAAACCTAACTTAATCATCAAGGAGGTAATACATCACAAAAATAGATCTACACCCGGCTTGACAATGACAAGCTGTGTCAGAGGTCAAAGGTCACAGGTCATGTCATGACAAACTACTACTGCCACTAAGTAAACATAAAGTCACGCTCGACGTATCTCGTTTCTTCCTCGTGTGTAGGTCTCGTTGTCAGCGAGACTATCGTGTTAAGGAAGGAGTCCCAAAATACAACTTGATCATCTGCAGTATTATCCGGGATTCGTCGACCTAACATGCCCACAGCATGATACGCGGTAAGTCTTGTAATCTGAGTCTACAATGGCTGATATGTTATAGCGGGGAGCTCTGTTAACATCGCATTATGTAGAGTAGAAAACAGACTGTGTAATATTCGACAATTACAACCTGGTAAGACGGCATTTTTCACATGTAGTCAACCATCACCTTCACGCGACTTGGTTAATTTCTCGTGAGTATTTATTCAGATTTGTATTGTGTGTGTTCTCCACGTGCGTGCGTGTATATCATTCAGTTTATGTCCATATCATACAGTTATTGTGGATATCATTCAGTTTATGTGGATATCACTCGAGTTATGTGGATATCATTTCGTTTATGTGGATATCGCTCGGGTTATGTGGATATCGCTCGGGTTATGAGGATATCGCTCGGGTTATGTGGATATCACTCGAGTTATGTGGATATCATTTCGTTTATGTGGATATCGCTCGGGTTATGTGGATATCACTCGGGTTATGTGGATATCATTTCGTTTATGTGGATATCGCTCGGGTTATGTGGATATCACTCGGGTTATGTGTATATCGCTCGGGTTATGTGGATATCACTCGGGTTATGTGGATATCACTCGGGTTATGTGGATATCGCTCGGGTTATGTGGATATCGTTCAGTTTATGTGGATATCACTCGGGTTATGAGGATATCACTCGGGTTATTTGGATGTTATTCGGTTTTTGTGGATATCATTACGTTTATTTATATATCATTCAGTTAATGTTTACCCGTAAGTCTCCAACGAGGCTTTGTTTACTGTTCTGTGATAAATATGCCCCATACATCAAAGGTGGCACAATTTTCAATGCAGAGTTGCTCCCCTTGGTAATGGGTTCGAATGGAAGATTTGCACTGACGATGGCCCTTGGTTTGTCTGCACCACACCGACGCTCAGTTGTTGAAACCTTTAGCACTTCGGGCGTCACTCCAGCCTCAAGCTGACACGCCGTGATGTAACCATTATACTGTTCGCAACGGCGTGAAACCCAACTCACTCACTCACGATGCACATCATTCTACCTGATTTGGGAATCACCTAACACCACCACCACCACCACCACCACAATCACCCCACCCCAACCCACAACACCCCACCCTAACCCCGCGCTCTCCCCCCACTCTCGGTACACTCACCTAAGCCGTTCCCACACTACACACCCAAGCCTTCGGTGACGCAGCAGATATGGCCATAAATACGTTCACTCGATGAATATATGGCAATTAAGACAATCACTTCCGCTGATAGTCTCGCGACGCTGACTGAATCCTGTCACATCATTTACTCTGCTACACCTCTGTACTGGCGGCCGTTTCCGTGGTCTAGTGGTAGAGCGGCCGCCTGGAGAGCGGAAGGTCCGGGGTTCGATCCCCGACCGCGTCATACCAAAAGACGTTAAAAGATGGTACTTGTTGTTACCCTGACTGGCGCTGGCTCGGCTCGGAGTCAGTATACTGTGTCTGAGTGGGGTGTTCATGTTAAACTGCTGCATGATATCTCACTATAAAATCGGCATGTACAGTCATACACACACACACACACACACACACACATACACACGTGCACGTCGCTATATAAGTGCAATAATCTTGGACGCGACGTTAAACCCCGTATCAACTCACCTAACTCTAATCTGGCAACTAGTGTAGGATTAAAGTGTTTCTTTTAGTGTGATGGTTACCGTGTATACTCCCGTTGCTACAATGCGTTCATGTGACCTATATATACATATCAATCAATACTCGCCAGTGCGACATGCGTCTGTACGCGAACGCCTCCACGACTTATGTAACAATAGACGGCCTAGTGGTCTTGTGGAGACCATGAACCCTGTTTCCTGTCGTCAAATGGCTTAGATATTGCCCATGCCACGTAAAAGACATTTAACACTTGTTTTCGTCCATGAATTAGTTTTTCACTTACATAACGACGTGACAGCCTTATGTGGAAGGAGGGGGCGGGGTGACGCAGATATTTCATAGCTGACCCCGCAGTAAACCCCACGACAATGGGACCAGCAAACGAGGAAGGAGAATGAGTGAGTGAGTGAGTGGGTGGGTGGGTGAGTGAGTGAGTGAGTGAGTGAGTGAGTGAGTGAGTGGGTGGGTGGGTAGGTGGTAGAGTGAGTGAGTGAGTGAGTGGGTGGGTGGGTGAGTGAGTGAGCGAGCGTGTGTTTGTCACAGCAGGCTTCAAACGTGTACCTGTGTGTAGAATCGAACTAGGGTCGTATGCGTGACGAGCGACTGCTTTAACCACTAGACTACTGAAGACTGTGGTATCGAACCTGGTGTTGGAACACGCGTGTCAACCACTGCGCCACCCTACCGTCCTTGAAGAAACCGCAGGTGGAGTCCGACACCAATGACTCCAGTTGTATTTCTCGACACCACCAATAAGCGTAAGCGTGTTGACATTACACTCAAAAAGGTTAACACTTCATTGGTAAGATTTTGAGACGGCCCCCACTTACTGGTGTATAGTATCTCTGTTGTTTTACGAAATATAATCATAATACATCGGCCCAGTGAGGAGTCCGGGTTTGAATTTGTCACCAGGAACCCATGCTGGTTGTATTGCTTGTTGGTTTGTTGTTTAACGCTGCACTCAGCAATATTCCTGCTATATGACGGCGGTCTGTAAATAATCGAGTCTGGACCAGACAATCCAGTGATTGACAACATGAGCATCGATCCACGCAGTTGGGATCGATGACATGCATTAACCAAGTCAGCGGGCCTGACCACCCGATCCTGTTAGTCGCCTCTTACGACAAGCATAGTCGCTTTTTACGGCAAACATGGGTTGCTGAAGACCAATTCTACCCCGGATCTTCACGGGACCCATGCTGGTTGTAAGAGGCCACTTAATGGATCGGGTGGTCAGGTTCGATGACTTGGTTTATTGCGTGTCATCGTACCCCGACGGCTTGGATTGTGGCTCAGAATATCAGTCACTGGTCTGGTCGCGATTCGATCTACTTACAGACCGCCTTCATAAAGCTGGCATAGTACTGGCATAGTGCGGCGTTAAACAACAACAAAAATGTAACGACGAATAAGTCGCTCTTACGGTAAGAATAACATACAGGGTCCGATTCTGGCGTATTACTAGTTTCACAAAAATATAAATTAGCCCGCAAATATCACTGAATCACAGTGATTTTGTAAAGGAAATATGCCTTCAATGATGACTGAAGAGACGTGACTTGACAATGCGTGCAACGACCCGTGCTGTCGAAATGTGATGACGCACTGAGGAGAGGGAGCTTTCTTTCAGCGCTTGTCCACCCAAGCTCTACTGACGCTAAGTAGCTATCTGATTCAGGTGAAGTTATTTCTGGTCCACGACATTCCGAACTGTGGGAAAGCCCGGATGTTGAGTAACTGCGTTGGATTAATCGTAGCTTTGAGCAGCACATTGGTGATAGCACAGTATGTAAGAGTACTGAGGGAGGAAGTGACGTCGGTTTTTAGATGTGTACCATATTTGCGATCTCCACGACCATCGGATCCTTGCACACAACTAAGGGACGCAACTCAGCACTCTGGCCAACCCGTGCCCCCTATCTATATGTAGACAGCAGATTGGCATAGGATCCCATCACCAGTTCGTCGTGTAATGCAGTAAACTACGTTTATAACGAACACGCTTATTACGAACTTACCGATATAACGAACTTAATTTTAGTCCCGGCCATTTGTTGTATATATGCTGTATAGATGCTTATAACGAACTACGGTTATTACGAACTAAAATTAGTGGTCTCTTTGTGTTCGTTATAACCGTAGTTTACTGTAGTTTTTGTTATATGCTACTACTAGGGGCTATGGATCGACCGCTAGAAAAGTCTGCCAATGTGCGCTGAAGGATTTACACCGCACTTCTCCCTCTCCGATTCATAAAATCATGAAACATTTATATGTATAATATATGCTGATCACTTCTTGAATCACTTACCTTCAGATACCAAAATGTTCGTCCAAGGCCCCGTTCTTAGAGCTAAGACGATCGTAACTCCCATACTGCCTGACGCAGTCGTAGCGCTAAGATCGCTTTGTAAACGGGGCCCAGAGCGAAAACAACACCCCCCCCCCCCCCCCCAGTGGTTAAAGCGTTTGCTCGGCACTCCGTAGACCCGGGTTAGATTCCCTACATGGGTACAATGTGTGATGCCCATTTCTGGTGTCCCCCATCGTGATATTGCTGGAATATTGCTAAAAGCGGCGTAAACCCATACTCACTCACTTACTTCTCCTTCCAGATAATGTCTGCAGCGAACATCCTAGCGAGTCTCAAGGAAGCACTCTTGGAGTGCCCGATATGTCTCGACCATTACGACGATAGTGTCCGTATTCCACGTCGTCTGCCGTGCTGCTTACAGACGTTGTGTCAGCCGTGCCTGAAGACGTACAGCAGGGACATTCCGAAAATAACATGCCCCATGTGTCGCCAGGACTGTGACCTTCCCGGGGGGGTCACGTCCCTCCCGAAAGAGCAGCTTATCCTGCGGTTCTTGGAGCATCTGAAGACATCACTGAGCAGCCCTGTCCCTTTCTGCTCGCGTTGCGAGGAACCCACCCCTGCCTCCGCCAAATGTGACACGTGCGTCGCCTTTCTGTGTACTGGGTGTCTGTTTGCTCATTTAGCGAATCGGGGGACCAAACGACACGTCACTGTCACGTTTGAGCAGGCGAGATCGGACCAGATAGTCAGAAGAAGCACCATTCGTCAAGGTCGCTCGGAACAAAGCCAAAATGGCGGACATATTGTTTCCAGGAAGATTTCTGAACTGGGGAAAAGGATGGAGGAATTATCCAGTATTAGGGACAAGATTGTCCACTCCAAGACGGCGGTCGTGGACGACATTAACCATGTGTTTGATGACCTTGTAGAAAAACTGCAACAACGGAGGGGGAAGCTTCTGTCACAAGTGGAGTCAAAGGTCGAGAGGGAGGTCAAGGTCATCTCAAGGGCAATCGAATCACACAAGGTCACACAGTTTAAATTAATCGAAGCTTCTAAGAGTCCACAGAAATCATTGAGGTCAATTCTTGAGGAGAAGCCACAGGATGTAAAGTTCGTCAGACGGGGCGTCAGTTTTGTGCCAGCCAATATTCAAAATTTAGCCTCTACCATTATGACCGGCGCTGGACTGGTCAGGACAGTCACCTTTACTCCCATGGAAAGACCGAGGGGGCTGGACGAGGAGAGTCACTGCAACTCCATCAACCTGGAGCCTTCAGAGACCCAACAAGGTATAGTCTATAATGTCAAGAGTTGGAGGTTTCAAACAGAATTAGAGGTATCAAATTGAACCTACATGGGGCCTTCAGAGACCCAAAAAGGTATAGACTATAATGTCAAGAGTTGGAGGTTTCAAACAGAATTAGAGGTATCAAATTGAACCTACCTGGGGCCTTCAGAGACCCAAAAAGGTAAAGACTATAATGTCAAGAGTTGGAGGTTTCAAACAGAATTAGAGGTATCAAATTGAACCTACCTGGGGCCTTCAGAGACCCAACAAGGTAATGTCAAGAGTTGGAGGTTTCAAACAGAATTAGAGGTATCAAATTGAACCTACCTGGGGCCTTCAGAGACCCAAAAAGGTATAGACTATAATGTCAAGAGTTGGAGGTTTCAAACAGAATTAAAGGTATCAAATTGAACCTACCTGGGGCCTTCAGAGACCCAACAAGGTAATGTCAAACGTTGGAGGTTTCAAACAGAATTAGAGGTATCAAATTGAACCTACCTGGAGCCTTCAGAGAGCCAACAAGGTAATGTCAAACGTTGGAGGTTTCAAACAGAATTAGAGGTATCAAATTGAACCTACCTGGGGCCTTCAGAGACCCAACAAAGTAAAGACTATAATGTCAAGAGTTGGAGGTTTCAAACAGAATTAGAGGTATCAAATTGAACCTACCTGGAGCCTTCAGAGAGCCAACAAGGTAATGTCAAGAGTTGGAGGTTTCAAACAAAATTAGGGGTATCAAATTGAACCTACCTAGGTGGAGACGCCGAATGTCCTAGCAAAGTATTATCATGTTAGCATGGGTATGTGTTCCAATCATACACTACTCAACTTTTGATAGGGATGGGGAGAATGTGGCTGAGTGCTGGTGTGCGCTTGCATTTTATCCTGCAGCATGTCACGTGAACAATTTGGTTTTTTCTTCGGTCTAAGCTCAGGTCAAATGATATTTTCCTGTTTTTCCCCTAACTTTAAGAAGATTCACTTTTTCTTTGACTTGCGATTGACTCGAGTCTTGCCCCCTTTGTGGAATCTCTTCTCGTGATGATGACGTATTTTATTTCAGCCGCTGAGGTCAAGGTCCACGTGGTGTCAGCACGTGGTTCGCAGGAGGAATGTCACACAGGTAATTCACACACTTGTGTCGTGTCACGTGTGTCTCTATGATGTTTACGGGGAGAGACCCTCAGCTGCCCATGCTTGTCGTAACACGGGATCGGGTGGTCAGGCACACTGACTCGGTTCATGCATGTCATCGAATCTCAATTGCGTGGATCGATGCTCATGATGTCAATCACTGGATTGTCTGGTCCAGACTTGATTATTTACAGACTGCCGTCATATAGCTGGAATATTGTTGAGTGCGGCGTATAAAAAAATAAAATAAAACAATAACTTATTAGTCGTCTCTGGGGACCCAGGTCGTCACGGGGTCGTCACGGAGTTGAGAGTAGTAGAATCACGTACATGAAAACCATCTGATGAAACCAGCTGAAGTAAGTGTGTCCATCGATTAAGTGTGAGTGAGTGTGTTTCAGCAATATTCCAGCAATATCACGGCGGGGGACAGCAGAAATGGGCTTCACGAATATTACCCATGCCGGGAATCGACCCCGGGTCTTCGGCGTGACGAGCGAACGCTTTTACCACTGGGCTATCAGTCCGCCCCCAATCGATTAAGAAGAGAAATGTTCTATCTATAGCTAGTGCCGCGACGCAAATAGTTTTTTGACATAGGTCTGATTGTTAACGCCGTCACGACTTCACAAAGCACGACGACAAAGGAACGACTGACAGTGTAGGTGGGAAGACGGGATCGCGTTACAGTGGCGATGAGGGTGTATCACTGTATTGTCAAGTGAAAGGGAAATGCATGCGTTGTCATATCGTTCAAAGTGTCTTTTCATCTTTTGGGTAAACGTGACGTGTTGTTACATTTAATTTACACTTACGCTTTGAATCACGGTTTGAATAATGAGAGGCAGATACGGAATGTATAGTTTATTAGGCTGCACTTCATTCGAACATATCAGGACCCGGAGATATGACACAATGCCCGACTTGCAGAGTCACAAAGCTAAACGGCCGCTTCCGTGGTCTAGTGGTAGAGCGTCCGCCTGGAGTACGGATGGTCGGGGTTTGATCCCCGGCCGCGTCACACGAAAAGACGGTAAAAGATGGTACTTGTTGTTACCCTGTCTGGCGCTCGGCATTAAGGAGGTAAAACAAGGACTGGTCGGCTCGGTATACTGTGTCTGAGTGGGGTATGTATGTTAAACAGCGGCATGGTATCTCAGTGGGCTAGCATTATAAATCGGCATCAGTCCGGACTAGTACAAGCACGCACGCACGCACACACAAACACACACACACACACACACACACACACACACACACACACACACACACTTCGCTATATAAGTGCACTAATCTTGGACGCAGCGTTAAACCCCATTTCACCTCACCTTGCAAAACTTAACTTAGGCGTCGCGCACACAGCATGTTGTTTGTTTGTTTGTTTGTTGCTTAACGCCGCACTCAACAATATTCCAGCTATATGACGGCGGTCTGTAAATAATCGAGTCTGGACCAGACAATCCAGTGATTGATAACATGAGCATCGATCCACACAATTGGGACTTGATGACATGCATCAACCAAGTCAGCGAGCCTGACCACCCGATCCCGTTAGTCGCCTCTTACGACAAGCATAGTCGCCTTTTACGACAAGCATGGGTTGCTGAAGACCCCGGATCTTCATGGGTCACACAGCATGTGGGCGTACTTCATTAAGACAGTGTTTTCAGGCGTTTTTCAAAACTATTTCTGCATTTTCTTTGACTTATGTGCCGTGGTGATATCTTCCGTCAGGGTGTTCTTGTCGTCAGTAGTGCCAACAGCAACCACGGGCCAACCATGCATCTCAACCTGAAATACATGGCTGTTATGTAGTTTTAGGGCGCATCAGCCTGTAACTCCTACTGTTTCAATCTCCCTGATATTTCGCGAGACATTTTTAATTTCCTCATATACGCCATTTATGTTGATGTCATGACCTTGTATGTTACCTGGACTACTTTTTGTTCAGGTTCTCAGTGGGATCAAGTAGTAGTTCTACAGAAGGACAAAGACGTGAAGCATATAATATGTAAGTATATGGTATTAGTGAAATAAAAGCTAACCTGACATTTTAGGTGGGGATACTTTTGTATGAAACGTATACGAAATCGGAAACTGCTTATGTCATCCACATCTGGGGCGCGTTGCAAGCCACGAATCGCTTAGAGAAAGCAAATTCATCGCTCAACCCGGGGTCTGCAACAGTTCGAAGCGCTTGCGCACTCTTCCAAAATGGCGGCACAACTACCGCTTGGTTGCCTTGACGTTTGTTTGTTTGTTGTTTAACGCCGCACTCAACAATCTTCCAGCTATATGACGGCGGTTTGTAAATAATCGAGTATGGACCAGACAATCCAGTGGTTGACATCATGAGCATCTATCCACGTAACTGGGATACGATGACATGCATCAACCATGTCAGCGAGCCTGACCATCTGCGTAATGAAGAACGTAATAGAAGAGGCTCGATGACGAGCTGATGAAATTTATGACTACTTTGAAGATGTGTAGCAGACTGAGGATGATGGGGTGTTAGCTACCTTTGCTCATTTTCTCGTTGATCCAGTCAAGAATTCCTTGTTCCGCTGTCAAAGTAAGCCGCCATTTTGGTTTGAGAACGAAGCGACCTCAGTCAGCGATTGTTTCGCTTGCAAGCGGCTGAAAGTTAGCGCACTGTTGTAAGGCGAATCGCTGTACATCGCTTACAAGCGATTGGCGCTTTGCAACGCACCCCTGGCTTCCACAAGAGATAGCGCTTCAATGACGTTTTGTAGACCATTGTGAGGTCATCGGTTACCATGACGTCACAATCCAGTGATATCACACATGTTTCTATCACTGAGGCTGATTACCTATTTTACACTCAAGACACCGTTTACAAACTGAAAAAGTTGGGAAGAAATATTTTGGCTGATTAATAGACTTTTGATATAACATCTCTTAACACTCGTCAAAAATATTGAAAGGTCCTCGGCAAGCCCCGAAGTTTTAAACTTTTATCGACTCGGTGATATATTTGATATCAAAAGACACTCCGGTGGAATTTTCTATATAAGGACCCCCCACTCAGTCGTGACCTGGCTTAGTGAGTGAATGATGGTTACTACGGCACTCGCCAATATTCCACAATAATGCAAATAATCAAGTCTGTACCCCAGTGATTGACATCATGAGCATCGATCTACGCATTTAGGATATGGCATGCATCAACCAGGTGAACGAGCCTGACCACCCGATCCCGTTAGTGGCCTCTTCCGACAAGCATCAACCAGGTCAACGAGCCTGACCACCCGATCCCGTTAGTGGCCTCTTCCGACAAGCATCAACCAGGTCAACGAGCCTGACCACCCGATCCCGTTAGTGGCCTCTTCCGACAAGCATGGCATGCTGAAGACCAACTGTAACCTGGATCTTCACGGGTTCCAGTCATCTCATGTATGCTTGACCAAAATACTTGCTGAGCCGTATATGGAATATGACCTTTATACTTGCAGGTCCATATATGGAATATGACCTTTATACTTGCAGGTCCATATATGGAATATGGCCTTTATACTTGCAGGTCCATATATGGAGTATGACCTTAAAATTTGCCAGTGCATATATGGAATATGACCTTTAGAATAGGTCTTCAGCAACCCATGCTTGCCGTAAAAGGTGACTATGCTTGTCGTAAAAGGCGACTAACGGGATCGGGTGGTCAGGCTCACTGACTTGGTTAATGCATGTCATCGAATCCCAACTGCGTGGATCGATACTCATGATATGAATCACTGGATTGTCTGGTCCAGACTCGATTATTTACATCCCGCCCTCATAAAGCTAGAACATTGCTGAGTGCGGCGTAAAACAACAAACAAACTTGCCGGTTCATACATGGAATATGGTCTTTATACTTGCAGGTCCATATATGGAATATGACTTCAGCACGGCAAGTGACGACATCATTGCGACATCCGGCTCTACTGTGTCGAACGCCATACCCTCAAACCCAATCTCAAACACTGGCTGTCGAATCCGAGCACAGAGACATGTTCTTCTGACCCCTAGTCTCGATCTACAAGCAGTTCATCGAATAATGTTTCAGATGAAGGTTACATTCAAACTAAAACAACCCATACCCGACAGAAAGAATATATTCCAGATCAGCTTCGTGAGCAACCCTATGGACGTCGCGTGGAGCCAAACAGCGGAACTGAACCTTGAACTCCGCACGTGCAACCAGCACAAGAATCATAGGAATCGCGTGTGTCTCTTTGTGATGTATGATGGGAAAGATGTGTTCTGTTGTGCTATTGGTCATAATCAAGCTGGCGTGTCGTGTGACCTTCACCTAGGGTTCTTGTTTGACAGGGCCACGAGGCAGATAGACATTCTGGGTGAGAGTTGTGGGCTGTTAGCCAGTGTGTCTAACGTGGTCTTTGAGCGAGCACTGTGGCCTATATTATATCTCGGCCGGCCGGAATGGACAAGTATCAATTCGGAAATTATTTCTGGGAACAAAGTTCAAGTTTCACAAGCGTTAAGCGACACTCTGACTACTGCCTTGTTTCCCCAAGCGAGCATGATGTCGGCTGTTTAATGCAGGTATCTCAACGACTAATCACGCTTGCATCGTCATTTAACACACTGCAGCTTTTTCAGGATATCTCGCAGATATGTTAAAAAGAGGTCTAAAAGATATTATCGCATAGGCTCAGATCACCGTGATTGACAGGTTTATGACAATCAAACAGACGAATCTATCACATCTGCATCCGGCAGACGTTAAGGGACACAACTCTACCCCGTGAATTCAGTCGTGACCAACTCGTCCCATTCCGGAACAAGCCGAATGGAGATGCGTGAATATTGGGTAGCAAGCTCCTCACAGCGATAGCCCGTTCGCGGAGCTCTCTATATTACCGAGAGTGTAACGAATGTGTCACGCGCTGGGAAGGAGCTTGATTGGGTAGAAGCTAAGGGACACAACTCTACCTTGAGTATTGGTTAGACTGGTATCCTGCTCTTCATCTCAGCTAGCGGCTGCAAACAGAGGCAGGGGACCAGTCTAGATTATAGAGCAGAAGCTAAGGACGCAACTTAATGATACTACAGGGTCGACGTGGCCATGATAAATATACCAGAGACGGATAAAAACTTCAAGATGGCTCGGTGAACATGATCCTGTTCCACAAAGCGATCGTAAGTCGATTTTACGTCTGAGCTACGACAGTCGTAGCTGCGATCGCTTTCGAGGGCAGTAGGCATAGTTTACATAAGGTATGTCTCGTGTAGACCTGTCGTCGTTACAAGAGATCTGAACGGGTTTTTTGAGTGTTTCAGGAAAAGATTTTCACAATTGTATATAGCATTCGTCTAAAATAATAAAACATTTTATAGATTGCCGTGCGTGTTTGAAGAAAAACATCGTTTCACTGAAACATACGGTGTTCTACGGAGGACATTAGGATCTTCACCCTGCCTGGCGGATCAAGTTGAGGTTTGATTGCGAATGAGTCCAGGGTAGAATGGATATAGAAATAATAATATACTGGGTAACCGCAGATGACTCGAGTGAGGCTGTGGGAGGGGGGAGGCTGTGGACGAGGGATGGCGGAAGTCGTCTGCCCCACGGCCCAGACGCACACTACAAATTGCGATAATATACTCTGCAAAAAAAGAAAAACGCAAAAGTGATTTCAGATGTATATTTTTTATATCTCATAAAGAATCAACAGATGGTAATTGATTGTTCAAAACTGGCACACATCATTGTCATTGACCCAGGTTCCATATGGCACACATGGAACAGTACATTTTCAAGGTGAAGGTCATCTGTTCTCCATATCTTTTATGGCAACCGTTATCTCATCCGTGCAACGCTGTGACGTTACATTTCCAAGAACTTGCACCAAGTCTGTTCTACCAGTGTGGGAGATGGCTGCCCACATCACACTACCAACCCGCGACGCCTGTAAACACGACGTCTAGTAGTGATACTGTTCTAGCCCTGCAATGGTGATTGGTGCTACGTGGAAAAACATGGCTACAGCTGAAGATGACTCCCCTGTTTGCAGTCGATCGAGGGCGTTGTTGCGCCAGGCTTCCGTCATCTTCCCGATGCAAGAGAGTTAACTGACTTTAAAAGTCCAGTTTCCACCCTTGCCGAACTTGGCTGGAATTCCTGGGCTCGATCGATTTTGATTGGACTATGCTGAGACTCGTTAGTCCAGCCAAAATGTAACTCCATAATACCAGCCTAGTTCGGCAAGGGTGGAGCCTGGACTTTTATAGTCAGTTAACTCCTTTGCGCCGGGAAGATGGGCTTCCGTCAGTAGTGGCTTGTTTTCGCAACTCGCTTGCTGTAAGATTGTGATGGCATGCAAATGAAAAACCCAACGTTATTATAACAAAAAAAGAGTTGCACGTGCATGTCATGTCTCTGTGTTTCGGCGCCGGGCTCTCACGTGGTTGTATGTTTGCGATTTTTCTATCTTTCTACCAAATGTCTGCAGTACCTCATTCGTTCTACACAAATCAATCCCAATCCATGCAGAGATGTCCAATTCGTCTTTGGTATTCATTTTGTGTAGTTGTCGGCAACACTCAGATATTTACGATGTTACTACTTTTGCGTTTCCTTTTTTGCAGAGTATATGATGCCTGTCTGAAATGTCTATCCGTATCCGCAAAGCAATGTATGAAATTTTTATCACGAGAATTTTGAACTAACTGAGATGTGGAATCTCAGTTATTTAAGATTCACGCGATTCACCCTCGTCTAGTGTATACATATCTCCGACGGGGACGTGGCAAACTGTCCAACAACAAGTTGGTCGTAGGATGCACTAAACAGTGTTGTTGTTTTAATACAGCCGCTTGACAAGGACGTTTAGTCGTGTGCGTGACAACCGGATGCAGGAATTGATAAATTGCAATACAATTGCGCCTCTTCGGAAGCAGGATCAACAACCGATAAACAAGTCCGGAATCCCCTTTGTAAGGACAGTTTTGTTAGAAACCGCTACATAATTTACTGATAATGAATATTTCTGGGATGTTTTTTGTTGTGAAGAAGAAATTTCATAAAAATATCCCCCAAAATATTCATGATCCCCAACCATATTTGTCTAGTATATGTTTACATGTACACATGTACTTTTCTATGACATGACATGTCCCATCTCACTGAGGACCGCCTCCGTGGCCTAGTGGTAGAACGTCCGCCCCGGGAGCGGAAGGTCCAGGTTCGATCCCCGGTCGCGTCATACCAAAAGACGTATGCCTGGTGCTCGGCATTACGGGGCTAAAACAAGGACTGGTTGACTCGGAGTCAGTATACTGTACCCATAGGGCGGGTCGAGAGAGAGGATTTAGTTATTGGACCCCTTACTTTCACAAATGTTGGATCCGCCCTTGGCGTCATAGTGGGGTATTCATGTTAAACTGCGGCATGGTGTCTAAATTGGCTAGCACTATAAAATCGGCATTAGTCAGGCCTAATACAAGCAGCCACACACACGCACACACGCACACGCACGCACGCACGCACACACACACACACGTTTATGCACGTCGCTATATAAGTGCAATAATCTTAGACGCGATGTTAAAGCCCATTTCAAACACCCCTCCCCTCCCCACCTCCCTGAGTTTGTTTAATGCACCCCGACAGGTAATTCAGTCATATCTAGGCGTTCCGGCATAACTGAGTAGGAAAGCTAGTTTAGTGACGTATGTCCCAACTCTTTACCACGGTGATGAAGGCCACGAGCGTGGGTATTGTGCAGAGATTCGTCATCAGGGCGAATCTAGGATACGAACCAACGAGCGTCCGAGTCTGACATGTTCAAGGGACGTAACTCTGCATGCACAGCGTAGTGAAGCGCCTCCTTGTCATCTAGTCCTTGCCACACACATCTTCCCAAGGCAAGGGAGTAACCTGACTATAAAAGTCCAGTTTCCACCCTTGCCAAACTAGGCTGGTATTATGGAGTTACATTTTGGCTGGACTAACGAGTCTATGCATAGTCCAATCAAAATCGTGCAACGAAATCGAAATCCGGTTCGTAAACTGTCGTGTAGATTTCGGTCGATTGCAGGATTTATCAAAGCATGTGCACCGCCAACTCGTTGTCAACAGATATTTTCCAAATCTTTTCATGTTTTTAATCAAGTTGCTCACGCATTGCGCGATGTAAGACCTGTTTTATCACAACATAGACCTTGATTATCGATCAGATCGTCTTGACCGGATGCTGCCATTTTGTTTGAAGCAAATGCAGGTGATACGAGAGGTGGGATCTGATTGGTCTAAAGGAGAGACTTTGAAGGGACATAACTCGTAATAGCCACTGGTGGCGCTACGATAGAGCCCAGGAATTCCAGCCTAGTTCGGCAAGGATGGAAACTAGGCTTTTAAAGTCAGTTAACTCTCTTGCCTCGGGAAGATGTGCCACACACGTTACATAGCAGAGTCATTGTTGACAGCAGTACGGTCCGGGTCGCCCTTGACAATTCATCATTCAAACTTTATGTTCGAAAGATAAAAACCTTGAAAGTTTTACAACGCTTTCTACTTCTCACTACCGAAATTGTTATTTGTAGATGGAAACTCAAAAGCTCCGAGTTCTTACTTCTGTCCGAGACCATATATTATATATGGTCGCTGCTTCCGGACACCGATTTGCAAAGATGAAGAGACCGAAAGCTCTACTCAATTCAATTCAGTTCTTTATTGTATGAAAGGCCACAGGCCCATATACAACGGAGTTACATAACATATTTTATAAGATACAAAGTCAAGGTAACAATTCCCTTCGTAACAAAAACACATGATGTATGTACCTAGCCAGTTGATGTTAGAAGATCCTTGCAGGACAGTAATGAAGACAAGCTTATAGTACTTGTTTCTTATAGTACTTGATTTTCGTATATAGGGCAATAAACATAAAATGGTAGTCATCTTCGACAACGTCACAGAATGGGCATAACCTTAGGGATTTCTCAATAGATGAAAATCTCCCTGTGTTAATTTTAAGACCATTCAGGCCAAGTCTAAAACGAATAATGATGTTACGAACATTACTGTACCGTAAGTTTGATAAATAAGATTCTGGTGCAAGCAATGACTTGAACTGGCGATAAGTATCATATCTCGAACTTTCGTAGATATCTGAATGCCATTTCTGATGAAACATATCAATGGCACGCATGCGAAAGTACTTAATGAAAACATTTGCGTTACCAGTTGTCTGGGACAGCCAAATGAAACCAAAGCCATGTAAAAGCAATGAACGTATACAAGAAGCCCATGTGTTCTTTCCGAGACTATCGAGGTGTACAAGCATGTTGTAGGTTTTCTTAGGGAAAAGGTGTTCAGGCATAATCATTATTTTACACCAATACTTCAAGCAACGAGTGTAAGATATAATGTACAATGGGAATCTCCCGCATTCTCCATAAACCATATTACTTGTTGTTGACATACCGACATTCAAAACCTTTTTACAAGCGAGGAGATGAACCTTTCCAATTGTATAGAACCCCATATCTCAGACCCATATAGTAAAATAGGTTGTATTTGAGAAATAACTCCAAGCTTAGAGATAACAGAGTGGACTTGTAAGAGAGCTTTCTTTGCGCTGTTTGTGAGATTAATTACAGACTTATTCAGATTCAGTGTATGGGTAAACAATATGCCAAGGTATTTGTATTCATTCACAACATTGATACATTTACCTTTAAAGAAACATTTCTCTCTTGCGGCCACTCGACCATCTCTAAGAAATATAACAATATTTGTTTATCAAGATTAACACAATCGTACACCGATTTGCAAAGATGAAGAGACCGGAAGCTCTAATCTGGGTCTGATTTCCCACTTCCGTAAATGTTTTCGGAAATAGAAACCTTGAAATCTTGAATGAGCTGCTAAAAGCAAACTTTGTATTTCATAGCTGATATTAGGGTGGCCATGTTTTCATTAACTGCCTTCTGTCAAAAATGAGAAAGAAGACATTTAACGACATACATTCTCGTTTACGACACTCGATATCTTACTATAATCTTTGATACTTGCAGCATCGGTTAAAAAACCTTTATGTATATAACAGAAACAAGATAACTTTGATCCAGAGGATCAACACGGTGCAAAGCTTTGTCGCAAACCTTCTGGTTGATGCAAGTACCTATACTGTCAAAAAGCGCACGTGTAACCCAGAAGACAAAACAAACAAGGGCAAAAGTGAGCGTGGCTCACTAATACCCCCGACCCGCCTAGTGTGTCAGTAGTTTCAAATTAAATAACTTAAAAATAGTGCCATGCGTGGCCCTGTAGCTCACCTGGAAATACCAAGTTTCAGTGAAATAACTGAAAAAGTGAAAAAGTAAGCAGAGCTTACTAATACCCCCAACTTCAACCTTTTCAGTGTCAACTCTGCTTTAGTCATGCAAGCTATTTTCACAGTACTAATATAAATTAGTAAAAATGTAACCAGATCGAGCCTACAAATACCCCTGATTGTTAAACATTTATACATTTACCCTGTTATTGTAAAAGGAGTACTACAATATAGGGTTAGGGTTTGAAAAATTCATAAGAAAATGGAAAATTAATAAAAACATGTTTTGCCTTTTGACTGCACCCCTCCATATGACACAGATAATATGTACTAAGTTTGAGATGAATCCACTAAATAGTTAGAGAAATTGCACGGACAAAGTTTTCGGACGGACGGACGGACGGAACCTTGGTATAATTGTAAATTGCATGTGGTGCCTTCAGAATCAGGAATGAGAATAGGGCACATTTCACTATAAATATTTATGTAATAGAAAAATAGAAAACAAACATATTATGAAAGCAAAACTAGTATAGTTTTCACAGCAATGACTTCCTGAAACACTTGATATTATTTTCAAGGAACAAGGGGTATTCAGTTGATACAATGATAGTGGTATGCATGATACTGTTGACGTTGATATATCTACAGTGGTATTGTTATTAATACTTTTTTCATAATAAATCTTGTCAAAGTAATAGCTAACTTGTAGTAATAGTTTGTCATAATGAAGTAGATATGTGGAGACATGCAGATATTGTTGAAATTTAAACCCACAATGTTGTGAATGTGATTGTTATTTTTAACCATGACCCATACTTCTCTACAAGAGTTACTTCCCGAATGGTAATATGTGTACTCTTGTAGCCTGACACGTCAATTAATCATGCTGTCCAAAATTGCTATTTTCTCGTTACATGGAAACAAGATCATGGAGATAAGCTGTAAGCCTGTCCCGTCCCTCTCGACAGACAGACCCGCTTCACGGAAATGGGTCAACGTTTACCGCACCAAAATGCTGAAATAGGCAAATAAGTCGGACAGAGCTAGACTGGTACCCTGTCCTTCGCCTCAAGGCTGCAGGTGAGGACCGCAAGCGCTCTAGAGCAGATAAACCAGTCTAGAACAGGGCCTGTCTCCCTCTTATCATTGTTGCCGAATAACATAAACATGTGAAGTGTAATAATTTACAGTTAGGAATGTTTTAAAAAACATTTTCCTAATTATATATGTATTTCGTATGTATGCATATCATAATTCATATGTGAGACAAAGATAAAGTTTCTTTCAAAAGTTTGGTTACAACTTTCCAATTATTACTCTTTCCTGTGTAACTTTCTCAAACCAATAACAAAAAGGCATCATACAAATTTTCAAACAATCCTTTTTCCTGAAATGTTTTAAAAAAACCATTGCATATTTGCTTTTAAAATTTCATTATGTCAAATATTTTAAGTGCTCTTCCATGTTTGTCTGTTCATATTTTTGGTGGGTGACCTTCAAATACTTCGAAACGTTTGACAAAATATTTTATTCAATTAAAGATGTTTCTCCGCACACAGTTCTGCTATAACGTCTGTGTCATATATGACAGTCTATTTATTCTTTTGTGTCTATTTATAGAATCATGATTAGTTCATTTGTAATATGCAAAAGGAAACAAATAAAAATATTAATTAAAAATATATATATGACAGTAGATAAACAGTTAAGAAACGAGAGTAATCACATGGAATCAACCATACCTACACATTGTTCAATACTTTTTGAGTGAGTGAGTGAGTGAGTGAATAGTATTTTTCCGTCCACTCTGACCTTGCTGTGACCTACAAATCAGCATCACACAAATGATAATGTATAGGAGCTACCGTTGTCCCGGCTCTTCCTTTGTGGAACATTCCATGTTCTCAAAACAACAAACAGTGTCATCTTTCCTTTTTAATTCGTAAAAATCTACATTTATTCGTTTCATAATGATTCAATATAACAACTCTTTTATTGCACAGTTGTGGCACAGTGTCATATCAAAGACAATCATTCTACAAGTATTCATCGCTTTCATGAAATATTTCTATATGTGGGATATAACATTTCTCATTAAAGTAAAGAGTATGACTATTATTATCTCATCCATTGCAGAAATATTGCAGATTTGATTCTTCAATTTAATTCGCTCTCTCTTTATCTGACAATACTAGTGAGGCTATGAAGCCTTACTGGCTGTTCTGAATGAGTGAGTGAGTCTATGAAGCCTTACTGGCTGTTCTGAATGAGTGAGTGAGTCTATGAAGCCTTACTGGCTGTTCTGAATGAGTGAGTGGGTCTGGAACAGCGCTCTTTGAAGTGCTGCAGTTTTTTACTAAACCTAGGAGGCATACTATAAGGTTGAGATGTTTTGCGATATTATCACATGGAATGTGTCACCTTGAAAAAACCCAAAAAAAACATCAATTCATTGGCTTCTTCCTCATCAGCTTGTTTGGCCTTAAACCAACCAAACAAATACCCTCAGAGTTATTCAAAATAATATCCTGAATGATTATACCCCAATCTCACTGAAATCAGATCTTAGTTCTCGCTGCCGCTAACAAAGATCTGAGGACATCCCATTATGGGTCACGTCAGGCCGACCTTTTGCAAACTCTGACCGACCAATGGAATTACTGACAAGAAGTCGACATTAGCCAATCAGAAGGCAGCTTTCTCGTGCTTTACGGCACTAAATGCAAATGGGCGACTACACTTCGAAACATATTTTGACAGATTCTTGCTTAAAAATTGGAAATATGAACAAAAGAACATTCTCGAATGGCTAATATATGCTCCAGATTGTATAGATGCAAGCGTTAAGCCCGTATTCAGTTGTTAAGCCTGAAACTATCATTCGGAATATCCTGTTTTAACGTTTTCGAGGCTGCATGATAAGAAATCACATTCCGACTGTCACTTTCATGATCTGGTAAGCGACGCTCTGATTGGTCGGATGAAACGTCGTTCTGACATGACCCCTAATGGGATGTCCTCAGATCTTTGTTTAGCGGCAGCAAGAACTAAGATCTGATTTTAATGAGATTGAATTATACTAAAAATATGAAATAAAAATGGTCAGAGTCCATCTCACTAATGGAAGTAAAATACCAGGTTTCAACAAAGCAGCTGATAAATGCCATTAAATATACAACATTGAGGTGGTTCTATTTGTAAAACCCTGAATAAGGTACAAAACTTTGTTGCCTTAGGACATGTCACCAAGACTCATTCAGCTCTCTCAGATCTCTCAAATAGCACAACACACACATCACCACGTTCATCCAGCTTCACTGTGCGAAATACAAAAGAGGCAATGAATGTACAAAAGCAGACCTTTTATCAATATATTGTTTGTGAATATTGAGCTGGACAGCCTAAATTACCAACACGCACACATGCACGCACACACACAGGTAAGGGGCATTATGATTCACAAATGTCTTGCAAATGTACACCACACATGCACATATCGATTCATACCCAATCAGTAAAGTTAACTTTATATATTACATAACAACAGGATCTTTACCTTACCTCTAATCTTGATTCATAGACATTGGCACATGGCAAATTCACAAAAACACCACAAACTAAATATTGAGATATGTGCCATATCATCGCTCAAATACACATGAAATAATGACTGAATATTTGATCTTTCTTAACCATGAGTAAATATGCATTCAACCCAGCACTCATCCCGAAATAAATAGAATTTACAACAATTACTCTATATTTCATGCTACAAACACTCAACTGTCAAGTGGTCTGAAAACAGTACATTAGGGAGACCTACATTTACCATCTTTCCAAATTTGGTCAGGTTGTTCCGGTGACAGTGTTGGTTCCTTACTTCCATATGTACACGGATATCATAATAATCAAAGACAAAAACCTGAACCAATGTCCACCAGCGAGGAACTAGAAAATAATTGAAGAGGGTCTTCCACCGAGTCTACTTTTTATCTTCATTGTTGTCATGGTTACTTGTTTTGCCATCTGTACGGATGACAGCTGCTGTATCTAGCTATCTACGTCATCTTTCGGCCTCTCTTGATGAAAGCGACAGTGCACTAGGCCCTGTTTTGGTTTTTTTTTGCACTCAGCAATATTCCAGCTATATGACGGAGGTCGGTAAATAATCGAGTCTGGACCAGACAAACCAGTGATCAATATCATGATCACTGATCATGAGGTGAGGTGAGTTGAGTTGAAAAGGGGTTTAACGTTGCCTTCAAGATTATTGCACTTACATAGCGACATGCACGTGTGTGCGTGCACGGGTAGCTGGCTGCTTTTACTAGTCCGGACTGATGCCGATTTATAGTGCTAGCGCACTGAGATACCATGCCACAGTTTAACATGAATACCCCATTCAGACACAGTATATTGAGTCAGAGCCGACCAGTCCCTGTTTTAGCCCCTTAATACAGAGCGCCAGGCATCTTTTAACGTCTTTTGGTATGACGCGACCGGGGATCGAACCCCAGACCTTGTCCCCTGCACCCCCAGTTTTGTGGACAAAGTGGGAAAAAATGTTATTTTGTTCAAAATTTGGATTTCCTTAATTTCAGAGGAGTTTTAACATAGTATTTTAACATTGCAATGATGTCTATGTAAGTGGAAAGGCATCTACCTCGCTATTGGTCTTGTTAAATGTGAAATACATGTCACCCTGACTAAGCCATCACCTTAGTTATGATTATACTGTACAACTATTGAAAGGGGCACTAGTTCGCACTGTTTATTTTAACTTGAAGTGAAACCACAAAGTGCCTGAGAAGCATGGCAATATCAAAAACTAGTTGACAACATCTCCAAAATAGCAGACACATTCACTCTCCACCAACACACTCAGAATATCTCTACATAAAGTTGACAAGTATATATCAACATGAACTTGTATTTTTAAATTTCAATTCGGGAATCTGTACTGACATTTGCATCAGACTTGCATCTGAGCAGGTCTAGACAAATCCCTGTGGCTGTTGTTGTTGTAACTGACTGTGCTTCAGTCATTAAAGCATAAGAGGAAATTCATAAATAGAATATAAATAGAATATTAATCCGAATCTGAATCCAGACCATACATACATTTCGGTATTTTTCGCAGCAAAATCATAACTAATAACATTTGTTCATATTGTCTGAAGTAAACACTCACTGAGCAGGGACATATATATATATATCTATACAAGAAGCGCCATCACAACCTGTCCCTCACTCTGCAGAATACTTCACCAGGAAGTACAGGTCTGCGAAAAACACTACTGTCCCGAATATCAGCCCAATCATCATTTGCTGAAACAGAGGAAAACATCTGAATAAAAGTAACCATGGCAACAACCACAATCAAGATCAAGGCTGTTCCTGTTTAATTAGTGTTTGATAATTTGTGTCTTGTTTTTGCAGCACTGTGCGGTCAGTGCGGTGAGTGAGTTGGGGTTGACAGAGAATTGAACTGCATGACATGATTACATGATACATGAAAAATCAGCTTTAGAAAGTGTGTGAGTGAATATGAGGAAGTTTTTACACTTGTACTCTTCTGTGTCATTGTTTGCCTACCATGGGAAAGAAGTTGGGTCCGAAGGCATACTCCGAGGCCTTGTAGCCGAAGGCAAACGCTCCTCCCACAGTCACCAGGAAGTTGAAGACAGCCACCAGGTGGCGATTTAACGCTTTCACTGCAAGCAGACAATAGATTGTTGGATAGGCATTTCTTGGAAGTTGATGGATGACAAAGTAGACACTATTTGTTGACAACAACAGCCTTGTTATACTGTAATAGGAACATTTCAGCATAGATCCTTGTCAGGCAACGCTTCGGTATTAATCTACAAATTCACGAAGAGAAAACTAGCAGGATTCCAGATTCACCATCACAAGCCATCAATCAACAGAGATCACAGCTACTTAAGCCCATCTGCCAACGATGAGCCCATTAAGCAACAGTCTTTCCAATCTCCCTGCCTGTGTATATTTAATTGGGTTTAATTGTCTTCCTGTTCAATTGGCTACATGATCGTGTGTTCCCAGTCCATCATGTTGTTACAATATCATCCCTATGATGTTCCTGCTCATGTTAATCTCGGGGGCACGGGTGGCCCAGTCGTCTAAGGCGCCGCGATTCGCTGTGCAGAGTTGCGTCCCTTGGGCACGCCAGAAACCTATGATTGTGGGTTCGAATCCCGGTTTGCCCCGATTATGTTTCTCGGTTTGTCAGCACCGTACCCGTGCTCGTGGGTTTCACCGAAGTGGTAAACGTCTGAGACCTGCATCACTTCGGGCTTTCCTCCCACATTAAGCTGACACGCCGCGATATAACTGGAATACTGTTAAAAGTGGCGTTAAACCTCACTCACTCACTCACTCATGTTAATCTCTCATGTATGCAATTGTTATTACTGTTAATCCTCCACCTACTATATATATTCTGTAACATGTTCATCATTCAGGCTTGCTTGAGTGTAAGGATCTATACCAAAGTGTTGCTATTACACTATGATGAAGAAGTTGTTATCCATAAATTGTTGTCATATTGACCCGTAATGAGATGTCCTCAGATCTTTGTTTAGGGGCAGCGAGAACTAGGATCTGATTTTAATGAGATTGATGTGAGCCAGAACTAGATTCTGATTGTCAATGTATCTCAAATTCTCAAGAGTGTGAGTCACTCAATTGATTTGAGAATCGTACTATAAGCAGCTTACATTTACGCAAGATATTTTGTTTGAACAAGAGAGTAACCATGGTAACAGCAGTCTAAATAATCAAGACTTGGCCCGGCAAACCAGTGGTTGTAGTAACTAGTTTGAGCCACAATTCACACTGTGGGGACCTGATGATAACAAATATGGGTTACCATGGTTACATGGAATCTCCATGGGGGTGTATATCTTACTAGGATGGATATTACAATGTTAAAGACAAATCACAACAGCTGTCTGTTATGTGTTATAAATACTTGCCTTCCTGTCCAACATTCAGATCCAGCTGACCACCCTGAAACTAAACGTATGAATATTGAAATAAAATAAAATACATTACACTAGGTTCCAGAAAACCATGTTATGTTAAATCATGTGTATTACACATACAATCTACCTGAAATATCACAGCCTCATCCGAGCAAGCCCTCAATATATTAAGCAAATCAGGAGACTGTTAGAAATTAATTTTCAGCAGGAAAGGATGTTTTCCAGAGTACCAAGACAGGAGAAGGAAATCCTCATGCTGTGCTTGAGATTTGAGTAATTGGTGGTATCACCGCTTGTTTCACCACAGTAAGAACAGTGTCATTGTATTGAATGTCTATTTTTAGCATCATGTCATTCAAATTCAAATCAATTTGTTTCAGCGTATATAAATACATATCATGTTAATATGTAGCAGCAAACTGGGCAGCAATGATTGGATATTAGGCGCAATAAATCAATTATTGTTGTTGTTGTGGTTGTTATTATTATTTTGTTAGAATGTAAATTTAAAACACTTGATGATCGATGATGCCTCTATTAGTTTTATAATAAATAACATCTACCTGCTGTCTGTCAATATTCCGGGTCATTTGTCTGTAGTCTCGGTTCGCCTGTTCAGCTTTCAGCTTCAGTACCCGTGCCTCAAGTTCTGGATTCTTGAAGAAAGAGAAAAATGGGCATTAAGTGAGGAAGGTGAGGTGAGCTGAAATGGGGTTTGACGTCGCGTCCAAGATTATTGCACTTATATAGCGACGTGCATGCACGTGTGTGTGTGGCTGCTTGTACTAGTCCGGACTGATGCCGATTTAGAGTGCTAGCTCACTGAGATACCCTGCCGCAGTTTAACATGAATACCCTACTCAGACACAGTATACTGACTCCGAGCCGACCAGTCCTTGTTTTAGCCCCTTAATGCCGAGCGCCAGACAGGGTAACAACAAGTACCATCTTTTAACGTCTTTTGGTATGACGCGGCCGGGGATCGAACTCCGGACCTTCCGCTCTCCGGGCGGACGCTCTACCACTAGACCACAAACAAACCCTATTACACACATCTCCATTTTACACAGAGTACTAATTACAAGCGTCCAAATGTCACGAGACTGAGGGACGGTCATCTCCTCCAGGAGCAGGACAGACATATTTGATTATTTTCTGCAGTTATTTATGCAACACCTGTAATAATCTAGTTCAACTTGCCACTGAATAGGTACAAAATAGTTGAGAGTCGCAATGGTGTCCTATAGTCAAGCCAGTACAAAAGTGCGAACCAAAATTCTTGTCTTCTGTGTACTTGCATATTTTAGCCATATACCTTTATTTTAGAGCCTAAACATGAACATTAAGTACTATATTGTCTAACAGTATAATTACTTTTCAGAGGATGGTCGATTTGGATTGCCAACAATAGTATCTGAATTATTATTAACATGGCAATATTTGACAAATGGATTTGTCAGTGTTTACTTACCCTTGGTGGCAACTTGACTGTTGGAAGGATCACTTCACTACCTTGCAAAAGCTCGTGAAGGTAAATTTTTTCTCCTCCTAAACAAGATAATCAGTTTACATTGGATTGGCGACATAAAACAAGATTTTCCAATAAAAAACATGTTTTTCTTTTTTTCCAATTGAAACATTACCAAATTGAAACCTTTCCATCGTGCATCGTGTACATTGGTAAACACTAAAACAATCATAACGTTTCTATTACGAAGAAATTAATTCAGAAGTTCCTCTGTGCAATATATCCCCATGACTGGTAACAAATGTGAGAGTTATCTCCCATGATTAAAACACCCCCATCGCGCACCTTCATTCAAGTGTTCATACACAATCTTGACCAAACGAAAGGGTATTCGTTCTCTTTTCTCATCGCAAAAGCTTTCTAGCTCTGACTTTAAGTGTTTACTGGATTTGTCAAGACTCAGGACGTCACCAATACGTTTGCGTAAATAGTTTGTATGCTGTACTTCTAGTTCCGCTGACTCTATCCCCTCCATTTTGGGAAATGACGTCATATGGGACGGGTCCATATAAAGGGGGGGTGTTTTTTATAACATACAAAGTTTAGATTTCTCAAAATGCGTCAATAAGCTCAAACCTAATGCAATGCGATTACAGTTTCCTAAACTATCAAAGAAATTAAAATACCCTATAACGCAGTTCCAAACTATGTTGTTCACGTTTTACGATTTAACACGACAACATGTTCACCCCTCCTAATGGTAATTCATTGACCCACAAGTAATTGAACGAAAATGGCGTCCATGTGGTGGGCACAGGACAATGCTCCTGAGACGGCCAAGACGAACAGTGAACTTGAAGATTTGTTTGTATTTGGTTATGCCTGTAAAGTGTTTCGGGATGATGAAAAGGCATCTTATCTCGATCAAGGGAAACAGCTTATCCCATGGATGGGCGACGATCGTCTGATGATTGACAGGTCTGTGGCTCTTCCAGTGGAATATTCTAAGAAGTTTCGAATTTCTCGTGTTTACAAATCGCGCGGGTCCTAATTCAAGATTAATTTGCAGGAACAACGGTCTTGTAGCAAAGTGGTAATGGTTTGTGTTGTTTGCTACCGGAGGTGACATGACAAGGGAAGGGAGACAACTGGCTTCAACAGCAACTCGCCACCAACACCGCAGCTGTCAAATGGCAGATGGCAAACGGAATTATTCTGCACAATCTATGTCATCAATGACATGGGACATTATTTAGAGAATTGTGCAGATATGTTTTTGTTTGTAGCCATGGGTGGACAAAAACCACCATCTAAATGTTTTCGTTCCAGATTGAAGTGTTGACAGACTCCGTCTATGTTGGTGTGGCCTCATATTGGGTATGAAAATGGTTTGATGAAATGTTCATCTTTTCTGTCACTTAATATAATATGCTTTGGCAAACTTGATAATGTCAAGAGGTACCTGTCATGTCAAAGATAGAAATTGGGAGGTAAGAGTTAGTGTCGATGAAGGGAGCCATTTTGGTGTTAATATGATAAAAGATTCCTTGATCGTGAATATTGGGCTCTAAACATTGCAGAAAACACATAAATATGTGAAGCACTGATGAAAAAAAATAACTTTTTGAAAACAATAATAAAGACTTTGAAATGTATCTGTTGCAGATATATTTGTTCAAAATTGTCTTTGACAAGGTACACCAAATTGCCAGTACTTATCATAAGAATATGAAAAAGTAATTAGGACTAAATATCAGGTAACCTTATGAAAATTATTCATTAACTGAGCAGTTACTTCATACTGCTGTGGTGCCATATTTTTATCAGGTACATACCTTTGTTATACTACTTCAAAAGTCAACGACTTTTGATATATTGTTGAAGAATATGTGCTGAGTTATGACCTTGACTTGGCAGGTATGACGGCCGAGGACATCTGTATGACCTGTCTGCGTATGATGCTGAGAATGTCAAAAAAGAAAACATTGAGTTGTCTGAGACTGAAAAAGCTGTTGAAGCTGCCTGTGATGAAGAACGATATCTGGAACTACGAACAGATATTGCAGAAGCAGAATTATATCAAGGTAGATATAATGAGCAGTATTTTAGTTACATTATACATTTAATGATTAACAATTCTAATCACATGTCTCTTTACATGATGTAGAAGTTGTATACAATCATTATTGCTTGGGTATGTGGCAAGTGACCCAACCCTGATTGGTCATTGTTGTAAATCAACTTTGAACACAGAGGCACAGCATATATTGTTTTCATCTTCTATATTCTTATACTCAAGATTTGACAATGCTTGAAGCTTTTTGTTTGCCCCTTGTCAGGTGAATGATGATTCACAACGATTCTCTTGATGAAGGAGCAAGAGATGGTGTTGACATATGGTTTAACACTGCGTTCAAAGTTATACGCTTATATAGTGGTGTGCATGCTTTTGTCTGTGGCTGCTTGTACTAGTCCAAACTTGTGCCGGTTTTATAGTGATAGCCCACTGAGACACCATGCCGCATTTTTAACATAAATACCCCACTGTAAACTGACTCTGAGGCAAGCAGTCCTTGTTTCATCCCTTGATTGTGCCAGGCAGGGTAACAAAAAGTATCCTCTAAAAACATTTTCTGATATGACGTGGCAGGGAATTGAACCACTGACCTTACACTCTATCCACTGGAAGTAGAATATGAAGGCGGTCGAAAACACAAGTAGTCTTAACAATGTTGCATATGTTATAGTGAGTGCAGAAGTTGAAATGGAAATATGTTGTGTCTCTATCATGCTTATGAAATCTTAACTTCTAAATCAATCAAAACTCAAGAACATGTAAAAGTCATCTCAATATGGCAGTACAAGAACATTCTTTGGAAATCCTGATTGATATTAAAACTATCTTCAAATTTTCCAGGCTTATGAATAAAAATTTACTATGAATTAGATTAATTTGAACGCAACAAATTCACATGTGATGGAACATTTTGTGAGAACACAATGACAGTCAAATGCTTTTACAGTACCTTACTTTTTATAGAGGAAGAATGAAAATGTTAATACAAGTCCCACCGTTTCCAGCATACCGTATTTGACGTAATAAGCGCCCCGCTCTAATAAGCGCCCACGTCGATATTTGCTAATATATTGGCTAGTGAACAATCCCAATTAGCACCCCTTCCGATTGATCAATGTACACAAGACTTATTCATTCGCATATAACACACATTCGTCTGCAATATGAACCCTTAATTATGGGCAATTAAATTCTTGAAAAATATATCTGTCGTATATAAACATTTCAGGCTGTCAGCATAAACCACGAAATGTATCTTTCAACTATGTTTTTTCCACCAAAATTATATTCTAATAAGAGCCCCCTATTTCTAATTTTGAGAGCGCCCTGGGCACTTATTACGTCGAATACGGTAAGTCAAATGCTCGTGCTATTTTTATGGTCAGTGACCTTATGTATGGTATCTCCTTCCTTTTGTAGAGGAGGAATGGAAGCGGTACTACGAGTCCCTCCATGATGGTTACAAGGCAGTTGGGTTCAGCTACGACCAACCCGAAGAAGACATACTGGAGGATCATCAAGGTAGGGTAACCAGGGCTAGAAACTTAGCTTTTTTTAGTCCACTAGTCCTTACAATGATAACATAAAACAATACCCTTAAAAGGACTACAGGATAGTGCCAATTTCTAACACTGGTTACCATCAGCAGGTTTTTATCTAGACCTGTTTAGAGGCTGATCTTCAGTCCCAAGTCAGCAGCAAATGACTGTAAAATTCCCAATTTGAATTAAAACTGCCCCCAATTCTTCAAAATTTACGAAAGTAAGTACATTAGAATAAATCCAATTTGGAAGAATATCTCTGGGTTTTTTGCAATTTGCCTGCCAGGGGCACATAGTTTGGAATCCTAGATAAATCCCTGATAGTTATTAAGCATGTCATTTGTGGCCATGTGTTTCAACAAGGCGAGTCGGCTACAGCCTGCGTCACTCCGTGTCTTCCTCCCACAGCTGACTGACACAGTGATACAACTGTGAGTAGGTTGCACTGCTTAGCTTGGGATTTGCCTTTATTATTCCCTGCCATCAAGTGGAAGGGGTATATAGGAATGGGTGCTGTCAGTCCGTCCATTTCGTTTCACTTCCGGTGCTTTTTGATAGTTTGAGATTTAAAAAATTATTTTTCAAGTTTCCATAGCAACGACTTTGACTTGTGGTAGTGTTTGTTTCTGGAGGGCTAATGCCATGCACACAACCAGACATGTTATATTCACGGGGGAGAATCTTCTGCGGATCCACAAATTTCTGCGAATTTTAGTAACTACAGATTTGTTAAACCCCCCCCCAAATTATGACCACGCTCCATTGAAAAGATGTTTCAGCTGAAAAGTAAAATATCCATTCTTATCCCTGCATATTGGCAGTGGATATGAGTTTTTCATGCTTGTTTTTTTCTATTTTCCAGCTTTAAGAGAATCAGAAGATGACAAGCCCTTTGTTCCCCCACCAGAACTACAAGTGCCTAAGGGTGTTAACTTGGTACGTAATCTTGGTGATCCTTCATTTTCTTTAACATAGATCAGGTCCTAAAGCTCATGTGTATATATGGTTCAGTATTTTTAGCTTGGTTTTGTAAGTCCTACTGATTGACATGCATGGAGACCTGGGTTGAAACGGGTGCCCTATTTGTTAATTGCAATTCATTCTATTCTGACAGTGTTGCTCATCCAATCAACCACTGGTTTTCCAGCCTTGACTTTGTAGTTATGCATCAGTTCATATATTAAAGGATGCTGTCGGGGCACACCTGGCATCTTGATTTGACTTAAGTACTTTCCTTCGAGGTATTGATCAGATAAAGTGTTGTTGTGATTGCAGCCAGTCAACAGAAAAGCCAACGTCATCATTGAAAAGACGGCAAAGTTTGTGGCCGAACACGGCGCTCAGATGGAGATCATCATCAAGACGAAACAGTCGGGCAATCCCCAATTTGATTTCATGCACTTTGAGAACGAGCTGTCCCAGTACTACAAACACATGGTGAAAATGATCAAGTCAGGGAAATACAAGCCACAGACGCAAGAACAAGATGAAGAAGGTCGGACAAAGTTGCCATGTTTTGGGGCAATATGTTTGTTTAAGTTATGGAAAAGGATTTTATCAAATTTGAATTTTAGAAAGATAAGGGTGATAGTTTTACCAATGTCCAAGGAATATCACGAGGACTGGCTGCAAACATTGTACACATGTTAGGAATTTTACTGGTTTATTTCTGTTTGCAGCTTCTTGTAATTGCTTATGTGGCAGATTTGTTTTTCAGGCCTTGACGACGATGATGATGGACATGGCTACCTTCATCCCCTGCTGAACCCAACGTCAACAACACAGGTAAGAACATGTAACCATGGTAACGCCATCTGTGAAAATATAACAAAGTAATACAGCCAACAGTTCATGTAAGAATTTTTAACCATGGTAACACCATCTGTGTATATTAGTAGTGGGGCGATACATCAACGCATCGGTGGATCAGGAGTTTTTATTTCTCGATACAAGTATCAATCACAGTCGCACACTAGGTAAAAAAATATCGATTCTTGCCAGAAATGTTTGCTTTAATAACTGTTGCACAGAACACTAATTAGTATTGAAAACATAACTATTTTCATCCAGCTGTTAATCGTCAGTGTGCCAGGTACTTAGCCATCCTTTCTTTGAAAAAGATGGCTTACACACCACAGACAAGAGCACATGCAAGTATCGTGAACATGGTAACGTGATATGTATCAGATCACACAGCTGGTGTATTGTCCCAGCCCCAGTCTATATACGTATCTATATAATACATCCAACACCACATGTAAGAATCAGTAACCATGGTAACACTATGTCTGTAAGTCTATGTAACTATGAGCATGATAAAGCAACACCACATGCAAGAATCTGTAACCATGGTAACACCATATTTCTGTATGTCTATGTAACTACAAGCATGATAAGACATCAACACATGTAAGAATCTGTAACCATGGTTACGCCATATATCTGTATGTCTATGTAACTACAAGCATGATAGGACATCAACACATGGAAGAATCTGTAACCATGGAAACACCATATATCTGTATGTCTATGTAACTACAAGCATGATAAGACAACACCACATGCAAGAATCTGTAACCATGGTAACACTTTATATCTGTATGTATGTCAATGTAAGCATGATAAGACAACAACCCATGTAAACAATGATCATGCTTTTTGTGTATAAACAAACAGTCCCATGTATTTAAAAAATCAGACAATTTCTATTTATTTTTCAGCCGAGCAAACCAATAAAGATGCCAGTTGTCTCCATTAATGATACTTCCTATGGTCAGCTGATTAAGTCTATCAAAAGGAATTCAGCGAAAGTATCAGAAAATAGGTATGTGTGTCGATCTGAGTGAGAGCCTCTGTCTCCAGATTTGCAGATGTTGCAGGTCAAGGATGCCCCATGAGTGTTAGTGCTGGCTAAGTGGCAACAGGCCGTGCTGAGAGGCATCATCTACCAGGCTCAGCTGGTTGCGAGTTAGCTCTGATTATGATCCTTGGTTTGTTGTGGGTTTGCCCAAAGTGCCCCCGTCATGATTCCGGAACCGGTCCCCAGCAACCCATGCTAGTTGTAAGAGGCGAGACCCGTGAAGATAATAGGTGGTCTCCTCATGAAACTTCATACACACAAAGACCAGGTTGTCAGCTGCTACTTGGGAAATGTTTAGAGAATATATTTGTCTCTGTTTCCATGGCATCATGGACTCTGTTCATAGTGGTGTGTTTGTCTGAATCATGTATCTGAAACTAATCAGTATTTCTTCATGAAACTGTGCACACACAAAGACCTGGTTGTTAACTGGTGACTTTCGCTATTTAGGCATTTTTAGAATATATTTTTTTTTCCGTTTTTATGGCCATAGGTTTGATTTGGACTCTGTTCATAGTGGTGTGTTTGTCTGAATCATGTATCTAAAACTAATCGGTATTTCTTCATGAAACTGTGCACACACAATGACCAGGTTGTAAATTGGCCACTTTTGCTATTTAGAGAATTTATGTTTTTTCAGTTTCCATGGCAACAAGTTTTACTTACTGTTCATATTGTCATACCTGACATCGGAATACAAAGTTCCGAATCCCAATTCCATAGTATTGTTTTGATAGCTCGATAACTTCTCTTTTATATGGACAGACAGTTTGGATAGAAATTCCCTCATCAAGATGGACGTAAACTTATAGTCAGATGATTTGTTCTTTCGAATTTGTGGGGGCCGGTGAGATTTATCATCTTCTGATGACACTTGTTTAAACCTATGAATCTTTGTCATCTTAACCTAAATGGTAAAACATAAAAGATTGTTGAAATTAAAATACCATAGCAGATAACCTCTTGAACCCCCCAGATGCCCTTTGTTTTCAAACACTTTCCATTTATATTGAAGCCCTTGAGTGTTTCCACTGACATGACAAGTTTTTATGTCACATGTAATGCTCTTGTTTCCAGTTCTTCAGTGGGTGACCGGGACACAAACCCTCTTGCCCCACCCCCAATGCCCCCATTTGCGAACCAGACAGTGTATCCCTCCTCTGCCGCCCACGCTGGTCTGCCCCCTCCCCCTGGCACGGAGCCTGTGGTGCTGCCATCCTCGGAACTACCTCACATCCAGGGACTCCAGCCAAGGAGGGCCATGAAGCAGGAAGACGAGGGAGGAGGGTGAGCGAAGAATTGTTTTTTGTTGTTTTAAAAACCTAACTTGTATTTGCGTCCAAATATTGAAAACATTAGACTCTGGTTCAGGATAGGACCCCACTATTGTATCCACCACTTTTGGTTTGTTTTGTTGTTTAACACCGCACTCAGCAATATTCCAGCTATGACGGCGGTCTGTAAATAATCGAGTCTGAACCAGACAATCCAGTGATTGACATTATGAGCATTGATCCTCGCAGTTGGAATACGATGACATGCATCAACCAAGTCAGCGAGCCTGACCATCCGATCCCATAAGTCGCCTATTACGACAAGCATAGTCACTTTTTATGGCAAGTGTTGGTTGCAGAAGATCTTCACAGGTCGCTATCAACCACTGGTTTGCCTGGCTGAGACATTATAGTTCCCTGCTTCAGTTAACTGATGTCTATACTTGTCTTTTCAGAGGAAGTTCGACACCAAGTCAGATAGTCCCGCCCCCTCCTGACATTCAGCCAATCATAGACAGGATGGCGATGTACGTGGCGAAGAATGGTGTGGAGTTTGAGATCGTTGTGAAGAGCAAGGATGACACCCGCTTTCAGTTCCTCCATCCATGGCATGTCCACTTTCCATACTACGACTTCAAGAAAACTCTCTTCCTCAAGGTCAGTGTATGTCTTATTTTGCTCGTGGGGGGTCCTAGGTAGAATAGGTCCTCAGCTCCTGTGCTGGTCTCCCTATGGGGGTCCTAGGTAGAATAGGTCCTCAGCTCCTGTGCTGGTCTCCCTATGGGGGTCCTAGGTAAAATAGGTCCTCAGCTCCTGTGCTGGTCTCCCTATGGGGATCCTAGGTAGAATAGGTCCACAGCTCCTGTGCTGGTCTCCCCATGGGGTCCTTGGTTGAATAGGTCCACAGCTCCTACGCTGGTCTCCCCATGGGGTCCTTGGTTGAATAGGTCCACAGCTCCTGTGCTGGTCTCCCTATGGGGGTCCTAGGTAGAATAGGTCCACAGCTCCTGTGCTGGTCTCCCTATGGGGGTCCTAGGTAGAATAGGTCCACAGCTCCTGTGCTGGTCTCCCTATGGGGGTCCTAGGTAGAATAGGTCCACAGCTCCTGTGCTGGTCTCCCTATGGGGGTCCCAGGTAGAATAGGTCCACAGCTCCTGTGCTGGTCTCCCTATGGGGGTTCTAGGTAGAATAGGTCCACAGCTCCTGTGCTGGTCTCCCTATGGGGGTTCTAGGTAGAATAGGTCCCCAGTTACACAATACCTGACTTAGTTGGTTATGTTTGCAGGAGGTAGAACAGGAGCGGCAAGAGAAAGAAGAGGCTGCAGCTGCGGCGGCGGCAAACAAGGCCGTCAGCTTCTCAATCAAGACGCGCACCAAGGAGCCAGAGAACGTCACGCAGCTGAAGAAACCTCTCTTTGACTATGGCAGCAGTGAAGATGAGAATGAAGGGGAAACACTGGGTTAGTGAGAGGACTTCAGAAAAACTGGATTTTAATTAAGACGCTGGGGTCTGTCACCTGTGACAGTGGTGTGTATGTTGGGTGTATGCCTACATACACAGACAAATTAACATTTCTTCCCATTTTTCGCAGATGCATGTTTCAACACACCTTAGTCTCCCAGTTACTTTATAATTTTGACTGGTACAAGTAGCCACACTCACACATGCATGCTCATCGCTATATAAGTGCATTAACCTTGAACACGACATAAAACCCATTTCACCTCACCTCAAATGTCACCTACTTATCTTTTCTCCCTAGTGCAGCTCGCATGCTCAAATACAAGTAAAATACTGATCAGCATCGTGTAGTATCCCACTCGCTGACTCTGTCTAGATGAGTCAATGCATCAGCATCTTCCCGAGGCAAGAGAGTTCACTAACTATAAAAGTCTAGCTTCCACCCTTGCCAAACTAGGCTGGTATTATGGAGTTACATTTTGGCTGGACTAACCAGTCTACGCATAGTCCAATCAAAATCGCGCAACGAAATCGAAATCCTGTAATGCTGAAACTGTAATGCAGATTTTGGTCAATTGCAGGATTTGCAAAGCATGTGCAACACCAACTTGTTGTAAAGAGATTTTTGCCAATGTCTTAAATCAAGGTGCGCACGTGATTTACTGCACTTGTTTGAAGCAAATGCATGTGATATGAGAGGTGGAATCTGATTGGTCAATAGGAGAGGCTTAGAAGGGACATAACTCGTAATAGCCACTGGTGGCGCTACGGTCGAGCCCAGGAATTCCAGTCTAGTTCGGTAAGGGTGGAAACTGGACTTTTAAAGTCAGTTTACTCTCTTGCCTCGGGAAGATGATGCATCAGATGGCATTATATCCATGGAATTATAAGTCACCCCATTCCGATTTCCAGGAGAATCTGACAGCCAGAAGGAGCGAACCACGGACATCACCTCCAGTTCACCGACTGTTTCCGACTCAGGCCAGGTGTCAGAGGTCATAGTTGAGGTCAAGCCAGAGGTCAAGTCAGACATTCAACTCGAAGTCTTGGAGAAGAAAATGGGTGAGTAACAGTACACAATCTGTCTCTCCCTGAATCCAGAGTTGTGCAAGAATATCGCAGAATCGCGGCCTAGTCAATCCTTGTGTCAATATTTGCGTCCATCCGCTTCGAATCACGTCAAACATCACTATTACTAGTTCCGATGTTACTGTTATATTTGTTTTTACTCAAAAACTTTGGTGGTACGATCGATTCAAAATGGCAAATACTTTTGCCATGATATTATTGTCAAGTGAAACGGAATGGCCTACACATGCCAGAAGTTCGTAAACTTGATGCACTGCAGAATTATTGAGCGTAACCGAATCCTTGTAACGCTGATGGAGCTATCGAAATGTTCATTGACACAGACGATTAGTACGGTTATAAATATGACTTCCATTGCAATCAGAAAAAAACTGGCTATCGAGAAAACAGCATAGCAAATGTCAATCAAGTTATTTAATGTTGTGTCGACAAATGTGAAGCAATGGAATTTAGTCGCCACAAGATATTTTTCAAAGTAGTCATTTGCCGACCTCTGAATTTTTTTTTAGTAGACAAATTGAAATTTTAGTCGCAACTTTGAGGACTGCACATTCCAATTTTGCTATTAGGTGAAGGATATTATGATCACAAACATGTTCAAAGGTTGAATACAGATGATGTGAAAGTTGAAGAAAATCTTTCATACGCTGCTTAGGTGGGGTAGGATCATGCAGCCTGTCCATGTGGCAATGTTTCTTTGCCGTAGTGTTGCTATGATATCATGTAACTTTGTTGATAACTTTCTGGCTTTGCATTCAAATTAAATTCAGGCTTTCCATTATTTATTTCATTACAGTTTTGGAGTAATATATTCAAAATGTGGTTTGCATAGAACACTTTAAAATAATTTCACTTGGGCTGACATGATCAGGAAATCAAAATATCCCAGGAGATAAACTTGATCTTACCCATGCATAGACAGTTTTAAGACAAACTTATTAACATATTCAAGGAATATAATGGATAATAACTTCTTATCCCCCCGGCATATAATGCGGGGGATATAGCGATCAGCCAGTCTGTCTGTCCGTCCGTAATCATTTCCTTTTCCGGGGCAGAATTCCAAAACCATTTAGTGTATTTGATTGAAACTTGGCTAAAACTATCGGGCACATACTGAAGTGGTGCCTTTTGATATTTTGGGATTTTTCTAATTTTTTTTTTTTTTCAATTTTTATGGAATGAAGTTGGACATAGACTCAATTGGGGATGGGGTTCGTTTCCGGGGCAGAATTCGAAAACCATTCAGTGTATTTGATCGAAACTTGGCAAATCTATCAGGCACATACTGAAGTGGTGCCTTTTGATAATATTTTTTTTACGAATTTTTATTTTTTACAATTTTTATGGAAAGAAGTTGGACCTAGACTCCATTGGGGAACGGGTTCGTTTCCCAGCCAGAATTCGAAAACCATTCAGTGGGTAAACAATGTATGCTTCTTAAAGAACATTCAACTGTTGACTCATTACATACAGAATTGCAAATTTACTAGTGGTTACTTTACAGACAGCTGCCGGGGGAATATGTCATCTTTCTGATGACTCTTGTTTAGTATACGTACACAGCATTTCAGGTGATTAGGGGGCAAGATGTAGACCAAACATGCTGTGTATGTTGTTATTCATGATATTCCTTGTTATGTCCAACTCTAAAGGCTCTCAACTTAATATTTGTTTGTTTGGGTGTTGTTTAACTGCCACACTCAGCAATATTCCAGCTATATTATGGCGGTCTCTAAATAATCTAGTCTGGAACAGACAATCCAGTGATTGACATCATGAGCATCTATCCACGCAATTGGGATACAATGACATGTATCAACCAAGTCAGCGAGCCTGACCACCCGATTACAAGAATAATGTGTAGATATGTGAACTAAGTGCCAAGTGTGCTACATCCTCAGCTGAGGAACGCCTGAAGGACCGACTGGCGAACGCAGCGCGAGAGAAGCTGGCACAAGCCAGTAAAGAGAAGCAGGTTCAGGCGGAACGCAAAAGGAAAGCAGCCATGTTTATCAACCTCCTCAAAATCAAACCTACCTCAGCGGATGAGTCATCCAGGGATGGTGCACAGGAATCCTGTAAGTCCAAAACACTGCAGCTGCTTTGATATGTACTCTGTGATTGGTTCAGCATTGTATAACTGTTGTCGTTTATAGTAGTCAGGTCAGGTTTAAGTACTGAACACACTCTTGTGCATTTAATGATAAAGAATTACTGGAAAAGTTCCAGTAGAAATTTTAAAACCATGTTGGTACAAGGGCTGGCATAAAAGATCGATAATCAGAATTATCGTAGATGGGAAGGAATATTAACGATTATCGATATGAAAATTGTATCATTGATAGTATCCAGTGGACTGAAGTATGTTGATTTCTTTCGGACTCTTTTTTTTCATATTTGCTCAAAGTCACTTCCCCAATATTTATCTATAATTGATGATAGCCACCCTAGTTGGTGCAGATAGCATGTATGACAATGAGTGATGTTTAATGTGGTAGATTCTACATCCCCCCGAGGGACTCCAAGCAGCAGTCGTCCATCAACCCCTGGGTTTGTGTCTAGTCGAGAACGGTCAGTTCCATGTGATGACCGAGATCACCCAGTAGAACATGACAGGTATGACAGCTACAGGAGGGGCTGGCCCAGAAGGTCAAGGTCAAGGTCACCTCATCCAGCTTATAGATCACGCTCAAGGTCACCTCGGGGCCGTCACAGGTCAAGGTCAAGGTCTCCTGTTTACCAGTGGCGACGGCGACGATCGCCCACTCCACCAAGTGCTTTCAGTGTAATTAGAAGGTATATATCAGTTGTCAAATTGTGCAATGTGTGCTAGGGGCTGTGGGGTAGCCTAGTGGTTAAAGTGTTCGCTCGTCACGCCGAATGCCCAGGTTCGATTCCCCACTGGGGTACAATTTGTGAAGCCTATTTCTGGTGTCCCCAGCCGTGATATTGCTGGAATATTGCTAAAAGCGGCGTAAATCAACACTTGCTCACTCAAAGTAAGTAAATCTGGAGAGTGTCTTCATGCCCTGCTCAAACAGTCTGGTTAATGCAATCATTTTGGTTTAAACGAAAACTCGGGTACAGCAACATACTCAAAGGAAGATGTTAGTAAAGAGGATTGCGAATTTCAGTTATGTATAGCTTTGACCTCGCTGGCAGCATTATGAGTTGGAGGGAACATTTGAAAGATACTGTGAGGACTACTTATGTGCTTCATCTGTTTCAAGGTCACCAGCTCGAAGACCCTCTCCCCGATTGAGCAGTGGCAGGAGAAAGTCACGGTCAAGGTCACCACGTAGAGTTATTCCACTAGTTAGGACAGGAAGACGCTCAAGGTCACCGAAGAAAAGTAAATCCCCGACAAAAAAGAGATCTAGATCACGAGACAGGAAGAGGAAGTCAAGGTCACCCTCCAGAAACAAGAAGAGGTCAAGGTCAAAGTCTCCCAGCTCCAAACATAAAAAGCCGAAAAAGTCTGATGCAAGGTGAGGAAAAAGAGTTCAGTGAAATACTCACCTTTGGGTCATAATGTGGTTATTGTCAATGGTACCGGTTGAAGTATATGACAAATAATGACCCCAGACAACAGATGTGTGTTCATCTATTCACCCATTAGTGAATTGGTACCTGCCAGGATATGATGGTCATGTGGCTGTTATCCTGAGGAAACTATATCCCAAAAAATATCCCAAAGACATGTTCCTGACATTAAAGATTATTTTTCTCAATGTCAAATAAGCTTTGTCTTATTTATCTGACAAAATTACATGATAACTATAGTGTCTAAACCAGTCAGGAGGAAGGGGACTCCGATCACCTCATCAACTCAGGAACTGCTATTTATTGTGAAGTTACTTTCCTTTGGTGTGTCAGCATCCTATGATAGTGGGTTCAAATCCCAGATTTGCCCTGATTGGGATTCTTGAAATGTCAGCACCACATCTGTGCATGTGAGTTTCACTGCAGTGGTGAGTATCTGAATCACTTTGGGCTTTCCTCCCACATAGGCGCGGTCGGGTAGCCTAGTGGTTAAAGAGTTCACTCGTCACGCTGAAGACCCAGGTTCAATTCCTGACATGGGTACAATGTGTGATGCCAATCCTCACCCATGATATTGCTGGAATAATGCTAAAAGAGGCGTAAAACCTCACTCACTCACTCACTCACTCACTCACTCACTCACTCACTCCACCAGAAACATACATGACTGTTAAATTTGCAAGAATCCAGTTGTCTGTAAACTTCATTTGAGTAGTAAAGTCGAACCTCGCTTATCTGGAAACTAGCGGTTCCTCAAATATTTTTCAGATGAATGAGTTTATGGATATTTCACCTGAGCTACCTCCCTACCTAAATTCTACAGACTGCCCCAGGCTGCGTCATACCAAAAGACGTTAAAAGATGGTACTTGTTGTTACCCTGTCTGGCGCTCGGCATTAAGGGGCTAAAACAAGGACTGGTCGGCTCTGAGTCAGTATACTGTGTCTGAGTGGGGTATTCATGTTAAACTGTGGCATGGTATCTCAGTAAGCCAGCACTATAAATCGGCCTCAGTCTGCACTAGTACAAGCAGACACTCACACACGCTGTATAAGTACAATCATCCTGGACGCAACGTTAAACCCCATTTCACCTCACCTCTACCGACTGTTACAATGTAATGTGCAGAGACACGGCTGCCTTTTTTGATTGCATGTTACTTGAAGAGATCATCTCAAACCTCACCTCAGTGTCAATTGACACTGACTGCCCAACTAACAATCGAGACATGTAACAAATTACACAGTGATCACGTGATTCCGCCCCTCTGGTATTGGCCGTGGTGATGAATTGCAACACAAACATCATCAAGCATTGTTACTGTCCGACGAGTGGGACACAATTGTGGGTATTTTGCACTTTTGGTAATTGATTTTCTCGGTCCAGATCGGATAAAAGGTTATTCCGGATAAAAGGAGATTTTTATGTTGTAATTTTACATAAATATTGTCCAGTAGGTGGGGTTTCCAGGTGTCGTTCCGGATAAGCAGGGGTCCACTGTATGTAAAATGTTTGCTATTGTTGTACAGGTCACCCAAGAAGAAGAAGAAAGATAAGGACAAGGAAAAGAGCAAAGACAAACGTAAGGACAAAAGTCGGGATAAGGTGAAAGACAAAGAAAAGCACAGAAGTAAAGACAAAAGTGGGAAGCATTCGACAGAAACAGAGAGTTTGTGTAAAACTGAAGCTAAAAGTGTTGAAGAAAGCAAAGGTTCTGAATCCGAACATGAGCATGAGAAATCAGATGGCAGAGATAGTTCCTCAGATAGTGAAGATGAGGCACCACCAGTAGTGCCAAGACCTCAGGAAATAGATGCAACTATTGAGATAATAGAGATTGATGACAATGATGACCCAGTGGATGACATCCCTCAGCCTCCCGGGCCCCCTCCATCACTCCCCCTCCTGGCACTGGACGATGAGATGACACAATCGTAAGTTTCAGATAGTCCTTTCCTGCCTGTACATAGTTACGCCACACTTTCTTCATCTTCCCGAGGCAAGGGAGTCCAGTTTCCACCCTTGCCGAACTAGACTGGAATTCCTGGGCTCCATCGTAGCGCCACCAGTGGCTAGTTATGTCCCTTCTAGCCTCTCCTATGTACCAATCAGATTCCATTCAAACAAAATGGCGGCGCCCGGTCAAGACGATCTGATCGATCTTTACGATCTATATTGTGATAAAACAGGTCTTACATCGCGAAGTGCATCAATTCACGTGAGCGTCTTGATTAAAAACATGACAAGATTTGGAAAAAATCTGCTGATAACAGGTTGGCGGTGCACATGCTTTGCAAATCCTGAAATCGACCGAAATCTGCATGACAGTTTACGAACCAGATTTCGATTTCATTGCGAGATTGTGATTGGACTATGCATAGACTCGTTAGTCCAGCCAAAATGTAACCGCATAATACCAGCCTAGTTTGGCAAGGGTGGAAACTGGATTTTAATAGTCAGTTAACACCCTTGCCTCGGGAAGATGCACTTTCTTGTGATTATCAGAGCTCCAGATAACTTTTTGAGCAATTGAGTTTTTACTCTCGGGTTTCTATTTTAATTGGGTTATTCCATTTTTCATTGGGTAAGCAATATTTCTTCACTCATCTATTCATCACTCTATTGAGTTTTTCCCAAAATTAATGAACATTGTAAGATTTCAGAAAAATGAAATAATATTTTAGATGTATATAACTGTTCTAAATATGTAGGCTTGACTGGGAAAGTAAATTAGCTCTAAATTAAAAAATTCATTAAAAAGTGTCATGTATTCATGTTCTCCAAACTTCTAAATGCCTATCAAACACTTCATCTATGCCCTGTTGCACAAAGTACCGTAGCAGTAAAGACAATCATAATTTTGTTCTATGACATATACTAACTCTTGATGAGTTTGTATCTTTTGTTCCACAGTCCACATTTGCCATCAGAAAGTGACTTAACGGAGACTGCAAGTGGTAGAGACTCCCCTGCTGTAGATCCAAGTAAACCTCCCAGAGAAGTGTCCAAGGTAAGTTCCAGGGCAAGTAGATCCCCAGTACCCCCTTGATTGTCGCCCCATTGGGAATCCAGGGCAAGTAGGTCCCCAGTACCCCCTTGATTGTCTCCCCATTGGGAATCCAGGGCAAGTAGGTCCCCAGACCCCCTTGATTGTCTCCCCATTAGGAATCCAGGGCAAGTAGGTCTCCAGTACCCCTAGATTGTCTCCCCATTGGGAATCCAGGGCAAGTAGGTCCCCAGTACACCTTGATTGTCTCCCCATTAGGAATCCAGGGCAAGTAGGTCTCCAGTACCCCTTGATTGTCTCCCCATTAGGAATCCAGGGCAAGTAGATCCCCAGTACCCCCTTGATTGTCTCCCCATAAGGAATCCAGGGCAAGTAGGTCTCCAGTACCCCTTGATTGTCTCCCCATTAGGAATCCAGGGCAAGTAGGTCCCCAGTACCCCCTTGATTGTCTCCCCATAAGGAATCCAGGGCAAGTAGGTCCCCAGTACACCTTGATTGTCCCCCCATTAGGAATCCAGGGCAAGTAGGTCCCCAGACCCCCTTGATTGTCTCCCCATTAGGAATCCAGGGCAATTAGGTCTCCAGTACCCCTTGATTGTCTCCCCATAAGGAATCCAGGGCAAGTAGGTCTCCAGTACCCCTTGATTGTCTCCCCATAAGGAATCCAGGGCAAGTAGGTCTCCAGTACCCCTTGATTCTCCCCATAAGGAATCCAGGGCAAGTAGGTCTCCAGTACCCCTTGATTGTCTCCCCATAAGGAATCCAGGGCAAGTAGGTCCCCAGTACCCCTTGATTGTATCTCCATTGGGAATCCAGGGCAAGGAGATCCCCAAGGGTAAACGTGGGTGAGCGAGTCATCAGTGTTTAATGTCGACATGCGTCTTCGATTGTTTCTCTTTCTAACAGTTCGGAAACGCTTTCGATCAAATTTGAATTTATCCAGAACTCTTTCCTGACACGCTTCATGAATGTCTTTCCAGCATCTTCTGTCCCGCGTCAGAGCCTTGCTGAAGGCATCCCGAGACGAGATATTAAAAGATGGTGATGGTCCGAATGATGACCCCTGATGAAGACTTCATGTCGATGCTGCAGGTTCGGTGTCGAAAGAAGCAATTCATCGCAATGTCCAAATCAGGGTTTCACTTGTAAATTCAAATCCCTCAGTCCTTCAGGTTGCCAGGATACAGGGTCACTGACCCTCTGCTTGAATTGGCCCCTTGAAGCTATAGTTCTGAAACAAGGGCCAACAGCTAAGGGTCGCTGACCTATCTGAATCTGGATATCTTGGTTGGAGATGTCCTTGTTTCCATTCAGACCTGTAGTTTATGCAGGTTTTTTCTCAAACCTTTGAATCAGTAGTTGAAATACAGATAAATTTAGACTCTTCAATTTTATTTTATTTATTGAATATATTTGTATTTGATTCCCGGGAAGAAGGCAAACCGCAAATTCTCTATTTTCATTTGGTATTTTTGTTAAATGTGACATGAATGATAAAATTGTATAGCTTTTACATGAGATCAAAGCCACACACTGTTTGAGTGTTGGTGAAGGTGTGTCTAGTGCATGTCATGGTTCCAGCTCAATCTTTGAGCAATCATCTATAGGTCTATGATCATGTGTCAATTGTCTGGGTCAGGTAGAGAAACTGGGATTTAGGTTTTTCGATTACCAGGCTTGGTGGTAAAAATATGTCTTTTGTGTGGAATTCTTATTTTTTACACCTTCTCGATTTTTAGGATGGGTGAAATCAGAAACCTAGTAATTCAAACAAAAACATGTCAGTTGCCTTGTGAATTGTAGAGTATTGTGACTTGATGATGCCAGATATTGAACTAGGGATAATGTGTGGTGTTGGGGTAATCAGTTTGAAACATAGCCACGTGAATGAGGTTTTGTTTTGTTTAAGTCATCATCACATAATTGAAGGACACATAGAAAATCTCACCTGAGTGTCTTTTGATATCAATTATATCAACACGAGTTGATAAAAAAAACTCCGAGTGTTGATATATTTCATATCAAAAGACACAAGTGTGAGATTCTATTTATCATCCTCCATCATCCTTCCAACTTTTGCAGTTTGTAGACAGTAATAAGCAGTGTCTTCAGTATAATAAAAAGTACTGCTAACAGCTTCAGTAGCAGAGCCATTAGTGATGTCATTTGATTGTGATGTCATGGTAACAATGACGTCACATTGGTCTGCAAAGCATTGTGATGCAATTTCATTGCAGCGATATCTACAATGTATCTCCTGTGGGAGCCAGTTAACCTAACCTAGTTAGGTATCTTGTCATATCAGGTTGGACAAAGTCAGGGTTTCACCAGAGAACTCTATAATGAGAGAACTCTTAGACATGGTGCAATTATTTTGTGTTCTTCCTATGAAACAATTCACTGTTCTCAGGTGTTGCCTATCAAGTGTGTCAGCATAAAGGATATTTTTCTGAAATTGAAATTCTGAAGTAGCAATCAATAAGATAAGATAGTTAAATATCTGAAGAAAACATATTGAACATTCTGAATCATCAAGGATACCTTGAATAAGATTTGTATATTTGTTTGAAAAGATATTTGAAAAACTCCTGTGCTACCTTGCACAGTTGTTTAATTTCTGTTAAAGAAATAAATAAAGACATATCTGAAAAACAGTCAGCATCCCCACTGCAGCAGTTGCCTGACAACCACATTGTTTTGTTTTTGTTAGCCTAGGATAGTACTCAGGGGGCAAATATGAGGCCGTCTATGTATGTCTAGCGGTGCTTTTTATATAGTTTGCTGTATGTATGGTAGCTATTCCTAGTTCCATAGTAGATATTCTCAGCTCTATGGTAGATATTCCTACCTCCATAGTAGATATTCCTACCTCCATAGTAGATATTCCCAGCTCCATAGTAGATATTCCCAGCTCTATGGTAGATATTCCTACCTCCATAGTAGATATTCCCAGCTCCATAGTAGATATTCCCAGCTCTTTGGTAGATATTCCCAGCTCTATGGTAGATAGTCCCAGCTCTATGGTAGATATTCCCATCTCTATGGTAGATATTCCCAGCTCTATGGTAGATATTCCCAGCTCCATTGTAGATATTGCCAGCTCTATGGTAGATATTCCCAGGTCCAAAGTAGATATTTCCAGCTCTATTGTAAATATTTCCAGCTCTATGGTAAATATTCCCAGCTCCATAGTTGATTTTCCATCTCTATGATAGATATTCCCATCTCTATGGTAGATATTTCCAGGTCTATGGTAGATATTTCCAGCTCCATAGTAGATATTCCCTGCTCTATGGTAGATATTTCCAGCTGTCTGGTAGATTTTTCAAAGTGTGATAGAAGTTATAACGTGATATCTTGTCAGGTGAACCGTTGTTAGCCAGCAAGATGCTGATCTTTCTATATTCAAAGATCTTGTAAATATGTAGCAAGGTCATAATATAGCATAACTAGTACTTCACGGAAGTACCTTCATCTTTCTATGTGCAAGTATTGTGGACTGTCAGTAATGATTCTGTGGGGTTCAAGGGGCAAGTAATTTGGAAACAGTGATTGAGGATAGAATATCAGACTAGGAGAATCAAATAGGATGTGTGTGCTACCGTGGCTACAGCTGCATTGGTTTTAATGACTCAAACAGCTACCGGTATATTTATTCTCACATATAAAGTCTGCAGTTTTGCTAGTCAGAAGCCTGAGTCAAGACATAAGACTTCCAACATTGTGACCGAACAGTACTGAAAACTACTGAGCTACTTGTCCTAATTATAGGCACAGGGTGCCGGAGTGTAAATTGTATGTATATATTTTCTCCACACTTTCAGGAAAGCCAAATGGAGATGTTTCTGTAATTGTACATAGTGTATGGATCAGGGTGCAAGCAGTAGGGGTGCTGTGACTCAGGTACCCAGAGTTGTACAATGGACAGGTGCTTGTTGTGACAGTGAGACCTTGTGATCATCTCACATAGTGCTGGATCAGGGTGCAAGCAGTAGGGGTGCTGTGACTCAGGTACCCAGAGTTGTACAATGGACAGGTGCTTGTTGTGACAGTGAGACCTCCTTGTGATCATCTCACATAGTGCTGGATCAGGGTGCAAGCAGTAGGGGTGCTGTGACTCAGGTACCGAGAGTTGTACAATGGACAGGTGCTTGTTGTGACAGTGAGACCTCCTTGTGATCATCTCACATAGTGCTGGGCAATGGGATAATATGAATGTTTCAAAAAAACGTTTTTGTTACCGACACAAAGATAATGGTAATGATAGACATTTTATCTCCCCGAAATCTTAAATGTAAACAATAGGGTTATGACCAGAATGCCATGACTTCCATACTTAATCTACAAATGCTGTTGTGCATATTTACACTTAAGGCCATATACATTTACTGCAGAATACAGTGTGTTTAATAAAGTTTTCATGTCAAGAAAGTAAATCACCGAGAAATTTGTCAGCTGCAGTGTTTGCTGCTCAGTCTAAACTTCCCTTGACAGAGGTCACCTTATTTTTGTCCATCTGTATATAGTCATAATTTTTTAAAGAAAATAAACCTCTTTTGTTATCCCTGGTTACATACGACTAAAAAAATGTTAACAGCCCGATTCTTTCATATTGCTGGTGTTAATAGGTCATGGCATAGCTGCTTGGCATGACAGATTAACTTGAGTAATATGAAAGAATCAGCTGATCCTTAAGTTTTTTTGAGTAGTATATTCAATACATTTGAAGTTAAACCCAAAATAGTTTTAGTGAACAAAGTATCATAGCCTGTTTACTCCTAAAGTTGATGAGGCTGACTGATGAAGTGATACCTGTATCTGTGTACAGTGAAACATTGTCTGTCTCGATGCTACCATCCCAGTGAAATCACCTGGGTTAACAAATTTCTGGATTTGTGAATCATGTTACAGAGTAATGCTCCGTTGTATATATGAACACAATTGTCCTAAAGCTGGAGTGTCCAGGTTGACAAGGTTTCACTGTATAGAGTTTGCTGGGTTGTCAGATGCCTCCACAGGGCATTGTATTGTATAGAACAAAGGCTGGGTCATATTGACCCAGTCACCCATGAATAAATCATTTTCATAAAATACCATTCTTGTCTTATTTTTGTGTAGCAATTGGAGTGAGTGAGTATGGTTTTACACTATTTTTGTTAAATATTCCTGCAATGTCATGGTATTGGGAGGGGACTTTACAAATTGATCATACCCATTTGGGGATTCGAAGCCAGCTCCTCGGCGTGACGAGTGAACGCTTCAACCACAAGGTGTCTTGTTTTTGTGGAGCAATAGTGTGTGAGGGAGCTTTCCTTTTGTTTGTTTGTTTGTTTGTTTGTTTGTTGTTTAACGCCGCACTCAGCAATATTCCAGCTATATGACGGCGGTCGGTACATAATCGAGTCTGGACCATCGATCCACGCAATAGGGATACAATGACATGCGTCAACCAAGTCAGCAAGCTTGACCACCTGCAATTCCGTTCCTTCGCCTCTTACAACAAGCATAGTCGCCTTTTACAGCAAGAGTGGGTTGCTGAAGCCCTATTCTACCCCAGATCTTCATGGGTCTTGGCTTTCCTCACACATTTTAGGATGACATAACTGAAATACTATTCAAAATGGTGTTAAACCAAACTCGCTCATCAATCAACAGACAGGTGACAAACACACACAATCCACCAAGTCACGAATTGATCCCCAGTCTTTATTAGACCATGATAAGAATGGTGATATTTGGGATGTCTCTTGCCCTGGGGGGCGGTGGTGTAGTCTTGTAGTTAAGGCATTAGCTTGTCCCGCCGATGACCCAGGTTCGATTCCCCACATGGGTACGATGTGTGAAGCCCATTTCTGGTGTCCCCCACCGTGATAATGCTGGAATATTGCTGAAAGCATGGTCGCCTGCATGGGTTAATTACTGATGACCTTTTTAACACGGGTTTCATGTGCATGTAAAGATGCTGCTGGTGCTACCTCAAATAACAATAAGACCATTAATGATGCACTAAATCCCATTCACCAAGTGAATGCTCATGGCGCTACATTGTTATTACCCCGTCAATGGATCATGGTGAATCGCGTATTCAACACAAGCTGCCTGTGAGGCACTAGAAGCTCATCTCATCCTACCGGGTACCCCTTCACCACCAGGTGAACACTTTTCTAGTTTCTCTGACATGTTTTAGACGTAACTGACATCATAAACAATACTCCTGTACATGTGGTAGTAACTGTTTTATTGCCTCACCCAACTGGTTTGTTAAAGGTTGCAATAATCATTCGAAACATGAAAAGAACATCCTGTGTGCCATGATGGGCTGAATAAAAACCAAGATCTTAAACTGACCAACAGTAACCAACTGCAATACACAGCAAATACCACTTGAGGGCATCAACACCATCTGAGAGTGTGACACCTGGGGAAGGAGGACTGCCTGGCCACCACCATCTTCCCTCAATCTCACCACAGTGAACCTACATGTTACCATGGTGACTGTCTATATCTTACCTTAGTGACCGTACTAGTTACCATAGTTACACGACATCTTACCATAGTGACTGTACATATTACCAAGGTTACCCTTTATTTTACCATAGTGACGGTACATATTACCATGGTGACCTTAAATCTTACCCTAGTTACCTTATCTTCCCATAGTGACCATGGTGACGGTACATATTACCATGGTGACCCTTTATCTTACCATAGTTACCTTTTCTTACCATAGTGACCAAACATAACCATGTAGACCAGACATCCTATTATATCCTACATATGACCATGGTGACACCCTCCCTCCCACTCTCGACAGACAGACAGACAGACAGACAGACACACAGATGCAGACGCATGCACGCACGCACGCAGGCACGCACGCACGCACACGCACGCACGCACACACTCACACACATTCCTATTACTTATCTCTCAAGTCTTCCCCTATGGAGCTGAAAGTTTGTCAAGAGAAGAATAAATTCAATTCTTTCATAATGTTTTAAAGAAAACAAAATGTCACAGAAATTCAAATCAAACAAAACTGTGCCTAGCTGCAGTCAACCTGGTTGAAGTCCGTTAAATGTCACATGCAGAACTGATAGGGAAGAGCAGACAACTCTGTCAGACTACACAGCGTAGCGAAGTCTAGAAAACACCACATGAGCAGTCCCAGATATTAATGCATTGTTGGCAAACTCCAGAATAATCTGAATGAGCGGAAACAGATTCCGCGTCTGCTCCGGCTGCCGCTTGTCCGGGGGACTGTAGTTGTGATCCTGGTTCATACAATCGGCTGTGTGCAGCTGGTTCAAACCGATCCAGCGACTCAACAACCGCTTCATGGCAGTTGGAAACAAGGAAGTCACAATAGATTCCGCTGGAGGTAGATTGTCTATACAGTTGATATGCTCTTTCTTAAAAGCATCCGCACGCTTTGCAATATTTCTTTCAAAGTTATGAAACTCCTGACCCAACCATTCAGCTACTACACACAATGCAATATTTTTTCGCATGGGAATATTAAAGGCACAGTTCCTCAGCTCCTGTTGCAGGGTGGTATCCCCGAGGGAAGTCCTGTAGTAGCTGAACATCTCAAATGGAAAACAGTTTGATGGGGATATTTCATAATGAGTAAGTTCCAGTTTAAGAAACTCAAGGACCTGGGCTACGACAGAGAGTTCGGGGTCTGACGGATGAGCATTTCTCTGTTCCACGATGTGTTGTATGAATGAGTCCACGGTGGCACTGGCGACACTTCCTCCTGCGACAGACCTATCACAGACTGGGGAGGGGAACACTGGGGAGGGGGCGTTCGCCAGGTCGATGAGTTCCTGTTTCACAGAACTAGTGTCCTCTGTTTGGTCCGTGCTGTCTGTCCACGAGAGGGACATCGTTTCTGGAAGGTCCGGTTCACTGTAGTGCCGTAGCCAAACATCCTGGGAAAGAGGGAACACATACAACTTACAGCCTGGACAGGTTCATTTCTATCTCTGTATATAACATACCGTATTCGACCCAATAAGCGCCCATGTCCTAATAAGCACCCCCCCCACACTTTTCCCGGATGCCCAAGTAAGATTTACTCACCTGTTTTTTACATACGGTCAAGAATCTTTTGTAGTCGGTTAATGAGGAGATGTTCACCAGTAAAACGTAAGTGACAGTTTATCTCTAGCCCCCCAGCAACAGAAGAATATCGATAGGCTTTCTGATGAATTTACGCCAATTTGACTCTGAATTGGGCCCAATAAGCGCCCACCCCTTCTGTCTTTATTTTAAGTGCCCTGGGCGCTTATTGGGTCGGATACAGTACCTACAAAATGTCCAAGTGCCTTTAAACAAAGGGAGGTGAGCCCTCCTGGGACCCACCATGGTTCTTTATATGACCTCCATCTAACCTTTCACCAATAAGAACAGAATTAATAGTACACATCAGTTTGAAATCAGCAACAAATCAAACCCCAGCCAATATTCTAAATATGATATGGACATAGATCTTAAGATCATAAATTTTTTCGAAAGGATTGCATGTGCTTTTTTTTAATTGTCTCGTTTACATATCTGTGTAATTTCGCAAACATGGAATACAGTGAAACATTTCAAAGCTTTTCTTTTTTCTTCTTGTTAAGAATGTCAACTTGGGACATGTCCTTAAATTTTCTTTCAAACGGACTCCTTTTATTTAAACATTATCATATTAGTGGTTAACGACTATCCCTGGACTTTTTCAGCCCAGGCATCTTTCAAGGGTCAGTCTTTGAGGCCAAACTCGTCTCTCCAAATAATTGTCAGTGGATAATCCAATTAGAATATGGTCAGTTACAAACCAAGCTCACTAGATCAACAGACCGTTATTGAACTTGATCTAGTGGCATAATTCTAGACTGTAGCGTTTCATAACAAGCAACATGATAGTTGTTTCAGAATGCGGTCTTACCCTTAATTTGAGCAAACAGTCTCTCTGCACAAACAGCTCGTGGTACTCAAACACGGCTCGGAACACTCCCTGGATGTTGTAGAACCACACGCTGCCACTGTTGGCCACGCCGTTGAGACGCGAGTCTGAAATCAGGAAGTATGATAAGTCGGTGTTGAAGATTGTTTAAATTGAATAAAATCTCTTAGGATCTGATCTCAATTTGAGATTGTACTGGTCGTCAGTATCCTAGCGATGCTTGGCAAGCTGAGCCCATCAACATGGTAAAGCCAGCATTAGAAATTGGCACTAGTCCTGTAGTCCTTGCCAAACTGCCCAATACTCAAGGTATCACAAGGATTAGTAGAAATTTGCCCTTTATAAGGGTTTTGCTATATGTTATCATCATAAGGAATAGTGGACTAAAACTGTTAGTTTCTATCGCTGTAAAGCAATGTAACAGCTGTCCTCAGTAATATGTCAATTAGCATGTTATTCTTGTTCATTACAAGTTACCTGTAACTAAACATACAAATTAAAACTAATGAATTATGAGTTTTATTCAAGGTAAATGTTATCAAAATGATACGCCTGGTCGCGTCCGCTGAATCTCTCCTCGTGGCTAATACCTCAGGTGCATTGTTTACCCGAGGAAAAATACCAAACCAATTAATTAGAAGCATATAGAACATTATGTAAACCATGATAACCATGATAACTTTGATAACCATGGTAATCTCAAACAGCACAACTTTGAAACAGACAGTCCTATGCCTGTAGCTATCTTAATAACAAAATTATAAGCATTACTGTTTAATGATCTTGACCTTCAATCAGTCCCATGAACCTCCCGAGAGATCATGTTTATGTTCAATCAAATTCCGATTATAAAGTGACCTTGATCTTCAGCAGCATCCAATCACATGAGAGACCATTACTTTGTTTGTTTGTTTGTTGTTTAACGCCGCACTCAGCAATATTCCAATCATATGATGGTGGTCTATAAATAATCGTGTCTGGACCAGACAATCCAGTGATTGACATCATGAACATCGATCCACGCAATTGGGATCGATGACATGCATCAACCAAGTCAGCGAGCCTGACCATCCGATCCCATTAGTAACCTCTTAATACGACAAGCATAGTCGCCTTTTACGGCAAGCATGGGTTACTGAAGACCTATTCTACCCTGGATCTTCGCAGGTCAGAGACCATTACTTGTTGCAAACCTAGATGGTGTTACAAATATGAAGCTTACAGATCACACTGCATATCTGAATGCAACTATTTACAGGTCACTTCAAGAGTGAATAACCTTCGCTGTTCAAAGTGACAAATTCATGACATATGTATGATAGGTGACTGTCTTGAGTAAATCTTATCTGATTGCAAAAACCTTTGAGTTTTCATAAATTAATAAGAACTTTCCTCAAATTTTGACCATGTTTAAAATAATTTGACAAGTGACCTTGACTTTAAATGAAAATCACCTAAAGGTTGATCGATACCCCACCTTAGCGATTATGTACACTTTCAGTTTCATCAAATTCCATTCATATATATTCCAATACTAAGCCATTTTTACACCTTGTCTTTGAGTGGTTGTGGAGCTCAAAGACATTAAGAGAACCGATTTCCAATAGCGAAATTTAAGATGATAACCAGCACAATGATGTCAATCACTGGATAGTCTGGTCCGATCCCAATTGCGTGGATCGATGCTCATGATGTCTATCACTGGATTGTCTGGTCTAGACTCGATTATTTACAGACCGCCATCATATAGCTGGAATATTGCTGAGTGCGGTGTAAAACAACAAACCAACCAACCAGACTTGATTTTTTACAGACCGTTGCCATACAGCTGGCATATTACTGAGTGCGGCGTTAAACAACAAACAAACAAACAAACAAACAAAACTGGCACAACCTTCTCTTGTTGTATTTGTGTGAATTGCTGTGATTATACCGGATAGAAAGGAGGTAAGAACTCAAGAAATTTCCTACCTGAGAATAGCAATTTTGTTGCTAAACCCTCCTTTCCAAAGCGATTGTGTATCCTACAGTTATTTTTGTTAACTTGACTGATCCCGCCTAGGACGTCAGCAGCCATGAACAAAGGGATACCAAGTGTCTGAAACAGAATACAGTTGAATCTTGTCAAGCAGTGAGTATATTGTCATTGTTAACAATATTACGATACATTAGCACTGGTAATCACTCATATTGATAATTTCATCTCATTAATCGGAGCACTCTCATCAATCACAATTTAATTGTAATCAGTTTAGTTCCCGTGTTAAGGAGTGACTGAATGTTGTTTATCACCGTAGTCAGCAATATTCCAGCCATATCACGGCAGCCTTTAAGTTAAAATTAATGAGTCTGGATCAGGCAAACCGAAGACTGATAGCATAAGTAACAATCCAACAATGTATGACACACAATTAGACAAATCACAAAGCCAAACCACCATATTATTCTTTTTATGACTTAATTACATCACAAAACACCACAGACATGACTGCGAGGGAGTGCGCAAGTTGTTTAAAGTGGTTTTGAACAGTATTTCAGTTATATCACGGCATGTGAGCTTGATGTGGAAGGAAAGCCTTAGGTGATGCAGGCCTTAGATGTTTGCCACTTTGGTGAAAACCACAAGCACTGGTATATATGGCACTGACAAACCTAGAAACAAAATTAGGCTGTAACTGATGGTGCTGTTTGGTATGGCTATTGCGAAACAAATTATGTGCCCCATGGTAGTCATTGGCAACAGGAAAATACACCACAATGTAATGTTACATAGTGTTCTAGTCAGTGTCGCAAATATACTACTGTTTAAATTTTAAACTGTGTGTTATCAAAAACAAAAAGTGTTAGAATTGATTTGTATAAAACTTTCTGAACATAAAAGTGAGGGAGTGTGTTGGATTTTTAGCAATATACCTTAGATATTGAGTCATCTTAAAGGGGCACTGATCTAACGCAATTCCCCAGACTGGTTGTTGCCTTTGTTATTGTTTTTTACCCTTGAGTACCCGGATGATACGCAACGCAACTGAGCGTGACCAGAGACTGGGCTACCGTCTGCAAGGACAGTTAAATAAACTTGGAGGCTGGAGGCAATATTTGTTTTACGCATTTTTGCATAAACACTGATTGGTTAACTGTGATCTATAAAGATTTTGACAAAGGGCGCATGTTAATTAATTTCTTCAGCCTAAACAAACAGACAAATAGAACGGCGGAGCTCATCGTATGTCGTCATTTGGAAATACCCCAGATGGTTATAGTTTAATACTAAAAAAAGTATCCATGCAGTGAAAGCATTTCCGGATTTCGGAGATAATACGATTACTACTCCCTTGTTGTCATCCACGTTTCTCGTATAACCCTACACTTGTGTATTTGTCGTCATTCACTTGATGCTCAGTTAATGAATTTATTACAGGTACAATTAGTGGTAGCACCACTTAGATTACCTGACAAAGGTTCGCATTTGGCATTTATTGTGTCTGGGGTAATTATTCAATCTAAATCCAGGTTTGAAGTGAGGTGAAATGTGTGTTATGTAATATGCACGTGGCAGTCCAGCAAGAGATGAATGATCAGTTGATTTACTTTTTTTGTAAATGAACGGATCGTTCCTAGTCATCAAAGGATTAACAGAAAATACGTTGATTGATTAATCACTGTTATCTTGCACAGTGGATATGTCAAGAGTGAGTGTTTACATGTCTAGGTTTACTAAAACAAAGGGAATACACTCATATCATGGCGTGAAGTGCCGATGTAAAAAACAACATACTTTGTTCAAAGGGTTAACTGATAATACGTTGATTAATGGATCATTGTTATCTATCACTCAATGGATTTTTTAGGAACCGTGGACGTTATGAAAATAGTTGCCACGTGGGCTTTCTCAGCCGACCACTGAGACTTGACACCTATGTAAAACACCTGAAACAATCCAAGTGATCAGTTGAGAAACGAACACGGGTTATAATATCCCGAAACGATATATACCTTTTAAGATATTTGATTGTTACTGAGACACGTGACATCGAATAATTTTCTTTGTACAGCTGCAGACGAGTGGGATATTGTTGCTTTGTGAGGATATTCACGGATACATTCCTCGAACAAGGAAGCTACCTAATATTTATACACATAAATTTTGTAGGTTGTAATTATGAAATTTGCATTTTGTTTTCCTTCATTTGAACGGATTCGTTCTTGTTTCTCTACATCTTGGTTGGGAAATTCTTCAATGCGCGATAGACGTTGTTTTCACAGGTCTTTTCCTTTGTAAGCGTGTATATATTACAGTCAATTTGTAAAATGTGATTCTCTCAGGCAATTTATAAAATGTGTAAATATTTCAGTCATTTTGACTAAAAAATCTGCCCAGATTGATTAAGACGATCAAAAGGGCCTACAAACATCACAACAGATTATTATGTAGGATTAGAAGCCAAACAACATAGAAATGTACTTTTCAACGTAACATTTTCAGTCTCTTGGTGATGACATTACACATCAAAATGTTTGGAATTCGTTATCATAATAATACAGATGGAAATGTTTTTCAGTCACTTTGTAAAATAACTGAATATTTAGACGTTTAATAAATTTGTTACACATTTGACAGTAAACAAATATACACACTATAAAAAAAGCAATGCTCAGGTGAAATATTTACTTTGTGTTGCAAGTCAAAATAGTGTAAACGAAAATCGCAAAATTACCAAGCAAGTGACTTATCAAAACTTCGTCACCATTACCGATGCTACCCACAAAGATACCTACATTTCCTTATTATCTCGAAAACTGTATTTCATTTTGTTGATCAATGTGACCATACGCCCTTATTACTACACATAAAAGTGACTAATGCGCCTACGAAAGGCGCAGCAGAGGTCGCGAACTAGTCTAGATTTCTGCTATACATCCGGGTACTCACTGGGAAAAAACAATAACAAAGGCAACAACCAGTCCCGGGGAATTGCGTTAGATCAGTGCCCCTTTAAATTATGTGGCAGGAAAGTCTTAGTGAAGCAGGCTGTGGATATCTGTCATTTTGATGAAACTTATGAGCATGGTTATGGTGTCCAACAACTAAGGATCATAATCAGAGCAAATCACGGATTCGAACCAATGATCAGCAGATCCTGGCACAACTAAGGGCTACAACTCTGCACTGACAACTGTTCTTGGTCACTGTTGGCGACTGTCTTTTTTGTAATGAAAGAAATCACCAAAATTGACACATATTATCTTCAAAACTACACTGACGTAACATTGAACACTATGGAGAATGTCATATTTTACGATGACTGACAATATAAGCCCTTTCCTTTGATTTTCCTACGGTTTTGAACTCAGGCATTACCGAGTTTAACGTTTCGTTCACTGAGTATCCTCTGTTTAATCTCGACACTAGCATGTATCGTACTGTCCGTCCTCCTAAAACCATGTGAGGCAGCTTGACAGACGGGAATGGTTTGTTAGATGCAGACTCTTCCCTATGATCCGCCATCATTTCTGGTATGGTCACTGATTCACCCCGTGTCATTCACGAACACCAATATGAATGCAAATAAAATTTTGATGTAGTTTAAAAGAAAGTATCGATATTCCCCAAATTTAAAAGTCAAAATTCCTATTCAGATTAATTTGCTAAATCTGTTATCATTATTTCCTCCAATGAACATGGTCTTTGATTTTAGTGGGGAATCAGTTTAGTCCAGCTTCCGGTAAATTCTAAAATGGCCGATTTGTTCGGCGATTCCGAGCTATTTGCTGAATTTGACAAAGAGAGGGAAACACAGAATTCTTTCATTCATCCTGGAGAGCAGAATGGCAAAGGAAGAATAGTGTTTGCGTTAAAGGAAGGGTCATCCTCCTCAGACAATGAAAGTGAGGAAGGTGATACTCAAAAACTCTCGGGAGATGAAAGCAAAAGTGAAACTCAAAGAAGAGACGAAGTATCGGAGGGGGCATCTCTTTCAGCGAAAGATATCTTGAGTCGGTGTGCAGACGAAGAAGAAAGTGTTTCACATAATGAACATTCATCGGAAACATCTTTTAAAATAAAACATGAACGTATCCTACATAAAAAAAAAGACTTAATGAACATCGCATGGCAAAACTAGAGCCCGCGATAATAACAATAACACTGAGTCGGTGATATCACACTGTAATGCTGACGAATATTGCAAACTTTTATCATTTTTGGGTCTTTGTTAGGTTGATGTTTCTTATTCCACATTAATGTGCACCAGAAACACAACAGTGGTACCTTTGACAGGCACAGTAAGCAGACTGAGCAGAACTGCAGTTTCACATTTTGACTTGGGGCAGCTCAAGGGTGCTATCATTGGTTCCAGAGGCCAGTTCCTTCAAGGGATGAAGCATTAAGCTTATCATAACTCCCATACTTTAACATTGACTTATGACAGTTTTCGTGCTATGATCGCTTTGTGGAACGGGGCCCAGGTGTGACTGAAGCTTCACATGTCATGCTACTTCTGTTAGCCTTAGGGTTAGATGTGTAAAGGTTGTGGTAGTCACCCCCAGCCCTATCCCTAGCCCTCATGTCCCCTTCCGATAAAGCACCCTGCTGAAAAAGTGATTACAAATCATGTGCACATATGCATTAATCGGATGCTGATCACTGGGTAAATGAGTTCGTATTATGTATGATCGGACCATTGTTAAAGTTGTGGCTAATTTACTCATTAGTCATAGGCTTTTGACAAATTAGCAACGCATTCGCTCATTTTTATCATAGCAAAGGCTTGTAGAGACCATATATTATATGTAATCATATTACATGATATAGATGTCATACATGATCATGTTAATGAACAGAATCACAATGACTCTAATTGCCATGATTACCAAGACATGACTGGAACTGTGGATACACAGTTACTTTTGATATGGTTATCCTTGTAATAAGCACTTAGCTATGTTTGTATTTTTTTATGAATTAAAATACTTTTTTTGAAGCCTTAACAATAACAGGGGACAAATATTACAGATATGCAAAGATTATTGATTCCACAAGGTAAGTACAAACTATTTTGGTTTAAAAGTTGATATTCCTGAACATGCTGAATGTTCATAATTATTTTATAACTGAATACATTGAAACGTGTAATAGGACATTTCTGAGAAATCAGATATTTGAAAAATCAAATGCCAAAGTTTTCTGTTCGTGTGATAAGTCTATAGATTCTATATGTACATTGATGTTTGTTTCTGAAGATTTAGATAATGTCAAAGGCCCCTTGACTTTCCTTTTAGGCTTCTTTGATTATGGATTTGAAAACATTTTGGAAGAGTACATGGAGTAAGTGCCATGTTTGTGTTGTAGGTCCGTTCCCGATGAGGACAGCCCAGCAGTACAGGTGCTCTTCCATAATAACTCGTTTTCCAGGTGAGAATATTACACAGCAGTGATGCCAACCATTACGATTTTAGCAAAACTATTACAGCATTTTGAACCCATTTCCACAAATACAATTAAAAACATGATTAAATGAAGTCTCTTTCAACTTTTATCGCTTGTAATCATTGCAATTTGAACGGGATATTGACCTCTCTGCGGTCACTGTCACATAAACAACCAATGAATAATCAATTTCATGATCATTTGTTTTAGCTTGTGAAGGTTTACAGATTCCAGAAAATCCGGCTTAGCATAGGTTCTCAGCAGCCCATGCTTGTCGTAAGAGGCGACTATGCTTGTCATAAGAGGCGACTAATTGGAAAGGGTGGTCAATCCTGCTGACTGGTTGATGCATGTCATCGTATCCCAATTGCATGGATCAATGCTCATGATATCAAGCACTGGATTGTCTGGTCTAGACTTGATTATGTACAGATCACCGTCATATAGCTGGAATATTGCTGAGTACGGCGTTAAACAACAGACAGAAATAAAACATAATGTAAATATTGATGAACATCTAGAGCTTCAGTGTCTGTGTTTGTTCATTTGAACACTGGCTTTTCCTGTTATCATGGTTACAGTAGTGTTGACAAAACCACATACTTTAAATGACCGCCTCCGTGGTCTTGTGGTAGAGCGTCCGCCTGGAGAGCGGAAGGTCCGGGGTTCGATCCCCGACCACGTCATACCAAAAGATGTTAAAAGATGGCACTTGTTGTTACCCTGTCTGGCGCTCGGCATTAAGGGGCTAAAACAAGGAGTGGTCGGCTCGGAGTCAGTATACTTTGTCTGAGTGGGGTATTCATGTTAAACTGCGACATGGTATCTCAGTGAGCTAGCACTATAAATCGGCATCATTCCGGACTAGTACAAGCAGCCACACAAACACACACGTACATGCACGTCGCTATATAAGTTCAATAATCTTGGACGCGACGTTAAACCCCATTTCACCCCACATACTTTAAATGTCATTCAGGAAGTACCGTCCGCAGATAGAGCAGTTCCTGGCTGACCTGGTGGAGAGGGAGATGTACAACTCTCGCCATGGTGACAGGATGCCCGAACTACCACTTCAGGTATTACTTTGACATGCTTTAGACTTGATGTAGTGTCCCGATACATAGGGGTAGGTGTAGGTGGTGTTGGTGTAGTTGGGTAAAGAAGACATTTAAATTTGTTTCTGTTCTTCAAATATTTTGCCATGTGCACATTGATCATCAAGTTGGTCTGCAGGTTTCTTTTGTGACGGGGCGGTCGGGTAGCCTCGTGGTTAAAGCGTTTGCTCGTCATGCCAAAGACCCGGTTCGATTCCTGACATGGGTACAATGTGTGAAGCCCATTTCTGGTGTCCCCCGCCATGATATTGCTGGAATGTTGCTAAAGATGGCGTAAAACCACAGTCACCCACTCTCTTGTGTCAACATGTTGCACTCCATGTATTATTATGATTACATATTTCAGGGTTTGTGTTTTTCTCTCTCCACCTTTTTATTTCTTTTGGGTTGTAAAATCTGTAAGCTATTTTAAAAAGTATCGCCTAAGGCCATGTCACAATAAACTTGGTAAAACATAGAACCTTTCATGTAAAGGGGATAAATCTTGTCTACAACATGTGTGATATAAGATTCCTTATTTTTATTCCGATACTCTTTCCTCAACAGTCAAGTGTTCCGACCTGTGTTGATCTCAACCCAAGACTTCCAGTAGAACTCAGAACCAACTCCATGTGGATGGCCCACGCGGTGAGTGTCCTGTATACACAGGTTCATGTCACATACAGTGGAACCTCCTTAATCTGAATGGTACAGTTACGGGGTAATTCTGGGTTAACAAATTTCTAGTTTTAAGAATCATGGGAAAGAATGTACCTTTGTTTATGAATACATCCCTAACCCTGTGCTAACAATATGGGGGGTTCCAGATAAACAGGGTCTGGACTAACGAGATTGTCTAGGGCGTTGGGTTTCCAGATTGAGGGGGTCTGGACTAACGAGATTGTCTAGGGCGTTGGGTTTCCAGATTAACAGGGTCTGGACTAACAAGATTGTCTAGGGCGTTGGGTTTCCAGATTAACAGGCCTGGACTAACGAGATTGTCTAGGGCGTTGGGTTTCCAGATTAACAGGGTCTGGACTAACGAGATTGTCTAGGGCGTTGGGTTTCCAGATTAACAGGGTCTGGACTAATGAGATTGTCTAGGGCGTTGGGTTTCCAGATTAACAGGGTCTGGACTAACGAGATTGCCTGGAAGGGGAAGTTTCCAGATTAAGGGGATTGTGGGTTCAAATCCCAGTTCACCGAGATTATGTTTCTAGGTTTTTCAGCACCATACCCGTGCTCATGGGTTTCACCAAGTGTAAACTCACATCACTTTGGCCTATCCTCCCATATCAAGCTGACACACTGTAATTATAGCTGGAATACTGATCAAAGCGGCATATACCCAACTCACAACTCACTCAATACCCAACACACTCACTCACTCAATCACTCACTTACACGCTTACTCAGTTGCTCATCCACTCACCCACTCACCCACTCACTCGCTCAATCAATCACATATTCACTCACTCACTCACTCAATCACCTATTCACTCACTCACTCACTCACTCACTCACTCACTCACTCACTCACTCACTCACTCACTCACTCAATCAATCTCACCCAGTCACTCACTCACTCACTCACTCACTCACTCACCCACCCACTCACCCACTGGTGAGCTAATGATGTCATTATGTTATGTGCAGATCATCGGCAATGCTCAGTTTCACCACCTCTTCCTGGTGGACACTCGGGGATGGCCGCTGGTGGACCTCAACCCCAGCCTCACGGACGGATGGGAAATACCTCGGTATCCTTGACCCTGCCCTCACAGCCGTTGAACCAAACTTGTCAACACTTTATTGTGCTCATGTATTATACTCAGAACTACCTTTTTATTAATTCATTTGGGAAGTGTGTCCAATGTATGTAGCACATGTGATATTGACTGTGAAAACATGCCTAAAATACACATTGTTTGGGTAGTCAGGTAATACAATCTATTGACCACCATGATATGTTTTTTGTCAGTTTGACCCATGGTACTTGTATTCTTACAAAATCCAACCCAGGGATTTGTATAGACCTTGTCACAGGCCCATATTCAGCCAAAAGAATAAAATTGTTTTTATAGCAACAACTAATGTGATGGCTCTGTGGAGGGACTTGCATTTCCCTGACATCAATAACTACAACAGGCTGCCATGTTTTTATTTTACACTTTGGCATTAAATGAAAAATTGAAATACCTCCTGAATTTAAGAAACTGAGGACTTTTGAGAAAGTCCCAATTTTGAACAAACATTTTTTCTCCCTTTTGCCAACAGCACTTAGTTTGGAATCCTATATTCCCTACAATGATATATATAAAAAAATCTTTGGTGATGCTGTCCTTTGTGAATATATGACCTTGACCTTTGTGAGATATGAGCAGCTTTTTGAGGAGCCCCTCCCTGTAGAGGAGGATGGAGACAAGCCCCAGGGGAAGAAAGCAGGACGGTGAGACTCATCCACCCACTCCACATCCCCATAACAAGTCCACCCACTCCCCACCCCTCAATCCACTGTCCTACCCCGGGACGACACATCCAACCTAACTCCCAACTCCACAGCTTGACACCTTCCTCCTCACCACACCCTCCATCCTCTCCCTACCCTAACCCCACCCACTACAACATACCATCGACCCTCCCCACCGTCTCCCCGCATCATCCACCTCCTCAACATACACCCCCAACCTTCTCCCCACCCTCTTGACACACCCTACACCCTCTTCACACCCCGTCAACATCCATCCATTCAACACACACCCCACTCTATCCCCACCCGCTCGACACACCCTCAGCCCCCTCAACACACCCCCCACTCTATCCCCACCCTCTCAACACACCCTCAACACACACCCCACTCTATCCCCACCCTCTCGACACACCCTCAGCCCCCTCAACACACACCCCACTCTATCCTCACCCTCTCGCCACACCCTCCGCCCCCTCAACATACACTCCACTCTATCCCCAACCTCTCGCCACACCCTCTGCCCCCTCAACACACATCCCACTCTATCCCCACCCTCTCGACACACCCTCAACCCCCTCAACACACACCCCACTCTATCCCCACCCTCTCGACACACCCTCCGCCCCCTCAACACACACCCCACTCTATCCCCACCCTCTCGACACACCCTCAACCCCCTCAACACACACCCCACTCTATCCCCACCTCTCGACACACCCTCAACACACAACCCACTCTATCCCCACCCTCAACACACACCCCACTCTATCCCCACCCTCTCGACACACCCTCAGCCCCCTCAACACACACCCCACTCTATCCTCACCCTCTCGCCACACCCTCCGCCCCCTCAACATACACTCCACTCTATCCCCAACCTCTCGCCACACCCTCTGCCCCCTCAACACACATCCCACTCTATCCCCACCCTCTCGACACACCCTCAACCCCCTCAACACACACCCCACTCTATCCCCACCCTCTCGACACACCCTCCGCCCCCTCAACACACACCCCACTCTATCCCCACCCTCTCGACACACCCTCAACCCCCTCAACACACACCCCACTCTATCCCCACCTCTCGACACACCCTCAACACACAACCCACTCTATCCCCACCCTCAACACACACCCCACTCTATCCCCACCCTCTCGACACACCCCCCGCCCCCTCAACAGACACCCCACTCTATAACACCCTCTCGACACACCCACAACACACACCCCACTCTGTCCCCACCCTCTCGACACACCCTCCGCCCCTTCAACACACACCCCACTCTATCCCCACCCTCTCGACACACCCTCAACACACAACCCACTCTATCCCCACCCTCAACACACACCCCACTCTATCCCCACCCTCTCGACACACCCACAACACACACCCCACTCTGTCCCCACCCTCTCGACACACCCTCCGCCCCCTCAACACACACCCCACTCTATAACACCCTCTCGACACACCCACAACACACACCCCACTCTATCCCCACCCTCTCGACACACCCTCAACCCACTCCGAATGTACAGGTTGCTGGGATGCAGTGTAGTAACCCGACATTGACTCATGTCCCTGGGTGTCCCAGGCAATGTTAAGGGTGGATTATCTGTCGTTATCTTGTACTACCTGGGTCAGAATATGTCCCCATCACACTATTGAGTATTCTACTGGCGTCAGAGGTTGCCCATAACCAAACACTTTGTCTGGCCATAATATAGTAATAATAATTCTTAGACTCATGTTAAGAAATCATACCATCTTTAGGACTGATAGTTCTATTCTTTGAATGACCGCTATTGTGGTGTGTGTGTTCTGGCAGCCCCAAACCGAGCTGTTTCAACTGTGGCGGCGAACACATGATGTCAGACTGCCAGGAGCCCAAAGACTACAACAGGATTAAAGCTAAACGGAGAGAATTCATGGACAAGAACTCACCCTCTATGGGCCCCAAGAAAATGAGGTAGGCATTTGAAGCTGTGTTATCAGAGTGTGTTGGTTTATTATTCTATGTTTATGCTTTTCTTGTTGAAGACTTGTGAAGATCCAGGGTAGAATAGGTCTTCAGCAACCCATGCTTGCCGTAAAAGGCAACCATGTTTGTCATAAGAGGCAACTAATGGGATCGGGTGGTCAGGCTCGCTGACTTGGTTGATGCATGTCATTGTATTCCAATTGCGTAGATTGATGCTCATGATGTCAATCACTGGATTGTCTGGTCCAGATGCGATTATTTACAGACCGCCGTCATATAGCTGGAATATTGCTGAGTGCAACAGTAAACAACAAACCAACACAAAATGATGATCAACCAAAAGACTCTTCTGATGCATGTTTTATTACATCCTTCAGCTTGGACTAGAGAACATCCTGTTCACAATGTAGAGTTAGTAGTGAAGGTTCTCATGTATGTTTAACCACACCAGAATATTTAACCTCCTTGCTCCATTTCTGTTGCTCATATCGTTCTTTCCAATTTCAGTTTGTCGTCGAACAAGGTTGTCAAAGATCGATTCTCCCAGTTCAAGCCAGGTGTCATGAGGTAGGAACAAGGCCGCCCAGCCGGTCATTCTGCTTAAACTATGAGGGACAACTGTTCAGAGGATTGACAAGCTGACTGTGGATAATACTTGTCTGGGTATCACTCAGGGCAACCTGTGAAATAGTAAACCAGTTGCCAATAAATTAACAATGGACAGGTATCTATGGAAACAATTTTAAGTTATTTCTTTCATCGATGAGGCTCAAGTTAACTGTTTCCTTGAGAATTCATTCATGTATTCAGGAATCTCTATTGTGAGCATTCTGTCTTAATGTCTCAGGAGAGGTCGGTCAGAACACTTGGCTTCACACACGCGACCATGCTCAAACACTTACTTGAGTCAATTGTCACCGTCTGTGTCCATTGTCACCATCTGTGTCCGTTGTCACTATCTGTATCTATTGTCACCATCTGTGTCTATTGTCACCATCTTTGTCTATTATCACCATCTGTATCCACTGTCACCATCTGTGTCCATTGTCACCATCTGTGTACATTGTCACTATCTGTATCTATTGTCACCATCTTTGTCTATTATCACCATCTGTATCCACTGTCACCATCTGTCTCTATTATCACCATCTGTGTCCATTGTCACCATCTGTGTCTATTGTCACCATCTGTGTCCATTGTCACCATCTGTCTCTATTATCACCATCTGTGTCCATTATCACCATCTGTGTCCATTGTCACCATCTGTGTCCATTGTCACCATCTGTGTCCATTATCACCATCTGTGTCCATTGTCACCATCTGTGTCCATTATCACTATCTGTGGGTGTTTGTGTTCCAGCACCGAGCTCCGCGAGGCTATGGGGCTTGGCCCCCGTCAGCTGCCGATGCACATCTACCGCATGAGGATGCTGGGGTACCCCCCGGGCTGGCTGAAGGAGGCCGAGGTCGACTCATCTGGCCTCATCATGTTCGACAAAGATGGACGAGGTAACTACTTTGCCCGGACATTCCTTCTATCTCTATGAATTTAGCCCCAGTCCCCCATCATTGTATCTACATTATTTACTTGCAATACTCCATGCTATATCTCTATGATTTTCCAATGTACCTCATGGAGGCCAGGCACGGTGGGGTGGCCTAGTTGTTAAAGCGTTGGCTTGTCACGCCGAAGACCAAGGTTCGATTTTCCACATGGGTTCAATGGAATGGGTACAGGAATGTGAAGGTGGTGGCCAGGATGGCACCAGCATTTGTCTAGTTTGTCCGCATGTGTGGAGCCGTGCTGATGTAGGATTTGTTGTGTAGAGGTGAACCTGCACGGGGAGGCCCTGGAGGACGGGGAGGTGAACCAGGAGGAGGAGGAGGAGACCCCTGAAGGTGAGGAGAGGGGGAAACACCTGGTGGGCATGTGTGTCAGGAATAGTGTGTCTGTAAATGGGGGGTGGGTGGGTGTGTGTGTCGGTGTGTGTCTGAGAGTGAGGAGAGGGGAAACACCTGGTGGGCATATGTGTGAGGAATAGTGTGTCTGTAAATGGGGGGTGGGTGGGTGGGTGTGTCGGTGTGTGCCTGAGAGTGAGGAGAGGGGAAACACCTGGTGGGCATATGTGTGAGGAATTGTGTGTCTGGAAATTGGGGGTGGGTGGGTGTGTGTGTCGGTGTGTGCCTGAGAGTGAGGAGAGGGGAAACACCTGGTGGGCATGTGTGTGAGGAATTGTGTGTCTGTAAATGGGGGTTGGGTGGGTGTGTGTGTCGGTGTGTGCCTGAGAGTGAGGAGAAGGGGAAACACCTGGTGGGCATGTGTGTGAGGAATTGTGTGTCAGTAAATGGGGGGTGGGTGTGTGTGTGTGTCGGTGTGTGCCTGAGAGTGAGGAGAAGGGGAAACACCTGGTGGGCATGTGTGTGAGGAATTGTGTGTGTGTCTGTAAATGGGGGGTGGGTGGGGGTGTGTGTCGGTGTGTGCCTGAGAGAGAGGAGAAGGGGAAACACCTGGTGGGCATGTGTGTGAGGAATTGTGTGTGTGTCTGTAAATGGGGGGTGGGTGGGTGTCTGTGTCGGTGTGTGCCTGAGAGTGAGGAGAAGGGGAAACACCTGGTGGGCATATGTGTGAGGAATTGTGTGTCAGTGAATGGGGTGTGTGTGGGTCTCTGTGTCGGTGTGTGCCTGAGAGTGAGGAGGGGGGTGGGAGGGTAGCCCTTGAAGGGTTGGTGGAAGACCCCAGTCAGTGAGGAGGGGGTGGGAGGGAGACCCTTGAAGATGGGATTTGAAGGGGGGGGGGGGGGGGGGACCCTTGACAGTGAGGAGAGGTGGGGTGGAGGCCCCTTAAGGTTTGGGATGGGGGGGAGACAACTGACAATGAGGAGGCGGTGGGAGGGAGACGGGGAGGGAGGGAGACCCTTGAAGGGAGGGAGACGGGGTGGGAAGGAGACCCTTGAAGACTGGATTGGAGGGGGGTGGGGACCTTGACAGTGAGGAGAGGTGGAGGCCCCTGAAAGTTTGGGGTGGGTGGAAGACAACTGACAGGAGGGGGTGGGAGGGAGCCCCTTGAAGACTGGATTGGGGTGGGAGGGAGCCCCTTGAAGACTGGATTGGGGTGGGAGGGAGCCCCTTGAAGACTGGATTGGACGGGGGACTCTTGACAGTGAGGATGGGGAGGGGGATGCACAGAAGAATCTGGGTTAGAAAAAGTCCCTAGCAACCTATGCTGGTCATACAGGGACACTAAATAGATAAGCTGCTGAGTGTGGCGTGATACTGTCTTACAAAGAAACGCAATACTTTTGTATCAAGAAAAATGTGAATGCTCTGATTTATGATAAATAATGTCTAGATCAGTGTTAGCTAGTGTAAATTACTTTGTGCCATAATGAAGGGTTTATCATCTAGCCACAGAACTGCTCCAGTGTACAAGTGATAATTCATGCATGAGCTCTGGGTTTCAGTGAAGATCGACACAAAGAAAATTATAGAGTATCCTGGATTCACGGTGCCAGTGCCAGAAAACATGGTTGATGTAAGAACCAAATACTTCTCATGTTTTATTCATAGTTCCCAAGCTATAATTGTGATACAGGAGAACTATCTGGTGTAATAAACAACCCGCCTTTGTCTGTTCCCCATCAATTTACAATTTACACTGCATCACAAATCCCCCATTGTCTGTTCACAACAATCCCCCATTGTCTATTCACCACAATTCCCCATTATCTGTTCACCACAATCCCCCATTATCTGTTCACCACAATTCCCCATTGTCTGTTCACCACAATCCCCCATTGTCTGTTCACCACAATCCCCCATTGTCTGTTCACCACAATCCCCCATTATCTGTTCACCACAATCCCCCATTATCTGTTCACCACAATTCCCCATTGTCTGTTCACCACAATCCCCCATTGTCTGTTCACCACAATCCCCCATTATCTGTTCACCACAATCCCCCATTGTCTGTTCACCACAGTTCCCCATTGTCTGTTCACCACAGTTCCCCCATTATCTGTTCACCACAATCCCCCATTGTCTGTTCACCACAATCCCCCATTATCTGTTCACAACAATCCCCCATTGTCTGTCCACAATCCACCATTATCTGTTCACAACAATCCACCAGTCTGTTCACAATCCACCATTATCTGTTCACAATAACCCACCATTATCTGTTCACAACAGTCCACCAGTCTGTTCACAATCCACCATTATCTGTTCACAACAATCCACCATTATCTGTTCACAACAATCCACCATTATCTTTCCACAATCCACCATTATCTGTTCACCAACAATCCACCATTGTCTGTTCACCAACAATCCCCCATTGTCTGTTCACCAACAATCCCCCATTGTCTGTTCACCAACAATCCCCCATTGTCTGTTCACCAACAATCCCCCATTGTTTCGCCAGGAGTGGGAGAAGCTGAACATGCCGCCGCTGCAGCCCCATCAGCTGAAGAACACCCTGGAGCAGATGGTGGAGACAACAAACACCGTGAGATCCCATAGATATATCTCTTGTCTGGTCCACAATAAATTATTATCTTTTCACCCAGAGTTTTTAACATCTGAAGTGTATTAATCTTTTGTATATTTCACTCTTTTGATTGTTTTACCAGTAACCCCATGTTGTAGTGAACATATCTTGGGCTATTTTACTCTTTGGAGTATTGTATGTGGGCTTTTTTAACCTCCGATTAAAGCAAACATAATTAGTGTTTTATCTATGGAATATGTTTTGTAAACAGGAGAAGAAGCGGAAGATGGAGGAGGATGAGGTAGAGAAGGTGAAGAAGTTCAAGATGAGCAACCCCGAGGTGGAGATGGAACTCAGCGACGAGGACGGGGAAGACGATGAGGAAACCACTGGTAAGATCCATGTGGGACGGCGAAGCCTCAGGAGCTTTGAATGCATGATGCCAGCTATGATGTCTCTAAAATTGCCCACAGAATTCCATCAGATTTAAACATGGCTTCCACGGTGGCCATATTGAATACATCCATTTTGGCCATTACTCGGCCATTTCTGCATACAGTCAAGTCTCGTTAATCCGACACTCGTTAATCCGACAATTGGCTTTATCCGACACTAATTATAGGAACCGATTAAATTAGTGCTATTTAGACCCGTTAATCTGACAGTCTCGCACTCCGACTCCAACACACCTAATTTGCTACGGTTTACCGAAATCACCCATTAATCCGTCTCGTTAATCCGACCCAGTGATCAGGGTAATCAGGGCCATCTGCCTGTGAGTAGACAGCCCCGTGTTTTGATGCGAGACGACCCGGCTGGTAGCTGCATATTACAATGGCTGTAGAGATAAATTTGCTTAACACTAAACAATTAAGATTTTAATAAACAAAACAATATTAATCACATGCTTAGATTACCTCAATCTCATTAAAATCAGATACAAGTTCTCGCTACCGCTGAGGACATCCCATTACAGGTCACTTCAGAACAACCTTTTGCGAACATTGACCGACCAATGAAATAACTAACAGGAAGTCAACATTAGCCAATCAGAAAGCAGCTTTCTTGAGCTTTGCGGCTCTAGTTTTAAACTGGCGTCTTCCATTCCAGACTATGGTTTTTTTAAAGTATTTTGAATCAGTCATACAGCCCGTAACCATAGTTTTATGTTAAGAATTAGAGTTGTATTAGAAAACATATTCCACTAACAATGTGACAATGTTTCATATTTCATATTTCATTTTTTTATAACAACGTGTTTGTATGGTTATATATCATGTATTTTTTTTTTAAATTTTCGATCACAAAGGATGATACTGCTTAAATTTTATTTATCTGACGTACTCGTTAATCCAACATAATTATCTGCAACCAACCATGTCAGATCAACGGGTCTTGACTGTATATCATTATAAAATATGATTCCAAGCATGTGGCATGTGGAATAATATTTAATGTTTTTGGCATGTTCTGATTCTGAGCCTTGTGGTTCTATTTTTAAGCCATGCGCTCCAGATTTGCCCTGATTTTTATTCCTGCATTGTCAACAGGTTTGTGGTTTGTGTAACAGGACCCTGGACTTTTTAAACTTTCTGATCAAGAGGATTTATATATTTATATCCTTCCAATCATTTCAGGTGATACAAAGAAAGGTCGCTCTAATGGAGACTTTGTCCCACCACTACCCCTTGACACGCCCCCCAGCCGCCCCCCACCCCCAGACTGCACCCCACCCGTTACCCCCCTGACTTCCCGTCCACGCTACCCAACCACTCCAGCAGGCATGACCCCTCCCCCTCTCCCTGACGACACCCCCCCGGTACCACCACCCCTGCCAGATGGAACCCCGCCCTCAACTCCACGAAACAGCCGGGCAAGCAGCCTGATGAGGGAGAACTCCTCACAGGGTAGCACGCCAAGGTCAGGGTCACCCTCGCTGGAAACTTTGGAGGAGCAGTACAAGGCCCTGGTGAAGCAACTCGGAGGTGACGAGGGACCAGCAGCCAATATGATCGTTGTGGATAGCTGTTCCGGGGATGAACCCGAGTCCAGTGCGACTGAGATGTCCGAGGTTTGTGCTGAAGATTCACAAGATGAGAAAATAACCGTTAATACGACTTTATCACGGACCAGTTCAGCTGTTTCACTGGAAGGTATTGACAGTCCGGGATCCTTGAAGTCACAGGATTCGGAGATTCTTAGAATGAACACGACATTTAAAGCAACAGAGTCAATATCTAAGGAGTACAGTACGCCGATCGTCCAGCGTCCAAACAGTATCAATTCACTTCCAGATGCTACAAAGTTTGGAGTTGGTGTGGAAGATCATATACCTTTTGAAAACTTGCCCGACTCAACGGGCACCTTTGAAAAGATGCGCGGGCTTATGGCACTGATTCGTAGCAAGGTGACGATAGGGAAGAAGAAGAAGAGGTGATTCAACCGGGGAGTTCAATCTGTATCTCGGGCTGCAATGTCATTATATAATACGAGGCCACACTTTCGTATTTTTCAGTTTACTGATTTGAACTTTTGACCTTCCATATTTCACTATCGTAATGGTAATCGTATCGTAATTTTTTTGGCCTCACTGCTCCATCTTGGAGTGTGTAGAAATATAAATAGATACGACTCAACAAATGTAACAAAAATAACTGATAAATGCACAAATGGAAAATCAAAGAAATATTGTTTAGATTCCATTTATTTGCCTGATTGCTTCATCTTTGACTGGTTACAAAAAAACCAGATTGCTACAAATATCTAACGAGGGCATGTGATTAAGTAGCAATTAATCAAATGCATTGACCACTGGAAACCTATTTATAAAGAACAAAGCTTTCTCTGACAGAAATAAATACCTCTACATGTACTGTAAAAATAATTAACACTGTGCACTTAAACAGAATCAGATTAAAAAATCCCCACTTAGCAATCGACCTAAACAATTTTTATCCAAAGAATGCTACGCATGTTTTTGATCATTGTAGTTTTTTTGCAGAATTAAGGATGGTTGGCAAACAAATCAGTAAACAATAAAATAAAAAAAGTGTGGTATGGATACAAAACAATCTGGACACAAAGTGACAAACTGTATTACATCATTGATTGACTGGGAAGAGGACTGAAGTCAAGTGGTTCAAGAGCTGTCATTTTGACAACGCTCATCCATAACAAGTTGTTTTATATTTTATGCTCACAAGGAGCCTCACTTGTGCTGTCTCTACGAGACTTCCTTGGTGGGTCATTCAGTCCTCCTGCCACCAATGAAGTGTCCAATATCATTCATGATGAATTTCAGGAACAGAGGCAGCAAACATGGAACCTTTTTAATCAGGAATGTGTCTCCACGGAAGAGTCCGACTTATTAACATTTTATGTGTTCACTCATTTTATGGTTCTGATGGAATTTGGAAACTGATCATGATGAAAATAATAACTCCTGTTTAAATACTGGCGTTTTAAAAGTTTAAGCTATTATCTCAGTAGAATATGTTTGTATTGCTGGACCGGTAGGTGATTGGATCAGCCCAAGAATTGGGTGGTCAGTCCAGTGGCTGGTAATTCCAGCAGTTGGTCCACCTTGTGGTTAGTCAATCCAGTGGTTGGTCAGTCCAGTGTTTTGTCAGTCCAGCAGTTGGTCAATCCTATGGTTGGTCAGTCCAGTGGTTGCTCAATCAAGCAGCTGGTCAATCCAGTAGTTAGTCAATCCAGTGGTTGGTCAATCCAGTGGTTGGTCAGTCCTGTGGTTGGTCAATCCTGTGGATGGTCATTCCAGTGGCTGGTCATTCCAGTGGTTGGTCAATTCTGTAGTTCCTCAGTCCAGTGGCGGGTCAATCCAGCAGTTGGTCAATCCTATGGTTGGTCAGTCCAGTGGTTGGTCAATCAAACAGCTGGTCAATCCAGTAGTTGGTCAATCCAGTGGTTGGTCAATCCTGTTGTTGGTCAGTCCTGTGGTTGGTCAATCAAGCAGTTGGTCAATCCAGTGGTTGGTCAATCCTGTGGCTGATCAATCCTGTGGCTGGTGAAGCTGAGAAGTGTCCGTGAACCATGTTCACACAACCAAGTTGAACCCTGAATTATTAAGTAAAACATTGATCATGTATTTCCATTTAAGACTTTACCTGGAGGTTTTAATCTGATTTTAATGTGGTTTAATCAATGAAACATTTGCAGCTAGTGCAGCTGCTGTTGTTGATTTTGTGTCATTACAAGACAGGAAGCATTAATTATCAAAGCAGAATGGGAATGAATTAAATTTTATTAATCGTAGAAACATTAAGATAGTATTGGCTGTATACTTAAATCAGTAGGACACTTACTAAATGCTTGCATGACCTCATGGATCTTGATCATCGGAACTTCATTGCATCATTGTTGCTACAGATCATCGGTTTCACAGAACATTTTACATTTAGTATGACCTGTAAGGAGGTACGGCCTTCTCTTACATGTATAAAATACATTATCAAACTTGTACTTGTAATTTGTTTCATTTCCACCATTACAGCAGTCTTCTCTCCTTCCACAAAAAACATGCATCTGGGCCCCGTTCCTCAAAGTGATCGTAGCGCTATGACAGTCGTAAGTCTGCGTTAAAGCAATGGAGTTACGATCACCCTCACGTTACGATTGCTAAGTGGAACAGGCGCCGGTCAAAAACAGGTATTGGCTTGTTGTGCAAGCAGGCAAAAATAATAAGTGATCATAATGTGTGACTTGGCTGATTTTTTGTCTTCGGATCCTGTTGACATAAAACATGGTTCATATTGTCAACCACTTGTTTGTCGGATCTTGCTCACACATTCTTGCAGCCATCCATTACACTTGATGTCATTGTTACACAACCACAGGTTGGCACACTTTGTACACCAAGGCACAGGTAGCCCAGCTGATTAGGGTGCTTGTTTCACTGTGAAGAGTTGCATCCCTTTGACATGCCAGGATCCAATGATTTTGATGAAATCCCAGGTTGACTTTTCTCAGCACCATGCCCCTGATCTAGGTTTCACCAAAGACGTTTCTCTACTTCCTGCTCTGGGGTCTCCTCGCACAGGAAGCCAGCACAATGACACAACAGAAACACTGAAACCCAACTCACTCACTCACTCACAAGTTAACAGTGATTTGAGATATCTGTTTGCGATATTGTTTTGTTGTTTGGTTTGGTTTTAATGTTGATGGATACAACAATATGAATGATAGTTCCAGCTTTACCATAGCTTAGTGATGGTATTGCTCTATAGAGTTGTATTCTATTCTAGCCCTGCAGCATCTGCAGCATTCTTTCGCTAGTTAAGTGCTTGTTTTTCAAGCATCATTGCTTTGACATTTCAACTGGTAAACTTGCCTCCAGTACCCCAGCCCAGTAAACCACCTCCAGCCAGTTTTGTTGTGACCTTCATTCATCCGTGAGGCGCTGGGTTAGAATTGGTCTTCACCAACCCATGATGGTCATAAAGGCGACTAACGGGATCGGGTGGATAGGCACGGTGACTCGGGGGATGCATGTCATCGGATCCCAATTGCGTGGATCGATGCTCATGATGTCAATCTCTTGACTGGCTGGTCCAGGAACCCATTCCACAAAGCAATCTTAGTGATCTTAGTTGGTCGTACCTCACATACTTTATCATATGCTTACGATCAACGTGGCACGAAGATCGCTTTGTGGAACAGGGACCAGACGCTTCACAGCTGAAATATTGCTGAATGTGGCGTTAAACAGCAAACAAACTTGGGTTGCTGAAGATCAATTCTAACCCAGATCTTCTTTGGTTATGTTATGATTTAATGGAATGTTTAATTTCAGTTGACCTAATGAGGAAAGTTAACAATTCAAATTAATCATTACAAGAATCCACATATATATATATATTTCAGACACATAACAAAAACACAGAAGAAATTTTATCAATTTTATTTTTCACGAGAATAAGTACGTCATTCAGTATTTAAGAAATATTTCATCAACTGTAATGCAGTCAACTGCCAACGAGAGTGCCACCACAGTGACAATACGAAAGACGAACAGTAGGAATATTTACAGTCCTCAGGAGGACGCTGTGCGAGAGGTAACACAATGAACCGAGATGTGCCTTCACAATTTGTGTGAATTTAGTCGACATAGAGCTCGGGTAATCATTCTTGCACTCTAAGAGTCCTCAATGATTACAATCTCTACCTGATAAGGAACAGTCGTATTTATACCTGGTTCATGCAAAACTGATCTCATGTTCAGATTCAAACAAAGCATATATTGTGAAACCAGAGTCTCAAACCTGTCTTAAGGACAATCTTGTGGCGAACACCAATAGGAGATGATTTCCTACTCCTCATTTGTTAATCCTTTAATGTAATAATCCATCCAGATCTAGGGTGTTCATGTGTCTATTTACCTGGGAATAAGAAGCAGCATTGGTCTTGGGCTGCAATACGTTTCATAATGTCCAAGTGAAGAGTTGGTAGTTTTGAAATACAGGTATACATGCAATTATTTGTTTCTCTAAAAAATATCCTGAACTCTAAATTCTTTGACCAGATTCACAACCAGGTTACACCCAAAATATTTTCACCAGTGACTATGGTAACCAAAACCTTTTTGATGATCCCTGGAATTCCCAATATGAAAAATGTTGAAAAATTACAAATATCTCATAAAAAACATTCAAGTATAATCATCATCGTCATCATCATAATCATATGTCATCATTTAGTCATGATTTCAATCATAAAAATGGTGGAATTGGTGAGACTGTACCGGTAGATCAGGCAGTGTACCACAATGGCCTCTGAATTGAAAATTAAGTTTCAGGGCCCTTGCTCTATTGCGCACAAGACCATACTCTGGATGCTAACAAGCAAAGGATATCACAAATATTTTTCTGTAAATTGTCATGTTTGTCATGAACACTTTGATTTCAGAAGATGTAGGAGAAAACGTTTATATATACATATTTCATATGTACATGAGATGCAAATCGTACACTATAAATAAAATAAAATAACAAGGAACAATAATATCTGCAAAAATAGCTTTATCTCTTGACATCTTTTGTCAAAATATTTTTAGTAATGTAATTTTCAATGTTTTACAAACTATCACAATAGTATGAAAGAAAATATTGTAACACCATTTGGGGCTTCTTCGTCTTTACAAATTAACTTCAGACATATCTGAGGCAAGAAGATGATTGAAACTGTGCTTTGTTGATAACACAAATTACCATCACATACATTTGTTATATACAAAACCAGGGTCAATCAGATCTTTAAGCAATATTCAAAATACCGGTATCCTATGAAAACATAACAAATCAAAAATTATTTCAAGCCTCGCTCTCAATTGAATGGTTAATTGTGCCCATCCAATTACAACATATTCAAAAGCCATTTTCCAAAATGCCGACCAACTGTCTAGAAACCAGAATTATAACTGATTGTATCACATACTTTTACAAACACAAGTATAGTAGATGTCTAGGATTTAATTCACTATCGACAGTTGAAAACAGAGAGGTGACTGTTATAGGGCCTTAACACACAAATCCACTATGTAAAACTTGTTTCCTTGATTCCATAGTTGAGGTATTACACAGCCTGCTCCAGCAGGTGCCCCCAGACCAATTGCTACACCAATCTTCAAGTGATCTCTACAAGCGATCCCGTATAAGATAGAAAATATACATGATCTATGTATCTTTTTGTGTATATTTATGTACACTCTTGCTACAGAAAACAGCAGCACGGAAGGAGTACATTATTGCTAAGTGACTTTACGAAAACAGTTAGGTTTGAATTAAGTTAGTTCTTTAACGTTCAAGCTCTGAAAAGAAATTTAACTGTTGAGTATGGTTTTAACAAGCGCCTCCTCCCTTTTTCAATTTTGTAAGCTTGCTTATTATGGCAAATACTGTAATGCTTGCTCAACCATGCTTATTTCTTGACTACTTATCCCTAAGAGGAATGGTCCACTTCCTTAGTAGCATTGTTGTCTACAAAGGTTATACAGGACCTATTCTGTCCTTGAATCCCCCCCCAAAGCTACTGGTGAAGTAACAACCAAATCAGTGATAAAATTATTAAGTTTTGAGGAACCACAAAAGAAACGCCAAAGGATGCAATCAACATATCCAACAAGAATCTTACAATTACAGATCGTGATATGTTTTTGTCCAAATTTTCTAAGCTGGCATGAATTTATTATGGCCTTAGGGTCTTTTTTGTTAAGAGTTCATGAAGAAAGCAGTCTGAGTGTCCAATGTCTGTGACAGACATTCATTTATACAGACGTTATCAGTGTCACCATAGCAACCACTGGGCATTGCACAAACACTGTATTATTTAACCCTTTGGATGAATTAGTTATAAGATATTTACTGTGATAAGTCCTACAGTCACTTCTAAGTCTTCTACAGTTGGGTTTGATCAACATACAATGGCAGAGTAACAACCACTAATAACAACCAAGGCCACAACAAGTGGATTATCTGCCCCTCCACATCCATCAGGGGAGACAACTTTGGTCATATACAACAACCCTGCAGCTTATTTCAGACTAGTGGTTCACGTTAACCATCGTTTGAAATAATCTTAAAACCCAACAAGACAGTTGGGCAGGTGACCCATAAGTGTTGCCATGACAAAAGTGTGTCTAAATTATTTATTTTATGCCCATTTCCTAAATTGGACATAAAATAAACCAAACAAATAATTAACTTATTGTGGCCTCAGCTCATAATCTTTGAATGCGTTAACAATTAACATTATGCACCACCAATCACCAAAATAATAACGTGCTGCTGTTCTCCAAGTAGCGCAAGCTCGTCCCCAATACGATTCACAATAGATTCACCAAGCACAGAGTGTGAAGACAAAATAGGCTGACCCTGCATCCAGTGTACGTATGAAATAAAATAGCCTGTGGTCATCATAAACTTGAAGCTGAGAATATACTTTATTACCTGTATTACGGTAACATAACATTGTTTGAAAGAGGACTCCATATTTTAAAACAGTTTGTCAAGTTTAGTGCTTGTAGACTTCACACAGTGATGCCAGCTTGAACTTTGCTAACTTTTTGAGGAATAATGTGTTGAAGACAGAATCACACAGAAGAGTCCATCACAGATGAGGGTAGGTAAGGATGTGGACAACCTTCCCCATGGGGACATCCAGCAGTCCACAGTTGTCCAACAAGTTATTGCAATGGTCACCACCACCAAATGTCTACCTCCAGTAAGAATGGTCTTCAGCAATTGGTTATCCATATTCATGTCCATCAGATGTTGGGGATTCAGGGGGCGTGGTCCGGGTGAGTTGACTAGTGAACTGGAGGGGTGGGAGGTGGGGGGCTGCCGCCGTAATCCTGAAACAAAGATCAGTTGGGTATGAAGAGTGAGTGAACATAATATTCCAGCAATATTATGACAATGGACCCGGCAAGCCAGTGGATGTAGCATAGGGGTGAAATGTTACATTGGTGCATCGTGACTTTTCATGCGACGATATAATACACAAGACATTTTTTACTGTTTCGATACATGACGATACTGCTAATCACCTATCAGCATCAATTATCTGTTGGCTTCCCTTGTTAAGTTTCCACCTTTTGTTATCTTATTACTTTTGTTGTTCTAACATGTACATATATATGCTCTCTGCCTCATAGCATTCATTCACCTGATGAAGGAGTAAGAATATACCCCGAAACATTGTGTTCCTCATAATACAGAAGTTGACGTCCATAAATTCTCTTCCTTATGTGTATCACTTCTAAATGTCTTTCAAAGACTTGAAGACGATACACTTGCTTAAATATTATTTACTTCTCATTTAATGATTCCCAAGCGTTTTTGTCAGTCAATTGCTGCAAAATGTGTTGTAAGTAGCGTTTCAAGTTCACTACTAAAAATAGCCACTATGAACATGTGTCTACAGTTAGCCGAACCCTTTGAACCTGCTATTTATCGTCAAGAAGTTTTCATGACATTTAACAAAAATTTGATGAAGTGATCACAGCTCTCTTACTGTCGTAAGTCTATGTTAAAGTATAGGAGTTGCGATCGTATTGCTAAGATCTTCTTGTGAAACAGAGCCCACATTACTGTCCTCTATCATACAAATCTTACCACTGCCTTATCTGCTTTATTTTTTAGAATATCTTTTTGAGAGAAATATTACGACTTCAATCTGTCACTGAAATCTTGAAATAAAAATCCAAAATTTTCAACCTAAGAGCAGAAATCCGCATCAATCTCGATCATATTGTCAGCTACTTATTTCTTTCCTAATGGTTCCTCAAAGATGTGTCCACAACTTGTGTGGAATAAATAGGAAATGTGGAATCAGTGCATAACTTACATTATTTCTGGCTGGTTTCCCATCACCTTGGTTACGGAGACTCTGTGGACGGAGGAGGTAGAGCGCCGTGGCAACCACAAGCCAGCCAACCATCATCATCATCATGGTGCCATAGCCGCCATCGGGGGCAGAGTTGGGGCCCGGCACTGAAGTAACAGTATCATCATGAGTGAGTGAGGGAGTTTAACCCGGCTTTTGGCCATATTCAAACAACAATAATACCATGGTTGAATATTGCAAGATAGAATTGTGATGGGATATATGGCTATGGATGGTGGGATATTGTCACAGCCTTCAAAATTCAAGCCAGTCCTCTAACCCTAGCTTACAAAAGTAAAATTCATAGTCCTATGGTATGGTACTCCTAATTGACAAGTTGCATTTGAGGGCTATAATTCTCAACTCGTTCTGAATACTTCAATTTTGCTAAAAATTAGATCTAAGTAAAGCTGACAGAAACATTTTTGTCTTGTTCAAGCAATTCCAGCCTCCAAACTGGACTCCTTTAGCCAGTTAACTCCCTTGCCTCACAAAGATAGCATAAATGCAGCGTCTTGCACTTTTTGCTGCTGTGTGTCTATATAACACATGCAATATGCACCACCTGGGGAACTCAAACTTAATTTCATTGTTCGACTCCATTCATAAATTATTCACAATATTCATCAAACATTGATAACCAAATACTATTGTGGAACCTGATTCCTTACAACATGATAGATTAATTGGAATTCAATATATTAGTTGTTGTGCTTTGCACGACGTGATACTTAATGCAGTGTGTGCCTGCTAAGTGAACCATGTGTTGTCAAGCCTGAAGACAACCCAGAGGAGGACTGGGGGCTCTGATTAGCTTCCGTGGAGTATGTGGACATAGCAACGGGCCAGACTCAGTCTCCCCTGGAGTATGTGGACATAGCAACGGGCCAGACTCAGTCTCCCCTGGAGTATGTGGACATAGCAAGGGGCCAGACTCAGTCTCCCCTGGAGTATGTGGACGTAGCAATGGGCCAGACTCAGTCTCCCCTGGAGTATGTGGACATAGCAACGGGCCAGACTCAGTCTCCCCTGGAGTATGTGGACATAGCAACGGGCCAGACTCAGTCTCCCCTGGAGTATGTGGACATAGCAATGGGCCAGACTCAGTCTCCCCTGGAGTATGTGGACATAGCAACGGGCCAGACTCAATCTCCCCTGGAGTATGTTGACATAGCAACGGGCCAGACTCAATCTCCCTTGGAGTATGTGGACATAGCAACGGGCCAGACTCAGTCTCTCCTGGAGTATGTGGACATAGCAACGGGCCAAACTCAATCTCCCCTGGAGTATGTGGACATAGCAACGGGCCAGACTCAGTCTCCCCTGGAGTATGTGGACATAGCAACGGGCCAGACACAGTCTCACATTCTTGTAAAATTTCCCACACTGCAATGGCTTCATGAATCCATGAAATTATGCACATGAAAATGTACACAAACCTTCCTACAACAGATACTAGGATATACATGTATATCATTCATGGATTTGCCATTAATAATTCTTCCATGCACTGTTAACTTAAGTACCGTATTGGTCTTTTGAACACAAGCAGACAATTGTGGACGTCGTACATTATGCATGTGCCGGGATACCTGGATACACCACTACTTTACATAGAAGCAGTACGCCTCAACATGCTCAAGAACTGAGTTGTCATGGTGACGAGGTTGTCACCATGGTCATGGAGATAGAGTGCTGAGCTTGCATTCCAAGACAAACACACTCCTGACTTCTACACCTACACCATGTACACTTAACAAGCTTTATGAAAATAAAATAATTTATTCAGTCTGTTCAAATCAGCATGGTCTCCACAATCACAACTGGACACAGATCATGATGAAGGGGAACTATCACAGTGTTTCATGTCACCATGGTTACATGAAGGTTAAAAAATATGCTTTGGGTCAAAAACTAATTTTGGTCCTTTTTGTTCTCCATGTATGAGTAGCACAAAATCACACAAACAATCTGGGCTGCAACTGCTGAAATAACGATGGCCTCTGGGGGGGGTTGGGGATTGGTGAAATACGGATGGCGTTCACGGGAGGAATTGGTGAAATACAGATGGCGTTCATGGGAGGAATTAGTGAAATACAGATGGTCTCCATGGTGGAAATTGGTGAAATAGGGATGGTCTCCATGGTGGAAATTGGTGAAATAGAGATGGCCTCCATGGTGGAAATTGGTGAAATAGAGATGGTCTCCATGGTGGAAATTGGTGAAATAGGGATGGTCTCCATGGTGGAAATTGGTGAAATAGGGATGGTCTCCATGGTGGAAATTGGTGAAATACAGATGGTCTCCATGGTGGGAATTGGTGAAATACAGATGGTCTCCATGGTGGAAATTGGTGAAATAAGGATGGCCTTCACGGGGGGAATTGGTGAAATACGGAAGGTCTCCATGGTGGAAATTGGTGAAATACGGATGGTCTCCATGGGGGAATTGGTGAAATACGGATGGTCTCCATGGGGGAATTGATGAAATACGGATGGTCTCCATGGGGGAATTGGTGAAATAACGATGGCCTTCACAGGAGGAATTGGTGAAATAAGGTTGGCCTACACAGATGCATTGGTGAAATAAGGTTGGCCTACACAGAGGAATTGGTGAAATGAGGTTGGCCTACACAGAGGAATTGGTGAAATAAGGTGGGCCTACACAGGGGAATTGGTGAAATAAGGTGGGCCTACACAGGGGAATTGGTGAAATAAGGTGGGCCTACACAGTGGAATTGGTGAAATAAGGTGGGCCTACACAGTGGAATTGGTGAAATAAGGTGGGCCTACACAGGGGAATTGGTGAAATAAGGTGGGCCTACACAGGGGAATTGGTGAAATAAGGTGGGCCTACACAGGGGAATTGGTGAAATAAGGTGGGCCTACACAGTGGAATTGGTGAAATAAGGTGGGCCTACACAGTGGAATTGGTGAAATAAGGTGGGCCTACACAGGGGAATTGGTGAAATAAGGTGGGCTTAAACTGGGAGAAACTAGTGAAATGAAGTTGGCCTTGACAGGGGGGAAACTGAAACTAGGTCGGCCAATAATAGCCAAGGAAAACTGTATTCAGGTTGACTTTGTGAGAGGAAAATGATGACATAAGGGAACAGTACTTACAATCCTGGACACAGTTGTTGTCGGCGCAGTAAGACTGGGAGTTCCGTAGCTGAAACAGTCGAACAGAAAGGTTTAAACATCATCACCATCATCCCATTGGCCAGACATTTCATACTTTGTACTGGACAAAAGAATCTCGAGTCCACAGCAGGGATTCAAACCACAGACTTTCTGATTGAAGCACAACACCTTGTCCACATGACTGAAGGTGTTGATCTGTCAGCGGCTGACAAGGCAAAGACGTCATTTGTGGGAGGACTTCACACCATGCTACAATTTCATCATGTTCATCATTAACCTTTATTTTTGTGAAAATCCTGATTGGAAGGTTTTTTTTGTTTAATGCCATACTCGGCAATATTCCAGCAACGTGACTGCGATCTGTGAATAACTAAGTACGGACCATACAATCCAGTGATTGATATCATGAGCATCAATCCATGCAATTTTTTATTCCTCAAATGCGGTGAAACCAGTCATGACAGTTATGCTTAGTTTGTAGCGGGGAGAGGCAGGTTTGGGGGGTGAGGAGTCAAACTTAATTTGGTGAAATGAAATTATGATTCTACCATGAATTTGGAATTTACTCGATTCTGATTGGTCAATCAGAGGCTATTAAATCACAATAAACCCCCTCTGATTGAAACAGCTGGTTTGACGGCCGCATCACCGCGGAAGCTAATATTCATAGAATAGTACTATTTTCAGTCATTGTCGGTAGGCATATTTAAATAACTATATCTACAATTACAGGTTACAAAATGCACGGATGCGGTTACTACAATATTCAAAGGATGTGTGGCAATACATTTCGTGCAGAAAAACACGACAGAAATCAACAAAGGGAATGTATTTACGTTATTGAGACAACAGAGAGCTTGAAATTTTGGCGCTTTTCTATATACGACTGTGACGTCATATCTTTTGCGTCACAATGAGAGATATGACGTCATAATGGTGACGTGCGATGTAGAGCGAAAGCCATGCAAAGCTTGCTTTGTTTTCTTAAGGGATGCCCACCTCATGTTAGCTTACCAAGTTGCCATGCTTATATGCTTTCAATGCCTGTCATATGTTAGAGTGAAGTTTTACGGTGTTAACAAACTGCCTGAGTATATACAGCACCATATTTAGTTCGGTGATTCCGTAATTCAGATCGATAACCCACTCAAAACACTGAACTCAACCCATGCCGCTTCACTCAGTATATTTGCTAACACCAAAGAGTTCGCGTTTTATTTAGTCATGGTAGAATGGAGATAAACATACTGTGTTTTCAATGTAGAGCTAGGTTACCTGTAGATTTAACCGCGCTAAATTTAACATTTGAAACCTCACGCTGTGCGTTCGGTTCCAAATTCAATTTAGCAGGGTTAAATCTACAGGTAACCTAGCTCTACATTGAAAACACAGTATGTTTATCTCCTAATTATTAGCTCAACTTTTCATATTGAAAAAGAATGGCTGCAATATGGAACAAACAATTGTAGTTGAGTTAGTATGGTTTTACGCCGCTTTTAGCAATATTCCAGCCATATCACGGCGGGGGACACCAGAAATGGGTTTCACACAATTTTCCCATGTCGGGAATCGAACCCGGGTCTTCGGCGTGACGAGCCAACGCTTTAACCACTAGGCTACCCAACCGCCCCAAACAATTGTAGACATGTATATACTTACACAACTATTAACAATTAACATTAAGGGGGGAAAAAAGACATATTTCCTGATCACATAGGCTCGTCAGTTCAAATCAAGTGAGACATTTTTCTTGCCAATTAAAGAATATTTTTCAGATTTCCGCATCATAATCGAAAATGAACACATACAACACTGACACTAACAAAGAGATGAGTTCAGTGCGTGCCTGGCTGTGTTTGTTGACATTCTCTGTGGGGACAAAATAAAAGATACTACCACCCTTCTCACTATCATGGGGGCGGTCGGGTAGCCTAGTGATTAAAGCGCTCGCTTGTCACGCCGAAGACCCGGGTTCGAATCCCGACATGGGTACAATGTGTGGAGCCCATTTCTGGTGTCCCCCGCCGTGATATTGCTGGAATATTGCTAAAAGCGGCGTAAAACCAAACTCACTCACTCACTCACACTCACAATCATGCTTGGCAAACATTTATTTGTTAAGCAGCCCAAGGTTAACGTATTGAGACATTAGACTGCCGATGAAACAGTTTAACTCACTCATTCTGTATTCGGGGATGAGAATGGATATTTTCCTTTTCAGTTGAAACTTCTTTGCAATGGCTCGTGGTCCATAATTTGGGTGTTTGGGTGTTTGGGGGGGCATTGGATTTTAACCAATTTGTGGTCGCTAAAATTCAGGTAAATTTGAGTATCTGCGGAAAATTCTCACCCCTGTGTATTGTTACCATGGTTACCTGCTTTACCATGTTCACCAATGACTAAATCTATTTGCATCAGATGATCAGCAAGCTGGATTTGATCGGCCATCTGACCTTATCATGTTCAAACCATTATACAACCTTATCGGTAACTTATACTTGTATTGATATTCGCGTTTGTTTTTCAGAAACACTAAAAGCACAATACAAATATCAAAAGATATCCTATCTATCATCAACAATCAATAATCAGCACATACAACTGAGCGTTATTATCGTGATATTTATTGATTTATGACAGCCATATGTCAGCTGTTAACAGCGATCTACCAACACGAGCGGCAGATGGCGGAATCTCACCTTCCCCTGCTGATGCCACCACACAGACACGTAATGGTACACGCTGTACCAGTGACACATGCATTTACACGCTGGCAGATATTATCTTCTCAACAATCATTTGTGCTGATCAATGTGAGAGAGGTCCTGTTTTAACAGGTTTCTTGCTGTAGTACTTTGATCTGCGGACCACTAAATCCTTTGATTTTTAACGTGAGGTTTATGACAATAATTCCACTGCTCTCCATCTTAATTTGGACACAGGATGTACACTGAAGACAAACAGTTGAGGATCATGAATGTTTGGGGGGAAAACTGAGCAAACAATTTCACAAAAGTATCCCCAAAATATTCAGGATTCTTAACTTTTTCTGGTTCAGTATATACAGCCTCATCATCATCATCATCATCTTTCAGGATTTTGTCAATAGTCTTTCCAACATTTTCAAATTATTTGACAAGGCTGAAACCTACATGTTTTAGAATTACATGCTTTAAGGTCTTGGTACTTTAAATGTAGCAAGCAGTTCTGTAGCTAAATTGAATGTTTAAGATATTTGCAATGGCATACATCAAATTACTTTAAATTTGTTTTGGAAGGAGACAATCAACATCCCTCAACCATTGTTATTACTTCCTTATGGTGAGGAACAACTGCAAACTGTTTCAGCTCTATCCATAAAGCAGTTGTCGAAAATTAGAAAAAATGAAATGCCGCCAAAACAACCATGATGAAATCTCACCACAACATAAGCGCAATTCTGGACAGGTTGACTTACCAAGTTTATGAGTCTTTGCATAGCGTTCTCATGGTTCCATATACACTCACACGGGTCAAAACCTCCATCGGCCATCTTGTCTGGAACATACAACAGTTTTATTCTCAATTAACAGGATGAAGCTTGTATTGCTACCCGGTATGGAGTTACGGCATCGTATCCCCTGCAATACACTGCTGAGTGTACAATACAATGATGAGGTTTTGAAGTTATACCATGACTGGTCAGGCTACAAACAATTCATTGGTACTCACGACTGGGTCCTTAAGCATGTTAAGGCAACAATATATCAGTTATTAGATTTTCACCCAATTTATGTATCTTAAACAGTAGAGCTGAGTATCACCTGGTACCTTGCAATATGATTTGTATCATGATACGGACTGATGATACTACTAGTCTGTGTAGTATCCCGATACACCACATCAAAGAGTAAGAAATGATGAAATCACTGAAGTACAGCTCCAAAACCTCTTTCTTCATACATTTATTGTTATCTCAAAAACTTTAACAAAGAAATCCACAAGAACAAAACAGTTTTAAATGAAGGTATGGTTATTAAATGTAACAGTCGACACGTCCTCAGCTACCACGTCTTTGTGTTCTGCCATGATTACAGGTGGCGCTACTTCTGCTATATGGGAGGTAACTCTATTAGTTCTATTATTTATAGAATATCGCGATCTCACAAACTGACGATTCAAGTATCGATGATGTCGTACATGTCGTAGGTATTTGTCAATTGTTAGAGCCCTATTAAACAGCTACAGCGTGTGTATCTTTTTAACAGCATATTCAAGCTATATGACAGTAGCGAATAAATAATCAAGTCTTGACCAGACAATCCAGTGAGCAGCTGATGGGGTACAAATGACATGCCATTAACCAAATCACTGATCACCAGGTCCAAAAGTCACCTCATACATCGGACGGAGAAATGACAAGCATAATTAGTACATCTTATTGTGATTCTACACAGCCACAAGTATGTTTAATTCATCATGGAACACATGTGCAAAGTGACTCTCTAACATTACTTATAAAGTGCACACTCAACTTACAACACTCTGAACATTGATATCTTGCTCCCTCTATTGTGTATACCTGTCTGCATGATTAATGTTAACAGAAGTTTTAACTCTACAGTAAACCTGAGTGAGTGAGTTTGGTTTTACGCCGCTTTTAGCAATATTCCAGCATTATCACGGCGGGGACACCAAAAATGGGCTTCACACATTGTACCCATGTCGGGATTCGAACCCGGGTCTTCGGCGTGACGAGGGAACGCTTTAACCCCTAGGCTACCCGACCGCCCCCAGTAAACCTGACCATGCATAGAAGTCTCGCCAGCCAACAGATAACAATTCCAGGTGCACAAGTACTTCCTCACAACAACACCATGTCCGAAATAATGTCCACACAGTTCAAAATGGACATGATTATGATGATATATATTTTGGCCATGTATTTTCATGTATTCTACAAATCTGGAACAAACTGGCTTTCACCATGTTCACATAAAACAGCATAATAATCCCTGGACAAATTAAATTGGCAATCCCCTGTGAAGACCCAGGTTAGAATTGGTCTTCAGATACACTTGCTCGTGGTAAGAGACCAACGGGATTGTTCGGTCAGACTCGCTGACTTGGTTGCGACATGTCATTGTATCCCAATTGTGTATATCAATGCACAGTGATGTCAATCACTGGATTGTCAGGTATAGACTTGATTATTTTAAAGACCACTGTTGTGAAATATTGCGGAGTGTGGCTTTAATCAACAGACAAACATATATTGGCTATCGAGCTATTTTACTGAGTTTATCGGGCAGTCTGCCTCCGGCCATCTCATTAATGTTACTCAAACGTCACTGATATTACTCACACTTCACTGATATTACTTACGTTTATCATCCTACGGGTCCCTTTACTATCTTAGACCTAGTTGTGGTTTAGAATGTAGCCCCTTTACCATGTTTATCCTTTGCCCCCATAGATCCTATAATGTTTAAGGGCTAAGATCTGTCTTAATTTCAATAAAAAAAGGGAACAACATCTGCAAAATACTGATCTTAAGTAACTATTTCTTGATGAATATTAACATTTGTTTTCAGTACATAACAAATTTCTCTTGGCACACAAAAACACAAGATGTGGACCCAGGATTTTAAACTCCAAACAACCCAAATACACTGTTGGATTTGTTGCAAGAAAGGTATATACATAGATCTATTCCAAATTGACACCTGTGCGTGTCTGAAATGCAGTCATTGTGATCTTGTATATAGATGGCGACATTATGACCGTGAATTTAACATCCTCATTAAAATACCCAGGATACACCTAGATCTAGTTCCACGCTGATTCAGACTTTAATCATGAATATTGTACAAATCTGATTCCCAATGTTATCACCGCATCAAAGAAACCATTGTGACTCACGCAAAGTCGTGAGCTTACTGGGCCGTGACGTCTTAATTCGCTTATGTTCCGTTCACCCCACGACTTCAACTAGTGTATGTATGTCATAACAGCCCGGAAGCCAGCCGACTTCAACAAGGCAGACGACATTCCACGAACAGCCCATCTAATACTCGTCGAAATAATAGCAACTTTAATCTACTTATATTCGCAGTCATATGTAAGCCATGCCTGCTGTATGTAAACAGAGTCGTTATTACTTTTTGATAACCTATTTTGCAATCCGAACTCGCAGCTGTAAACAGCTGCATTAACAGGCGCGAGCGTGCATGTGACCCACATTCGCACCCCGCTTCCTAACGACACATTGACGACACGGTAATAAGGCCCATAGTTTGGGAAGTAGCAAAACTGGCAATGTTTACCTGCTGTGTGACGAAACTGTCCGTTTGATAGAAATGTAGCAGAATCCCCGCCCGATGTCCTGAGTCAAATGTTGTGATGCTGGCCAACCAAATCGATTCCCGTCCCACTATCAACAAAGCCACGTCAGTCCAAAGCCAAGTGCCCGGATGTGAGTTTATATCAACTTAACAGTACGTACCACGTGAAGCTTCCGTGTTGGGGACTGTTTGCCCCGTTTCTTTTGATTGACACGTTAGATTTCAGAGTTGCATCATTCATCAGCTATTCATCCTCCCACATTTCACGTTGTTCAAATTTATATGCGCCAATAATCGATAAAGAATGGCGTGCTTATGACAATTATAAAAATTCATGCGTGAGTTTAACGGCAAACAAATGAGTGTTTCGCAAATTGTCAAAAGCTTTAGAAATACACGCACCTTGCGATCGAGAAAACATTTGGTATAATTTACTTACGGCCAGTATCATTCGATCAATCTACAATCCAGGGGCCCGTACCCACAAAGCAGTTTAAGTGGTATATCGCGTGGAATAGTAAAATACTTATTTAAATGATAAAAAATAATGAGACATTTCGATTTCCTTTTTTTAATTTTCACAGTACACGTGTATAGATCATAATCTACATATTGTTTTCTATTCGTAATTTTTTATTTCATTCATTTGCCGGAGTTAGAACCAACTGAATATGCCAAAAGATCCAAAATGTCAATGAAACGTCAATTGAACTGTTGATGTTTCGCTAAAACATTCCATGATGCTATGAACATAATCTCATTTAAGATGAGCGTATGCTTATATTATTATGAAATATTATAGTGGCACAAACTATAGGGAAATTCTATCAAGTTAAAATGATCCTACCAGCTACATAATCCGCTGGATTATTTCCAGATAAACACGAGATCCCTCACTGTGAGTGTACCTAATCAAACAGATCGCATCGCATCCGTCTTGCATTATTGTGTAAATGGCAATCATTAATCAAAAGTCGTTTGAAGTCACACATATTTCTTTATAAATGTGAGGTTGCTTATGGTATTATGAAATACGAATAAGATATTGTGACACATAGAACAGAGGCATTCTTAGGTCATGTAGAACCAGATATTTTTTATGGGTTCGAATCCCGTATGGGACTCAACCCAAACAAATTTAAGGTACTAGAATCTGTATTTTAAATTTGTTACATTTGAGCACTTTCTAAATGGCATTGTGTTCAGATATATATTTATTTATTTATTTATATTCGTGGTATTCCTGAGTTTTAATGTCCGTAAAATGTCCTCTCGTCTTTATAATGAAGAGTCACAAATGTCTGCAAAATCGCTGATGCGTCGCAAAATCTTCCACTAATCATTCATAATTCAGGTGATGTTGTTGCCGGTAATCCAATCCGGTCGCTCCATACTCCAGCATTCACTAAGAGCCGATGTGGTGTAGTCACGAACATGGTAATTGCCATTAAACTAAACAGTCGAGTGAATCGGGTGCAAGTAGAATCATCACCATACAGTGGGCACGAGCTGGCAAACGTGCCGGCAACATGTGGTTTGGGCTATCGTGTGTGAGTGGGGTAGATTTAACTTGGACAGTATCAGTTGCATGCTGGCGTGAGGGTGTGACGTGGGAGGAGGTCTTGACGTGACGCAGTTCTCTGACATTTGCCCCCTTGGTGAAACCCACGTGCACGGTTAAAGTGCTGAATCATAATCAAAATCATTGCATTCATCGGCTCCTGGTAGGCCTAAGGGACTTAACTCTCCAGGTTTGGGTATAGCGCTCTGTTTGGGATCCTCGTCTTTTTTAAACTACTTTTTAGATGATTTAAAGCGACGAAACCCTTTCAATATCCAATAGAAATCTCTGCACAAAGCAGAGCCGACTGTACGATTCCGACTATAACATGAGCATGTGTTTATGAATCACTATCAAATAGTGATGATACCAGGTGTTCGCGAAAAGATGAGCGTATACGCCATGATCCTCAAACGCCATTTGGTTTTTACATTGTAGTTCCATTTGACTGCTTATACCAAGAGTTTGTCCACTTGTCCTCCCATCGCACTGAACTTTGAGAAAAACTATCAGATGAACCTATCAATGTTTTATTCGTGGTAACAGGCTACAAAACCCGTGAAGATCCGGGGTAGAATAGGTCTTCAGCAACCCACGTTTGCCGTAAGTGGTGACTATGCTTGTCGTTATAGGCGACTAACGGGATCGGGTGGTCAGGCTCGATGACTTGGTTGGTGCATGTCGTTGTATCCCAATTGCGTAGATAGATGCTAATGATATCAATCACTGGATTGCCTGGTCCGGACTCAATTATTTACACACCGCCGTCATATAGCTGGAATATTGCTGAGTGTGGCGTTAAACAACAAACAAAAATAACATGCTACAACAAAATGCACTGTTAATTTGGAACAAATATCAAAATGACCATCTCAGCAGCATTTTGTATTGAAACATACAGCCTATGAAGAAACCATTACATTTTGGACGTTTAGAGAACAACTATAAACTCTCCTTCACAAGGAGGCCAGACGTACGTTGTTCTCTTGGCATCCAATGGCCGCCATGATTGTGTGATTGTGGCATCAGCGAACTGTCCGCTCCGGTCATCTACATGGCTATTATCACTATTAGTGTTTTAATATGATTCATGTGTTTATGGCACATGACTGAGTGACTTTAAATGTCGGGGTTTCTACGCATGTAAACAGTTTATGACGCTAATAATACTGGTTGACATTTGCAAAGGGTCAAGGTCAACACAATCATCACAGATAATGGTTGCAGAAAGAGTCCTAAAATCTTTCAAACTGTAATCATTGAAATCTTTGACCTCTGTCCCACTTATTATTGCTCCTGGCTATTCTTAGTTCTATATTTTTAAATGTATAGCTCTGAAAAGTTCTCTTCCCGCCTTATCTTATACATATTACTGAAAGATATGAGATTTATGGCGAGTGAGTATGGTTTTACGTGTCTTTTGGCAACATTCCAGAAATATCACGGCGCGGGACACCAGAAATGGGCTCCACACATTGTACCCATATAGGGAATCGAACCCGGGCCCTCGGCGTGAACGCTTTAACCAGTGGGCTACCTCATCGCCCCTCATCATGGCAGGAGCCAACATGATACGTTATGTTCCTACTGGGTGTTGAACCAGGCATTAGTTGGCGTTGATTTACCTAGTCCTGGAGTTCAGTCGTATTTATCTGACTTTGATTTTGCGTCAATCATTTGATCGGAATATTTATTTATAATTGATTGGGTTATTATTTATATCATTACTTTATCATGTTTATCATGCAGAAATGTTTCTTTGTTGTTTAACGCCGCAGTCAGCAATATTCCAGCTTCAGTAAACTACGGTTATTACGAACTCAAAGGGACCACTTATTTTTAGTTCGTCATAACCGTAGTTCGTTATAAGCATATATACAACACATGGACGGGACTACAAAATAAGTTCGTTATATCGGTCAGTTCGTTATAAGCGTGTTCGTTATAACCGTAGTTTACTGTATATGACAGCGGAACAGAATGGTATGAATGTGAGTGTGAATAAGTGTCAATGTGATAAAATTCACAGTCCTAATTGCCACATGTGTTTAGAAAATATACCGTTCAACTTTAGAAATGGATATTCTGAGTATGGAATCTGAATGTATGTGAATGGCTGCTTGGATGTGATGTCATACAAATATTACTCATATGTCCATGGGACTGGACCCTGTTCATCTCCATTAAAGTCAATTAAGTAAGTACCCATTGCAAGTACACCACGTTGTCTACCAACTCAGTGTTACGATGCATTTCCCTCTTTCTACATTGTAAATTCTACATGATTGTATAAAATGTCATTTACAGAGCATAACGGTCTCGATTATCCACTGAAACAGATTCCAATGGGCGTAAAATGTAAAATGCTGTGAAAATGATAAGAATGGACCATTAACTCTAATTACGCAGAGACAGGATCTCAGTTTTGCTCAACGCATTAATTACAGCGCCCAGGGGTAGATAGGAAATAGGCAGCACACCCCGGAGCATGGCCTCTCTCATCAAAGGCATTGGTAAACATTTCCATGGCATGGCAAACGACATATTGTCCATACAGAATACTGCAGGACACATTTCATAATGATACAGCTTAATATGAATGAGTGATGGACAATATTACAATTTCAAAATGGCTGCCTTTGCGGCCATGTTATAAACCTGAATGCTATTGTATAACTCTTTTATACTCTGTATTTTTAGAAAATATATGAGAAATGCACACGCAGTCCTTATTGCGCATACCTCTTATTTTATGAATATAAATGTTCATATTGATGTATGTTGACCTGGCAATAGGCAATATGACATTATAAATACGTCTGCCGTAACATCGCTGTTGGGATGACCCAGGCTCAGTATCATGGCCACAGGACCTGTGTTATTTTAGACGTCGATCATATAAACGTCATGATTGAACACTGACGAGCACCCTTAATCCCGGTGAGCTAAAATATTGTTGTAAACAGAACACGGGAGTTAATATGAAGTTTATGATAGAATAATAAGAATTGTGCCTTTAAATTTCCAAAACTATCGTATTAGACAGACGTCTCCGTGTTTACAGGCATTCTTCCTAGTGTCCGACACAGTCCATTACACTTTTATCTCGTGTATATGACACCGACACGACAAACCGCATATTCTCTAAAATAGACGCTTGGCACCACCCGAGGCTGGATCTCACCGATCCAAACTAAATGTAATAAATAAAACATTTCAAGAATAAACCTTAACTGTGCGTGGGACCGTGAACAAATCCACCCCGGGTCATAATAATGTCTGAAAAATGTGTCGGGGACGCATATCAATTGAAATACGATATGTGACACTTGGCGTTGAAAAAACCTGTCTCTAGCATTAGAATTAAGTCTATAAACAGACCAATCACATTCAAATTACAAACGAAACAAGAACTAGAAAACAATGGAGTTTATTTCTTTATAATCTGCAAGTCTCGGTAATTGTTGATCCCATGGATGAGGGTTGATGAGGAGGGACACATGCGTCTCTGTGGCATCCAGGGGTTTACGTATTGTCTGCAGCATGTATTCAGATCACGCTGGTCATGTTTTTATTATC